GAGGCGTCATAAATCGGCTCGAAAGCAGAAGGCATAAAATTGTTCGGTTCGCAGCCCTGGTACTTAAAAGTACATTTTTGAAGTTTGAGTTTCAAAGTATAAACTTTTGCTCGAGCCTTTATACAGCCATATGAAATGGGAAAAAAGTTTCACTTGAGTACTATTATTTTCCATTTGTTAAAAAAAGTTGGTGGTGCAGTCTTTTCTTCAGTTTCTCTTCCTCAAACTTCCTAGCAAAATTTTTAAACCTTCTAACGTATGTGAGAAACGGAAAAGAAAACGCTTACATACATTCTGGATTATCCCTGGAATTTCAGATTAGTTCTTCTGTTTTTGAGCCATTTTGCCCTTTTTTCCCTTCCGTGCAGGTGTGAAGATTCATGGTGCATTGAGCACGTTCGACTGCATTCATTCGCAATTTTTCATGAATTCATTGGAAGTAAATTTATTCTTCGGTTTTCGTTATAAATTTTGTTCCCTGGAAACATACTAGAGAGAAAACGGAAACTTGGAGTAAAGATTATCCAAAGACGATTTATTTGTTCTATTCTCAATTTTTTTTCAAACGGCAAGCTCTTTTTCCTCAAATCTTCACAAATTTCTCCAAAGTGTGCCAAACCTCGCGTTAATCCATTAAGATTGAACAACGGCAAGTGTCAAACTACACGGCTTTCTAGTTTTTGAGCCCTGCCGCTTTAAAGTCTCAGTCAAATGCAGAAAAATTAGAATAGAAGTTTGAAGAATCGTTCAAAAAAAAGATGTCAATTTTTACTGAATCAGCCTTTCAGGGTATTTAATGAGCACACCGAAACAATTGAGATCATCTACGGAATCTCCTTAATCATCATTACAGATCTGTTTTTGGGCTCTATACCGTTCGAATACTAAAAACTTGGAAAAACTCATAGTGATCTGAAACTAAAGAGCCTCTAATCACAATTTTTATACACAATTATATTCAAGTTTCCAGATTTGATTGACCTAAGCATTTTCCCACAGAAAACTTGTTTTTTTGATACTATGGATATTTTTCAAAAAAATGTTTTCAGTTTTAATATTTAAATCACCAGAACGAATTTCTTTCCATTTCATTTGCATCCAAGCCATATCTTTTTTAATAATCGAGTTTTTTTCCATATAATTTTTTTGTCGAAAAAAATCAAAAAAATAAATTATCCTCATGATGAATACATCCATTCCAACCGACTATTAGTTTGTAAAACTCATTTTTTTGGTTTTTCGGTTTTGAATTCATCATTGAGAATCCATGTAATTAAAGTTGGATGTTCCAAGAAAATTTGCAGATTTTTCGCCATGATTAATGAGCTTTTTCCAACTGCTTGTTATAATATTGTCTTTGTGGAAGATGGGAATCGCCTTGCAAAAATAATTGCCGTTTTCATCTTTTATTTTGATTTTTTGGACTCATAATTTTTTTAGTTTCTACTTGATAGTTTAATCTGTAAAAGCTTCACCTTGGGTATATGAAGTTTTCCAAGTTTGGATGATCTATGTAGGCTGCTTCTGAGGTTTTGTTGTTTCGGGTTGCTACTCCCAAGGTCTTTATTTGAAACATCGGAAAATACTTGAGCAATTTTTAAGAAAGGATATAAAGTCGAATCTCTTGTTAAAACGAATAATCTCCCTCTCTTTCTTAATCCCTCAATCTTATACGTTATTATTGAGGTTTCTCATCTTTCAATTCGTCATACTGTCAAACATATTTTTTTATTACTTTTTAAGACTGCCCCAAATCATACTTTTTAGCGGCTCAGAATCCAAAAAAACTTCAAGGTCGCACAACTAAAAAAAGAATATTTTAGAAGATTTGAAGTCACAAAAATCGAACGAAAACGTCCATGAAAAAGCTCAAAATGACTACAAAATCAGCGCAAATGTACTTTTCGGTGAGAAGCACGCGTTCATCCACGCACTCAGCTTTTCTCATTTGATTCTAAACGATTATAGAAAGACTTTATTCAATTGAATTTTCAACTCAATTCAGTTTTTCATTTTTTTCGAAGCAAGGTGTTACCATGACTGCAAACAGAATCATCTGATTTATTCACATTTTTGAAAACCTTTTTGGGAAATGACGGGACCAGTTCAATTCATGAAAGTCATAGTAACTAAATTTTCTCATTAAAAACGATGTTTATGCTCTCTATTGGAACTTACCGACAAATTCGGATACGCAAGTAGTTTTAAGTCCTGCCTTCATGGACAATCCGCTTTGTATTTGTGATGGGTCAAGCGATTCAACATGCGATCATGCGCAAAAATTTATTTTTGTTACCCTCTAAGTTTATCAAAAGTCAGAAGAAGCTTTCTATCTTCAGAGGTTACTGCTGAATTCATTTTTTGGCGTAGAGAGAATCACCGCAAAACTCCACAAAAACTGAGAGGTTTTTATGGAATAAAGGTTTTTTTTCCCGATAAATATCAATAAAAAATTTGCTATCTGCTTTTGCCGCGGCAATGGGAAAGCTCACCGATTGAGATTTGTTTTTTTCCAAGGAAACAAAATAAAAACGAATATCACTTATTAAAGCCACTCTCATGCTTATTATGCTGGTTATGGCTTTCCCCAGTGACAGTTCTATTTTTCTAATTACTGTGTTTCAATGGTTTTTTTGCGGACAGTGGTTTTTTTGTACAGCTCATCAAACGCAGTTTTTGAGCTGATTTCAGTATTCCATAAAAAGTTTGGGGCAGTTTGCAGAAAAAAATATCCTATTTTGGTTCATAAGCGTTTCAAATGAAAAATTGCGACCAAACTAAAATGAACTTTTAATCGAAGTTTCGCCAACATCAGAATCTCAAACACACAACATTCTCTGATTGGATACAACTGTACATTTACCATCTTTCTTTATATAGAAAAACTTGTTTTCAGCCCTTTGAACAAACTTTTTGAAATTGCGAAACAACGAAGAAGGAAAGATTAATTTATACATTTGCTGTCCTTAACGCCCCAACTGAACGACTCCAAAGTACAAATACAAAACGGAGGTGTTAAAAGCTTTTCTAATTAAACTTTTTTTGTTTTCTGCGCTCTTCCGCGTCAAATAAAAAAAAGCTGTGTAGTCGCATTGCTGCAAAAAAGTCCTAATCTGATGTGTTCCAGAGTTCAAGGCCAATCTTTCATTCTGACCAAGATTTCCATTTTTTTTTTCTTAAATTGGGCCGCGCCTTGTGTGAGTTTAGTATCATATTGCAAGGTATAAGCCTTGGTCTCGTTGGCTGAATGCCCGCCCATCTTTTCATTTTCTGGATATACATAATCCGCAGATATTCCTGGAGTGCACAATAACATCTGTGGCATTCCCAGCCAACCTTGCCCCTTCTTAAAAAGCTTTCAAAGCCAAGTCTTCGAAACAGAAAGTGTTCTGATAATCATTTTGAAATTAAATGAATATTTTAATAAGTTTACTTTTGAGGTTTCCTTATGGCTTCTGCCTTTTTTTTACGCTTCTACCTTATAGTTGAGTCACGACGCTTCGAAAAAAAGTAAAAACTATTTTTTTGTCTCAGATTCAAGAGAGCACAAATCTGAAGGCCCTGAACTGGTTAAAAGGCGAAAGACAGATAAAATTTGTAACCTGAAATTGAATGATCTTAAAATAAACTTCTGAAATTTTCTCTCGATTTCTCAACCAGACATCAAGAACATTCATTCTGAAACTATATCTAGTTTACTCCCAAACGCCCAAATGGAAATTTCATTCGTTGATCATATCACAATAATTTTTCCATTTGTTGTCATTTTTCTTTTCACTCCTGTTTCCTCTCTTCGAGCCTAAGCTGTTGCATTTTTCTCTCGCTGCTATTTTCATGGAGTACTTGTGAAATTGAACACTTTGATGTAAAAATTTTTCTCTCATCTCAACCTTAATCAAATTTTTCCTCCAGCCTGAAGATCAGCTGGGTGGCTAGAAAACACCATTTTCTGTGAAAAAGAAAATTTAATAAAAACCAGTATTTCAAAAACGCGTTAAGCTTCTTAGCGGTTTTGAATAAATTCAAACCGCATAGCCACTCCTTCCAATCGGAACTTAACGTCTATTCCAAGAATAATTCCGTTTTCTTACTCAAACCTCGGAATGATCGTTGCTCCTCTAGAGGTTTCTCTCTATTATCTCAAAAATCTAGGAAGAAGGGTTCTCTTCATTAAAGAAAAATCAATCGCATCCGGCTTTGTTCTTTTTTTAAACCCAGATTTTTATTAGGTTGTCAGAAAAAAATTAGGAATGAAAAATTGCTTCCTTTTTTTGACAACAGTTTAAGATAAGATTTTTTTCTGGATCAGACGTTCTGTTTATTGATTAAAAAGAAATAAAAAAACAATTATTTAGAAAAAAATTTGCTAGTTTTTTTCATTTTTTTGCTCTGAGCGCTCACAAAAAGATCTCTTTTCCTAGAAACTCAAAAAAATTCAACAAAATATTTCTTGAACGCTTCTTGATGTATCAAAAAAATCCCTAAAGCCCCAATCTGCACTATTTGCTTTCATTTGAGCGAAGAAAAGTTTCAAAGTTCTGCTTTTTTTTCAGTTATCCCTGGGAAAAAAACTTGCGAAGGGTCAGCTTTTAGTGGAAAAAGTTGTGCCGCTGAGACTCTCATAATCTCCTTTTAAAGTATTATAACGGATTTTGAAAGGTTCAGAGTGCAAAATAAAGTTACTTTCTTTCCCTAAGAAGTTTTGTTTGAAATGATGAAATTGGAAAAAACCCGTCAGAATTAAAAAATAAGTAGACGTAGCAGCTGAAGCTGATCTTGTTTTCACCAAGTTCCACCCAAGTCAGACAAGAAATATATGCCGCGCTCATGCTAATCTTATCACCGTTCGTTTCCGCTTTCGAATTGAAGAAAAAAATTCGTGCTACCCGTTTTTCAAGGGTAAAACTTTATTTTCAGGTCAAACACTCCACAGACCAAGAAAGAAAGTAGAAAAGGAATGGCGGACGTCGCCGCGAACGTCTCCATAGCACTTCTACGGAATGCTTCCACGTACTCACAGTCCTGTAAAAATTCCACACGTGAGTCCTCTTTTCAAATAATTCACATAGTTTTTTTACGAAAAAAACTTTCATTGAAAGTTATCATTACAGTTAAATTTGAGGAAAAATTTGTGGAAAGACCTGATATTTTTTTAATCGATTTCGACTTGTAATCGAAGTTTTCGCTCACATTATTTCTCTGGAACGTTTTTCGGCATCATTGGGTAAAAAAGAAACTTTTTTTTTGAAAGCTGAGAAAAATTTCTAATACAACTTCCTACGGGCTCGAGACTTGTTTTAATGTTCAGCTGGCTCATTTCTGAGAGAGATAAGATAACTTCAAAAGATCAAAAGTGTGGAGAGATGTCACGTTCTTGGTGAGTTTCGTGCTGAGGCACGCGTAATTTCAAGCATTTTTTGGATGTTTCAAATGAAATAAACATAGGGCAACGCCGGAAATGAAAGCCGTGATGAATGTTTCATTTTCATAAGGATTCCTGCATGATGAAATATTCACTTCAATCAGGTTAATGGAAAACGAAAGTTTCCATTGTGAGCACTGAGGAAGTTGAACTTCTATTTATTAACATGGGGGTTTTCCTGCTTCAGGTCATTAGGGAATTTTTTCAGTGATATTGAACTCCTTCATGATTTTTTTTACAGTTCTCCAAGCATCTTTTTTCTTTTTATTCTCCACGTAATTTCTCAAAATTGGTATTTATTTGATCCGATTCTCTAACCATAAGATAGCTGAAAATACTCTGATTTTCAGGCTAAAGAAAAACTTTATACAAAATTTTAAGGTTTTTTTCTAGCATCAAATTTTATTTTTACTTCCAAACTCCCGAACAAGGTAGTTTTGCATTTTTTTTTCAGCACTTTTCTCAATTATTTTTGTAATCCTCATCCCAAACACAGCGAGGATCACTTCGATTAAGAAGAGCTGCGCAACTTCAAATAATTTTCTAACGGAAATGTATGCAAATAATAACTGTCACGACATAAGAAATAAGCTCAAATCCTGGTTGGATTATTCATTGCTGTGAGTTTTGCTTACACAGGGGTTCGAAGCTCAAATTATTCATAATTCTAAGAAGAAAAAAAATTGTAAGAGAAAGGGACTTCCTGCTTTAAGGCTAATACAATATTTAGAAGAGATAGCTCGTCTGAAACTTTATTTTCAGAATCCGATGGAAATCTTCGTGGTGCGATCCTTGATGCTGCTACTATACCTGACCGTTTTTCTCGTTGCTGTCACTGGAAACTTCCTCGTCGTTTACGTCGTCATGACCAACAAGCGGATGCAAACTGTCACCAACATTTTCATCACAAATCTGGCCATATCAGATCTTCTCGTCAACTTCACGTTAGATTTGAATAGAACTAATTCTTAAGAGTTGAAGAAGATGGAAATAGTTTACTTTAATCAAAGTCTTCGCAAAACTATCGAACAAAAATTTATGCTTTGTTTACATTTATTCATTTGGATTTATTCACAAGGAAGGTATTTTTTCTGTGCACTTTTTTTCAAAAATTTGTTTAGATTTTTTTCTCTGTTGTAGAAAAAATCTTGGTTTTTTTCAGTATTTTCTATTCAAAGCTTTTACAGATCTCTTTGGCTGACTCCTATGTATACTTATGTTGGGCACTGGATATGGGGTGGAGGATTGTGCCACGGGTTGCCATTATTTCAAGGTGAGATCAATTAAAAAAAGGATGTGGAAAAAATAGAACATCACAATTTACTTCGTAATTTTGTCAGAGTCCGTCAAGCTTTTTCTAAATTTTCAAGTCATCCCTATGTGAGTAAATTTTAATCGAATCAAAATCTTTAAAATCAGCTTGAGTCGGAAAGCGAAAAAAACTTCTTTCTGCGTGAAAATGGCCACCTGCTGAACTTGAATCAGAAATTTTCAGGTACCAGCATTTTTATCAGCACGATGACCTTGACTGCAATCGCGATTGACCGCTACCTGGTCATCGTCCACAACTCTTCCAATGTCAACATTAACGACCGGATGTCGATGAGGGTGAGCTTAACACGAAGCCGTTTCAGATCCCTGACCTTTGCTTCTGCACTCGACTTCCTTTTTATCTCGTTTTCCAGTGCAGATGCATTTCGCACAGACCGAAATTGATACCACCCGAGGGTTTGGTGTTTGGGTCCGTAGCTCAAAAAATATGAAAAAAGAGAAAACGATTCACAGATCAGAGTTTTGAAAGACGACTTGGCTATGCCACTGAACAAAGGTCCTTGTGAACAAGTTAGCTTTAAACAATGAAATGGCTAAGAATTCCGCTATAAAAACTCCCGGAAAAATAGCGGCTGTATGAGGTTTTTAATCATAATTAATAAAAAGGCTTTCAAAAAAACTTTTTGCATTTTTTTCTAACGTTTCAGACTTCATCCAGCTGTTTTTTTCAGACCTGCATCATGATAATCACTTTGATATGGACAGTATCCTTGTTGCTGGTCCTCCCGTATGCAATAAACATGAAGCTGACTTATATTGGCCAGCCATGTGATTTCGTCGTCTGCACAGAAGATTGGAGCAGCCAGCGATTTCGTACCATATTCGGAATCATTGTCATGTCTCTTCAGGTACGAGAGAAAAATCACATGGATGTTCACAAAAAAAAATAAATCCAAAAAAAAAGATTTAACTTTGAAAAATCATTTCAGTTTGTTATACCTTTCGTCCTAATCGGAATAAGTTATTCTTGCATCTGGATATTCCTGAACAACAGGAGTTTTGCGAGTGAACGACGAGGGGAAGCGGCCAGGTAGAACATCTGAAAAAGAGCGAAAATATTCATATTCGAAATATTCAGGAAAAAACGGCTTCTCCGGATGTTGATAGTAATGGTGGTGATTTTTGCCGTCTGTTGGTTCCCATTCAATTTATTGTACGTTTTCCACTTTTCTCGGGTTTTAAACCGATGAGTTTTCAGAAATATTCTGCGAGATCTCAAATGGGACTCATTTATGAAGCCCTACTTCAGCTTTCTGTTTCTATTAGTTCATCTAATTACCATGACTGCTACATGTTGGAATCCCATACTATATGCCTGGATGAATGAGTCCTTTAGGTGATTAACCTTTTCTTTTCATTTTCCTTACTCAAACGTTCAGAGAAGAATTTGCAAGGGCAATCCCTTTCCTCCGATCTCCGAATAGTGCGCCTAGTCGTGTTCGTATCATAACTGGTAAACTGAGAAAAATATCAAAGAATTGAAAAATGGATTTAGACTGCAAACCTGCCACGGAACGTACCAATTGTGCTGACTGTTCAACGGTAACTAATGAAGCGATTTCTACGGTTTACTCGAAAAGTGAGTGACATTTTGTTCGGAGGAGTAGTTTTATAAATGAAAGTAATTATAGGGGAAGGATCAAAACTTCAATAATCGATAGTTTTCAAAAAGCGTTTCTTTTTCAGGTGTTTTCTCTCGGATAAGCGACGGTTTCTTGGGCAATGGAATCAGCAAACTGGCTCATCGGGAGAAGAAAAGAAACACGTTGGTCGTCGAGGACAGTGAACCCGAAGCTCATTTGCTGTGATACAATTGATGAAAGCGAGCAGAGACACAACTGAAAATTACTGAAAAATTCAGCGATATGATCCAGTTTACGGCTGTTGTCTTTTGACATCTTGTAAAAACTCAAAGGTGTCCTGAATTTTTTCCTCTTTTATCTGCTCCAATTTTTATATAAACTGAAGTTCTATAATTTGTCAAACTGTCACCAATATACTTCAAAAGTTCTCAGTTTATATTCAGAAAGTTACAAATTTTGTCTATTCGCTCCACATGTTTCTGTATGCATTGATAAGAATGACCCTTTTTTTGGGGAATTTTTTTAATCATTATTTTAATTATTTTCTTGCCAATTTGATTTTAACTGATTTTTTCTTCCTGAAAGCACACAAAGAAAAAATGGCCAAAAGCTGTTTTTCCAAACTTCATGAAATTTTAATGATTACTTTTCCGATTGAACGCTGTCTTAAGACCAGCGGTATATACGTCTTTTTTTTCTGCCCTCTCCAACGCTTTCTTTTCTTTATCGTGTTTTCTCGTTTTTTTTCATCTGATATTGAATTTCGCAGGTTTCCTTTCTCTATGGGTTTTCTTTTCGAAAGCTTGGTTAGTATAACGATCCAAAGAGATCGCCATATTCCAAAATACGATTACCCCACAACCTGACGCGTTCGAAATTTTTTATCTAAGATCTGCACAATAGCTGTGTTTTTCTGTAACAATAAATAAAAGAAGCTGGCACGTCGGAAAAATGCGGTAAAATTTGAATAACGCGCCAACCTTGCTTTCAAATATCCATTCCTCCCTGCAATTTCTGTGATTACATTGGTAATAATAGTTTTATTTGGCATCAATAAATATGAATGGCAAGTTCGATAAGTGTTTTTTAATCGTGGGAACTGAGCAAATCGGAACATATTAAAAGTGAAAGAGAGGTTTCTTTCATCGGCGGCAAAAAGAGCATTTGGCCATTGTGAGTATCATATCAAACACAAAGCGAAGAAAAATAACGTCAGAAACTCATTTAACGGTTCACATCTACATTGAACAAATCATGAGATACTTGCTATTTTGTTATTTCTCCTACAATCGTGAACAAGCGGAACAACAATCGAAAGGGAAGATAAAATAAAATAAAATGAATTCACGAGGAGCTGGCCTCATTGCGTCTCATTAGAAAACTTTCAGAAGAATGCAGATATAGCCCAGAACTCCAAGGTATTAGTACTCAAAATCGAGGAAATTTTCTGATAAGCGCCAAAGATTACAAAACAACCGGTCGAAAGTACGCAGGAAGAGCTTTAAAAGTGTTTTTTTATTTTATTTTTCAGAACTGTGAGACTTCAGGATCCCACGAAAAATTCACAGAAATATTCTGTTAAAACATTTGTGGAAGTTAAAAAAAAGGTCCAGTACTATCAGAACTGATGTGCTCCGAAATTCTTCGAGCACGTAATTTAAATCAAGAAAATATCAGATTATCGAGAAATGAGCAATGAGAAGGACATTTGAAATAGCTGTTAAAGCAGAACTTCATATCTGTTTAGTCCATATAAAACTTAGGTCTTTCAAACAATGAAGTATGAGTTTTCGGAATATCTATACATCACAACATATATTATGTTGATGATAACCTTCAATATCGTTCAACTACGGTCTCGCTGTCCCTCGAAATCGCCTTGAATCTTGAAACGAAGGTCGACGAGTTGTTGTAAGTTGAATGGATCTCTTCCGACGTTGGCTTCACGGGAACCTGGTTTTCCTGAATTATAACTTGTGAGATGATCTTCCAGAGTACTCACATCGTCTTCGTATCCCATGTGATTTAGAAGACGTGGAGCTGCAATTGATAGAAGGAGTTCAAATAGTGGAGCTGTGAACAAAGCAGTCAGAATGCAGCTTCGCAGAATCTGAAGTAATCATTTTCTCACGGTCTCATTAAAACGATCTTCTAGTCGAAGGTTTTTTTAGAACTTTTTCGACTTTCAAATTTCGATTTCGAATTCAAAAACAGTTATTAGCAAACTTTTCGTGACCTTTCAAAGAGTAATGACTCAAAACTCACAATATTCGCATCCCCAATGTACTGAGGGAAAGCAAAAGCAAGAGCCACTAGAGTTGGTCCGAGATCCGCCTATAAATAAGGATTTGAGAAGTTTGAAAAATTTTTGAAGAAAAGCAATAACTTTCAGAAAAATACTCGAAAATTGAATTTTTTGATAGAACTCACTTGAATAGCCGCCCGTGGAAGCATGCTCAAACAAATAACCACTTGTTCCTTGAACTTGGTCGAGAAACAGGCAGTGACCAGCATGACGAGAACGATGCGAACAATGATTCCAATTGCGATGAGACCGAGGCATAAGAAAACGCTCTCCCATGTGAGCTAAACATGCTAAATAATTTCAAAGAACTCGAAAAATGTGGTAAAACGCATCTCCATACTATTATTCTTAGAGGTAAAACTAAGATGTAGTCGGAAAAGTTTCTCAAAAGCTCTTTTATCCCACAAGTAAAAAGCAAAAGTTGGAATTTCGCCTTTCTTTTTTTTCCGATTCTTGTCTAGAACTTTGATATTTTTTTGAAAAAAATTAGAAAAAAACTACTTATTTTTTTCAAAAAAATTAATTTTTTTCTTGAGAAAAAGCCGAATTTTCTAGAAGTCTTTGAAAAGTTTGATTTTTGCAGATAACAAAAAAACTTCCCTATTTTATACTTTTTTTCTCTTTACAGAGAAGAAACCAACCGTAGAACAATCGAATTTCCTTCCCAGAAGAGCAAAGAGCAGTGGAGACGAGACAATTTCCCACATGTACTTGAAAGTCGTGACGATTGTCACACCCTAAACACTCAAAGTTATTCTAGTTCTAGAAAAGATTTCTGAGATTTCGGGGAACCTTATTGTCATTGTCCATTCCCCACCGTGCAGAAGCCATTGCGCCCATCAACAAGCCACCAACCAAACCGGCACATGGATAGAGCAAAAAGTACGATCCTATAATCTTTTTCGCTTCATAAAGGTAGAGACGTGGGCGGATGCATTTTTTTTTATTTTGAGAAGTTGTTTCAAAGATTTAAAAATGTTCACAGTTTTTCTCAAAAACTCAAAATGAGTGGAAATACTCGATAGTTTTTTAAATTATGATTTTATCGGAACAAGAGCAAAAACATGGGGAAATTTCCCAGGGCTTGAAGAAAACACATCTCAGAGTATCCACTTTTCGAAATCCTGGAAATATTGACAAAGGATGTCCTTATATTTCAGAAAAAACATCTCTTCGGAACCAGCCGTTAAAAAATTATTTTTAGAAGCGACCTTCCTTATGAGAGAACAGTCAGGCAAAAAAAAAAAAAGAACTTATTCGTTAGAAGTTTTAAAAAACACTCTTTATCTAGACTTTTCAATGAGACATCATTGATAGAAAGATAATCACCAATGACCAATCCAATGGAATATGTTGCGATGAGAAAAGTTCTAGCCAGACTCATATGCGGAGCGTCGGAGCGAGGGAACCTCCAAAAGAGCCAACCTGTTTTTTGTTCTTTCTTAAGTTATAAATCGAATGAGGTACCCAGAAAAACACCAGCAATGACTCCAAAAACTAAAGAACCCGCGTTGAGAAGCATTGACGAAACCAAAGGAGCTGAAACAATCATATCTTTACTTTTTTCGAAAAAATGTTATACTTTCTGAAAATAAAACGGATGAAATGAGAAGAACAGCCGATGCACAGAGAAAAACTGTCAAAGTTGGTCGCTGCCGTTATCGTCTCCAAAGTTCTCTGAAACTTTTTTTATAATGTGTTTGGTTCTTATTTCATAATTATTTGACCGCCGAAACTCTCTTATGATTAATCTTTACGGTTTCAAATTGATAAAAAAAATAAAAAAAGAGATAAAGTTAAAAAATTGATCCACAAAATGAGGGATTTTGAGAAACTCATAAACTCGAACTTAGAGCTTTGTAAAATTGAATTTTGCTGCACGAGGATGGTTCAAAAGATGGAATAGGGAGCATGGCTTTCTTAAAAAAACTCGGAATAAGCACATGGTTTTTTCAAATGTTCATTAGATATAGAACAACTCTTAAAAGTTTCTTCAAAGAGACAGTGAAAAGTAGATGAATGTTTTTTTCTCATTTTTTTGCTGTTTTTCATAAACAAAATCAAATTTACGCGCACTTCGTTATTGAGATAAAACTCATTCTTCAGTCGATTGATCGTGACGACAGTTGAAGCCGGCGAAACTGCAGCTAGAATCAACCTAGAACCACGTCAAGTGAAATGAATCAAATCATTAAAAAACTCACCCGCACAAAACAGACATGACCTCAGAGAGTCCCAAAATGAAATATGCTCCAAATCCAAGGGCAAGCGCCTCTCCAATCGGCGTCAAGATGCCCAAGGCGAGCGGCAAAGACTAAATCATTCAAAGTTATAAGAAGCTCGAATAAACCTACCGCTCTACTGTTGAGAAATTTCAAGTTAGTAGAGAGTGCCCAGCAGACGACAACGTTCACAAAAGCGATTTTTCTCAGAATCGCGTCCCAGTAAGGTGGAATCACAAAGATTTGATGTAGAATCGGAACGTTTCTCAGAAAAATGCCAAGAACTAATGATCCTGGAAGAAAATAATTTAGACCGGAACTTTTGATCATTGAAATGATGGAAGGATTTTAAAAGCGCAAAAAATTTATCTACTTTTCTGTGAAGTTTGTAACATTCCCAAGGTAACCGCAATCACTTTTGGTAATTGTCCTTATTCTTTCAAAAAATATGTCCAACAATTTTCTTTGTGACTTCTTCTATATGAAGTTATCGTTTCGTTTTTTATAACAAAAAACGAATCTCATAAAAGTTACCGAGAAGTGGCGGAAGCCTTATTATGTGAGCGACTCCACCAGCCGCTAGTGACATCGTCAAAATGAAGAAAACGACAAGAATGGTACGGACATTTATAGCCGCATTGTCGTCAGATACCAACGAACCATCTTGCAATGGATGCCCTGAGGACCAAGATAAATAATCAATCAGCTAAGTTGTACGAACAGAAGCTTTGTCCAAGAACCGTGATTATCGAGATGTAGAGCCCGATAAAAACAAACAACGCGGTGACGATTGAGTTCACCTACGAATCCTATTCAATTGTAACTTCTAGAAAATAAACCTCTCGATTGTTGAAAAAGCTGTGCAAGTTGTTATGCATCTTTGAGACGCATTGCATCGTCGTGGCTGAATAAATGACTTCGATATTTGTTCATAGTGAAAAAGGAAGGTAAAATTTAATTTGTGAAAACGTGGGTTTTATAAAAATATGATAGGATTTTATGTTAAACGAGTCGACAAACCGAAAAAAAAAGATCATTCTTTTTGATCGTTTTGATCATTTTTGCAATTTTTGAAGGTTATCGAGTGAAATATCTGCTCACGAAGTTTACAAGGAAGGTAATTGTGAACGGACTTTTTTTTTTGAATTTATCCTGAACTATTTAAAAATCCAGATTAAGATTTCACATATCTGCTACTTAGTTTTGGATCTATTATTCATCATAGTTGCGCAATATTAGTTTCAGGTAAATTTTATGCTACACACAAACTTGAGAAATTCTTATTCTATGAACTAGAAACTTGCGCAAAAAGTCACTATAAGGAAATTGTTGGGCAATTACAGAGTTTATTATAAGCTTCTCCAAAAAATACTATCCTTTATTGCCCGTTAGAAAAATGTTTCTCATCAAAAGAATATTGCAAAGGACATGGGCGAACTAGAAGACGGAATAGGGATTTCAGCAAAACATCGTTGTTGTCGGTCAAGCCTTTTAGAAAAACAACTGAAAAAACAGAGAAAAAGACGTTCAAGTTCTGGACGGCGGACGGTAGGAGCTGTCAGTCGTGACGGCCGAGCCAAAATATCACAAATGTGTCATTGTGTCGCGCCGGTATATTATTTGCATCGGTTGCCGCTTAACGCGATTTGCACGTTCCGTGAAATGCAAATCGCCAAAATCGCTTCCTCTTTAATTTTTGCGTCAGGAGAAACTGTATTGCTCATGAATGACGATCTTTTTATGCAAATCTTCAAACAACGTCAAAAATTGAATAAACGCGCAGAACTTTCGGATCATCTGCTCTTTGAAAACTCGTTGATGATTCACGCCCGGGTTTCGAAATCCTCAGTGTACAGTAGGACCATACTTATTTAATTTAAGGTTAAGCTCCACAAGAAAAAACAATTGTAATGCGAACTGGAACTTCCCATAATCTAGACGCTCTTTTGAATTTCGAAGAAAATCCTTTACAGTTGCTTTTTGCACGAAGGCTTATAATACGGGTTAGAGAGACTTTTCTTCTAACACGGGTACTCGTTGAAGAGAAAAAACCAAACAGATAGTCGCTCGAAATTATTTCCTCTTGAATTTTGAAAAGTTTTCTATTGATCTTAAAAGTTCCGAAATTCGAGCTACAACGTTCATCCTTCTCCGCGCAAGCTCTGGAACCTCTGAATGAAAACTTTTGTAAAGAAGAGATCACAAACACAATTTCGTATTTCAGTCTTTTCCAAATTTGACGTCCCTACCCTGAGAACGAAACAAAAAAAAATTATGAATGAATTTATTCCCAACACTTTCACAAATGAACCTACACAAGAGATCAGAAGGAAACAAATTTTAAAACTAGCTTTGTTTTGTTTGAATTTGTAAACGCTTAAATGATGAAACTCGGTCTGCCGTAAAACAGACTACTACTCGTTGAACATCAGAAAAAGCCTTCTCAGAAATCTTGAGAAGAGAAAATTTTATCCATTTAAAAATGATCGGAATAATCTGACAGCTTGGAATTAATTTATCTATAAGTTCCATTCACGCCGTTTCGAGGGTAGACAGTGCCTGGAGAAGTCAATTGAGGGACGTAGATGGAGCGGAATTGTGTGAAAGTCACGTTACCATCCCCAGGGGCTTCGTCTATGCTTTTTGCTGGAGCATAGCCCACCGAAGGGTCCAGATAAAGCTGAAAAAAAATTATGTTTACTCATAATGAAAATAGTTGTTCATAGTGTCACGGTTTGGTTCAAGATAGAGTCTTCTTTTAATTATCGAAACGTCATTACTTAGCGACAGAGAAATATAAACTCCTTGTTCTGCCCCACTCATGGAAAATTAAAAAATACAAGTGAAAATGAATTACAAGTATCCTGGATCGCTTCGCAACCGTGACACGTTCAGTTACTCGTGCAACACTTATAATGCATACCGTATGGCACACATCGTGTCTCAAGAGTTTCGGTGCCAAATAACTCAGGAGAATTTCAACCAGAGGCGCTGTGATGATCACCGACACCACGCATGCATAGATGATCTGCAAAAATTGGAATAATCAAAAAAGCTCTTGTTCCACAAAATGAACTTTTTCCGCTCTTGCGCGAGATTGAATCCGACGCTCGCCTTGGCAAGCTGGGCCCCGAATTGTTTCTACATGGAGAAGAAGCTGATCGTTGGAATGCTCAACATTCGACTACTGATATCAAAAGAAAGGCGAGATTATCCACTCCAGTTTCGCAAATCGACCAACAACTTTTCAATTATTCTACGATTTAGAATATAATCTTCTCTGAAGACATAAATTTGTACAAATATGTAAAAAGTTTGGCTATTTTTTAGAATGCGTGCTTTTTTTGAGCTTTTTTTGTCCACTGAATTGAGGCCTCAAACCTCCCTAAAACTTCAACAAAGCCCGCACTACAGACGATATCAAGTTCAGTACGAATTTGATGTTTGCTACAAAACACGGGGTTGAGAACGATGAACTATAATTTGACCTGGACCAGACAACATTCTTGCTCTTTTTGTATGTTTTTTTGCACTTGTACAATATTTCTTTCAAAGTCTGGGATACATTCACAAAAATCAAAAAAATCGAAAATTTGTTGGGTTTGCGCAGAAGTTTTTCCCCATTGTTCTGCTGTCCCCCTATCAGAAATTTAACTTACGCAAAAGTATTCCACTTGTTTTAGGTCTTTCTAAGTTATTAGCTGTTTAGTTTTAAATCTGAATTCCCAAATATTCAAAGATCCCGTATAAAAACTCCATTCCTTGTAAAATCTTCACTCGAAGTGATCGTTTTCATTTTTAGGCTCCCACCACGGCCTCCGGGCTCTAGTTTGACATCCGCTACACTTCGAGCTCGTCAAGGCACAACTGGATGAACTAAGCTCAGAAGAACGAAACGAAATACCGTAAGACCATGCTTTCAACTAGATCACCTGTAGGTTCGGACTTCTAGTTTGCCATAGGCGGCTGTTCATTTTAGCTTTGAAGGCTTTTATTCACGGCCTAGTAGAATACATCTATGACTAAAAACAACAAAAATAAATTATTTTTATTTAATTTGTTCAGCCTTTTACAGCTGCACAATACTGCAATGTTCAAAAAAATGATCAAGTAAGCAAAAAAGGAGCTACTCGATATTATATTTTCTAACCTCGAAGATGATGCACGTAGCAATTACGATCAATTTTCGAGAGACTTTAAAAAAACGTTCCACGTTTTGAAATTCCTTTTTGATTGCTCTGATCAATGTTCGCGTTGCGTTGCACTGTGAAAAGTTAATCTCCCCATAATTGTTTGTCTCCTACGAGAAGTTTACTCTTATTGCTTCAAAAACAATATGTTTAAGAAGAATCGATACCATTATCTAAACAGGACCTCGATGAAGCTCGATAAGATTACGAAAAAAGCTTGCAAGGCGCTTTGAATAGGAATAGGCCCTTCGAAGGCACCTTTCAAGAGAGCCTAGACATTCTTATCTGAATGAGGCCACATTTTTCCTAGAATCGTGAATTCCTGGTCCACATACTACACCGGACGATTAGGCTCACTAGATAGCTGTCTTGTTTAATTTTTGACTTTCTGTTATCATTTTGAAATGGTTAACGATAGGAAGAGCTTGGAACAAACGCCCGATACCATTCTTGTTTCTAAGCATGATGTGAGCTGGAAAGATAAAAGCCTACCACTTTGATATTTTCCGCATATTCGGGAAACTTCTGTGCAGAGAGGAGTAGTGAAGGGCCCAGAGCGCACTGAAAAATGGAAACTAGAGACTTTTTTTTCGAGTTCGTATCTATTCGTTATCGACAGTTAACATAAATGACTGCACCTGCTTAGACGCGCATGGTAAACACTAATCAGAATCTGCTCATGATAAACTAAACATTTTTTAAAACATACTCTTACCTTCTGAAATCTGGAAAAACTTCTCTGAATAGTATCAACTTAAAATCTGACAAACTTGAATAGCTTCAGAATCGAACGCGTTTTCTCAGAACTTTGCGGTAATTTTGCATCGGGCATTTTTTTTTTTAGGAAACTACCGTATTTTGAGGATTTCACTACATACTTCCAATCTCTCCTCAATAAGAGTTGGATGGATGTCTCAATATTTTTGGCTAGAACGAATTGTTGCCTCAGTAAATATATAAGTTTATAGGTTGACCTAAAATCTTGATTTCACAGAAGATAACTTCATGTTTTTCCTGCCTAAAAAATTATTTACTTGAACAGTGGCTTTTGGCACGAGAGATAGAGCAAGGACGAATTGTTCGGAAATTCGAAAGTTTCCGCAGGCGGCAAGTGCCATGGCTGTGAAGAAACGGACAAAAGCCCCGACAATAACCAGAGTCAGCGTCATCTTGAGCTCGTACCACGACAGCTGAAAAGTAAGACTTTTTTCCGGAGTTTGGTTCATTGTGCTTGAACTATCTTCAAACCTGCTTTCTTATAAATGTGCTCCGATCTCTTAAAACTGCAGGAGATACAATTTTACGGAAAACATGAACAAGGAAGAATCCGAGACTTCTCTGGGCAAAAATGCTACTACATTCTTTGCAGTCCGATAAGAGAATTGTGTGAGTAAGCATCAGATAGGTTATATAATTATTCAAACAACTTAGTACGCTTTTTCAAGGTTTGTATTTTCTTTGTTCGGAAGACACATTTTTTTCATAATGACCATGAATTTGTTCTTGCTCTTACGTTGTCTAGGTTGAATTTGTAGCCGACTAACATGAAGAGGATCGGTGACGAAACACATTTCCACAGGACGTCGTAAGAGTGAGCAACAACGTCAATCTGAATAGAAAAAGACCTTTATATCGAGATTCTTGTAAAATTTATTCGAAAAGATTGGTTAGACTGTTGGGCTATCGGGTTTTGAAGAAAATAAGTGTCGAGGTTTTTTTTGGTTCTTCAGGAAAATACTCCACGAGAATCTTTCATTATTCTTGTATGGCTCGAAATTTTTAACTTTGAGATACATTTGTTTCTCAAGGGATATTTCAAAAAACAGAAAATCAAAAGATTTCTAATGTCATAGGAGATCGCATTTTGCAGTAGGAAATACTAAACATTAGACTATATACATCTGAAGTCAAAGAAGTTAAAACAAAAAACTGGACTGTTTGCAAAGTTCATGTTATGAGACTTTTGATAGTTCCATTTGTTCTGATATTTCTTTTTTTGAGTCTTTAACGGAACAGAAACCGAAATATAAATCTGTCATAGAGTCATTCGCAATTGTTAGCTACAAACTTGACGTAGACTTTAAATTCGGGGAAATTACGTATGGAAGTGGCAGTTGAGGTAAGTAAATACATTCTGTAAGAGCTTCGTATCAGCCATTCTTAAAGTGCACGTCTATCGGAAGTGACTCTCTTGCTGGGGCGGGTGACTTTCTGGACGAAAGCGTCATAATTTCAAAGGACGGGTGATCGGCGTATTTTCCAGGGTTTCGTTCCGTTTCTTTGGCGATGTGGAGCATCCGCTGGACTTAAACGGGCACTTAGCGCGTAGAGCTTTATTCAAGTGAAGCCTCTTGAATGAAACGAGTGATGGGGCACTGATAATTTCGAGGAAAGTCGCTGAATAAAAACGCGTGGAAAATTGTGACCCTTGCCAATCAACCTTCGCAGCATTAGAGGAAGGAGTAGCCGATTTCACTTTCCATTCCTTCAACTGGGAAAGTGCTCAGACTTTGGATGATGATAGATTTTGAATTCATTTCAAAATAGTAGAAAAAAAAAGTCTCCTAACCCCTGTGAGGTACCTGAAGAAAGTATACCCACATTTTTCAGAGAAAGCCGGAAAATGTCGAAACCCCTCTTTCCAAAGAGTTTTTAGGATCAATCATAGGCTAAAAAAAAGATTTCTATTCGTTTTATAGGTGAAAAACAATGATCAAGCGATTTCCTATTTTTTTTTCAGTGAAATACTTTCTCACGGTAATCTGTAATGCTTATTATACTGTTTGAAGTGCTCTTACCTAATTCGATCCTCGATTTCTAACTCAATTCACCCCTCAACTTTGCTCTTCACTCTTTGCAACCCCATCTAATCAAAAAATGAGCTGATAACTTTGCGACCAACAGAACAAAGTGAATGAAAATGCTTTTCCCCTCAAACTGAACAAAAAACTTGTTCATTTCATTGCCTCCGCCCACGAAAATAATGAGATATAGAAGTTCACAAGCTCATTCTGTAGGCGGGAAACAACGGCAAAAAATTGGCTGCTTCACACAATTAATCAGTGCTTGAGAGTCGGAAAAAAACCTTCTTTTGGTTGTCATTTCTCCACTTCGTGCCGGCAATAATGCAAAAAATGAGCGTGCAGACAATGCCTGGGAAAGCGTAGCCTAGGACCACCATGCCTGAATCCAGATTAGTCATGCTCCTAAACAACGTAGAAGACAAGTTTTCCCACTAAGAATCACTCCGTGAGAGACGGAGCCCAGCAAAAATATTCTCGCGAACTGAGTATGACTCGAATCGTTTCGTGGAAACCAAGTCATGACGAATCCTGAAGTCTGTTATCGTCTGAAAGGTTTTGAAAGAATACCCAAAAAAAGGCCGACCATGGCGCCAAGAACGATCGCTCCTATGGTTGATATCAGAGCTGGTAGAAGAAGACCTAAAAATCGTTTCAATTTTTTTTTTTCTAGAAGATTCTGCCATTCGCCAACTTTCAGAGCTCAACCGTTGTTTTTTTTTTCTCCAGCTACTTTCTCCTTGAAAGAAAATGAACGAAAACCGGCCAGAGTTTTCAAAAATCAAGGCATACACGTCTCGATTCCTTTTGAAGCAAAGAATAAAACTTCCCTTTTTTTCGAAGAAAATCCTCATTGAAGTCAACCAACACTAAAAAGCTCACCGCGAGTGAAAACCAGAGACGATGTCAGAGAAAAAACAAAAATCGAAAAAATATTGTCGAAACAACTGGCCGCCGGTACAAAGTACGTTATTTTCTGGAAAAAATGTATTTTTGAATAAAATCGCTTTTTTCAACTTTTTCGCATCCAATTTTCATGGCGCGTAGTTTGGCCATAACAGGTCCAGTGATTGCTGGAGATACTGTAGCCAGAAGGAAGCTGAAAGTGCTTTTTTTGAAGCAAAAAAAGAAAGCCAATTTTTACGCTTGACATTTACCTTTTCTTACAAGCGTGTCATTCTGTATCTTCAAGTTTCATTCTTTCGAAGCTTAGAAAAGTTTAGAGAGAATAATTTTGAATTGACGTTGTAATCATTTCAGTTGCTCCATTCTTTTTTTGTTTGAACTTTTTTTTTATTATGGCGAAGTTCTGATAAAATTTTTTTGACTCGGAGTCTTTGGAAAGAAGCCGAATTGCACTGAAAAACATCCTCTGGAGTTCCAGTTTTTTCAGAAATTTTTTATAGAAGCTACTCGTACTTGAATTGAAACCGGTCCCATAACTTTTTTCAAGTTCAACTCGAAAATTTCAGCTCAACGAAATAAGAGACACTCGGGATAATATGAGGTATCAATTTGTTTCCATTCATCGCCTCGTGACTGTAGTTTTCAACGAACCCGGCAATAATTGCCATTCCGGGTGACATGTCATACAGAAAAATCGCCAGAAGCGAGATGACAATTGCTTCGAAAGTCGCCGAAGTGATGCCCAAAACAGATGAGAAAACCTGTAATTTCATGTGTCATCACGTAGGCGCTTCACAGACATTTCGTGAGATTTTTCCCCTCAAATTTCACACCTGCTACAAATCTTCAATTCATCATTTTAATTGCACACTCCTTACGCAAATCGCGCACGTAACGCTTGAACGTATTATCTTACGTCTTGATTTTTGGTATCTATAAAGGGAGACTGACCGCGAGGTGTAAAATACAGAGAAAAATTGGCTATTAGGTTCAGATTATTTTCTGTGCGTAGTGCGAAGTGCTTTAAAATTTAATATTTCCTCACTTTCTGAACAAGTTAGAGAGATAATCCGTCCATATTTTTGAGCAAGCTTGTTTTACTGAATAAAAGTTTTGAATAAATAAACTGGTTTTGGGTTGTTATTTTCTATGCTCCACTCACAACTAGCGAAGAAAGACAGTACAATGAAAAATTTACAAAGAACGCACGTAACATTTTATGATCTTAAAAATTTTTTTGATTTGGAGTTAGCACCCTAAAAAAATTTTGAGCCCGTCATTTTTGAGCTCGGAAGTTGTTTGGATTTAGACTCTTTCAATTTGATTCAATAAAAAAATTATTGAGCTGATTTTTCAGAAATAATTAAAGTCCAAGTTGAATGAATTTTTTTCATAAACTTTTTTTGACTTATTTTGCTCATTTTATTGAAAGAATCCTCTTATTGAAAACTCATTTGGAGCAAGCGATGAATCAACTTATGAGCGCAAACATCGTTACTGTTGTATCAAACACCAGAACTCAGTTTTTCTTCCTGATGTTTTTGTTGTTCCTGCCTAACTTTCGATAAAATGTCAAAGTTGTTACTCACATTCCATTTTCCAGCTCAAGGAGCTTCAACATTTTGTTTTCTAACTTCTTTTATGTTGTTGGAAAACTATGGCAAAGTTCATAAAATATCAAAACCCTTTTGCGGCTGGCTGATTCAAAAAACTAGCGGCATTTCGACCAATCACAAGTTTCTTTTTCTCGGAGTTACCTTTTGGATGATCTCTTTTTGAAAGTTGTTTGAAAAGTTTGTTCAAACCATTATTGAATCAAGTATAAGGAAATTAGATATCAGAAAAGAAATTCAAGAATTCAATCATTTTTGAGAGCTGACATTCAGCAAGTCATCCAAATCCTATCATCAACTTATAGAAAACTTTAACAATCCATGGATCAAATACTAATCGCTTCAGTTTTTCAATGGATCAAAAATGCTGCATTAAGTTGCGATTCAGTGGGCTATTTTAGAAACCATTTCGAAGATTAAAATGCGCAACGGAGTTCAAGGTAACCATTAATCATTTTTTGAAAATTTCATTATTTAAAAAGCTTCAACAACCTCAAAAGCTCTTTGAGAGTATCTGCCTTGATTTTTAAAAGTCCTGAGGCAACTCATACCAAAAAAAAAAATGAAGGCTTCGTATTACTATTTTTTTTATTTTTTTGGGGTCAGAATTACTATTTCAGAAGTTTTGATGATATTTCTAAATTCTCAAAAAAATAAAAAAATAAAAAAATTGAATGTTTATTCATTGAATGAAAAAACGGAAAAATTTAAGCAAGTACAAAGGAAGGAGAATTTTGGTTTTTTTGTGATCAAGCTAGAAAATTCTCATTTTCTGAGTGGAAAATATTCTAGCTCAAAATGTGGAAAATTCGTCTCGATAAAACGTTCTCAGAGAGTCTGCCACCCTGAATTTCAACAGCTCCAACGGAGAAAAACTGAGCTTTTCAAACTCTAATCAAACAATTTTCTGAAAAGCTGTTCTTCGTCGTTGTTAAAAAATGTAAATTCTACCTTTACCCGGCGACAGTGTGAAAACGGAGCTAAGTCACGATACTCAATATTCTTCCATGGTATATTATTGTTTCTTTATTTTTATTAAACTACTAGGATACCCTAACTTCTGAAATTCCTGAGAGAAAACAAAAATTTTGGTTTCTCTTTTCATTATTTTGAACTATATTTCGGCCTTTTTAGCCTTAAAACCTACGGTACTGGCCCCTCCTCTTTGCTCAGCCTTCTTAGCACGTTTCTCTGAGGTTCCACCTTCCGCCCGCCCACATCGAAAATCGACACGCCTTATGCATACCACCCAGAGCCTTATCTCTCATTTTCGGACACTCTAGCTAGTTCATTGCTCAGTTCTTTTGATAAGATGCTCTCAAATTGTATTCTAAACTCGATTCTTTTTGGAACTCATCAGTCAATACTGGTTCGGATACCCTTCTATCTAAATAAGTTCAATAATTTTTTCTGCGACTGGTGATAACAGGCTCATCTTATTTCTGATTCTTTTCTTACCGTTTTCGGCATAGTTTTTCATAAAGCTGGAGGTTCCCCTCTGTTTTTTCTCAAAACAAACGCATTTTCTTCAGTTTTGATGGGGAAATTGGGTCTTTGGAAGAAGGGCTTTGAAAAATAGGCCCGGATAAATGAGCCAAGAAATTGAGCCGGAAAATGAGTGCTTCAAAATTCGGAAAGAGTCACTCGCTCATAGGAAATATACTTCAGAAGCTAAATTTTGGTGTTTTGCTTTGCACCGTTCAATTTTCAATGATAATTTCCATGGGTTATTGACTTTTTATTTGTGACATTTTTTTAAAAAAAGTATCAAAAAGTTCAGGCATTGGTTTTGAAACATTTCGGTAGGCTTTTAATACTGTATTCCCTCTAGTGTGAGGGAAAAATTCATTGAAGTTTTTAAGATTGCTTCAGTATTTTCGTCAGAAACTGGCACTGTATGAGACATTTTTCGAGGCGTGCATCTGAGAAAAATGATGCAGATAAAAATTCATCTTTTTGGTTTTACTTTCTCGAATAACTTTTTTCCAATTCGACAAAATTCGTGAAATGCTTGTTCTCAAAAAAAAAACCGAGAGCCCTTGTTCAAGTTTATCCAGTCTTCTCTATTTCTTCACTACTTTTCATGTCTGAATTTTTGATTTTGAAAACGACTCTTCAAGCGAGTTAGGACAAAGGCGTGTTTTTAATCGGTAATTTCACTACAGAATATTCCCAATTTTGATTTTCATTTTACGCAGTTTGTTTGTTATCAGTCTATTTTCTTCCCTTCCTAGTTTCAACTAAATATAATTCAATAGAGCATCGATTTGAAAAAGTTATAAATAACAGTTCTTGCGACGGTAGAAACGTATTAAATTGAGCTAGATACTGCTTTCATTCTTATTCTTTTCACTTTATGCGTTTCGAGACCTTTATCAAGGCCATTTTGGTTTTCTTAATAAACCTCAATTTCAAGTTTTCGAAAATTTTCCACTTACTAGATTTTGTCTGATGAAATTGACATCGACCGAAAGTCCCCAGCGAATGATTATATTGACCAGCGTTATTTTTCTGAGCATAAATTCCCAGTAATCATTGACGTAGACAACAGAAAAAAGTGCAGGAACGTTCCTCACGGCGATTCCCACCAATAGAGCACCTAAAAGGTTTTTTGTTTTTACGAATAAGCTACTTGGTACCTAAAAGGGGAGGTAGATAGATCATGTCGAACATTTTTCCAACAGCCAAGGAGGCTACGACCATCAGGAAAACGGACATTGTCGAGTGAACGATGTCGTTTGAGGCATTTTCCAAATCCAAAGCCGACTGAGTTACGTCTTGGAATGGATGTACTGGAATCAGCTATTTTATCGTTAGATCGTCGGTAAACTTGCCAATGTTCTGTCCGAAAATTGCAATTAAAGAAACGTAGACAAAGAACAAGATTATAGCGCCGGTAGTGATAATATTGACCTGGAGGAAAAAAATACAGGAAATTCAAATATTTCGTACCTGATGGTTGTTGAAAAAGTTATGAACATAGTTACGGGCAACAGACAAACGTCGTTGCTCCATTTACCTTTTTGTTGTCTGCCAAATTCAGGGGAAAGAGGCGGCAGAAATCGAAATTTCAACAAAAAAACGCCCTCAAGTTTCTGGATTTGCATAGTATTAAGTGAACTTATGTACTTCAAACATTCGAATGTGAATTGAGAATTTTTTCTGAAATCCATAAAAAGTATGTAGTTTTATTCGTTTCAAAAATGTATTATCATTCAACGTCGTGTTTTTTTGGAAATCCTGTTATTACTCAAAAAAATGTTTACAGGGATATGCAAATTCTTCTTGTTCTTCTTGCTTTAATCCTTCACAGAGGGAACGCTGAGGATCCACGATTCAAAGCCCATGTCCTTGGTGGGTTTATCAAACTTAAACGGCAATTCATTTTTTGATTTTTCAGAGTGTAATCAAACGATGACTGAATCTGGAGTGTACACTCATCAACGAACGAATAATTCCGAAACATGTCTGACTAGGATCAAAGTGCCAGAAGGAACAGCCGCCATCATCTTCCTCACAGAGGCTTTTTGCGATGTTTTTTTTCTTCATTGATCCGATAAAAGCAAAATTTTATAGGTTACGCTCACAGAAATCTACTTAAAAATGTGTCAACGGAAAAACAGAAGCCACAAATTTTATCTTGGCGAGTACGAACTGTTGCACAACCAGAAGGACTACGTTCAGTTCAACATTGTCTTTGTCCCACACAAATCCTACAGTAAGGCGAAATCTTCAGCAGTCGGTATTCCGACTATCTTTCTTCAGATTGCGGAGACCTTGTGCAGAACCTTTATTCGCTCGTCACGAGTGCGGCCACTCTGACCATCCGCGATGACAGAAAAATCTGTGCGCTTCATCTTCCACAACCAGTTAGAATCCAAGTTAGAAAAAAAGGACCGACAAGTGCAAACGTTAGTTGGCCATTTTAATGTAAATAATAAATTTTTTGCTTAGTGCTGTGCAGAAGTTTTCACCACTGCAGTGTTCAGAAGAAGGTTTTTCGCTTCTGAAGTCAGCCAACTTTGTAAAAAAGGTAAGAATTACACTCAAGGAACTGTAACTCAAACAAAACTTTTCTAGGAGCTACAGCAACCGTTGATGCAAGCTGTGAACGTCCGCAGTTGATTTTGCGAGGAGCAGCAAACGGAGACTTGTTCGAGATTGAGACAGAACCTTTGGAACCAGGTGTTTGCACGATGTAAGCTGACTTCTTCGCCTTAATATTCAACATTGTTTGTGTTGAGGAATCCTGCAGTGCAAGTACCGCCGCAGAAGTGTCGTTTACGCCCCAAAAAGTGTTTCAGACCAACTCTTAGCCAATTTCTTAAATAGTATTAGCTTTTGATAGTGTTTTCTATCAAATTTCCAATGTATGTCACTAATCGATGCTAAGTTCAATATCTTTTTTTCTGTATATATGTACAATCCTCGATCTCTCCTTTTAATTGTGTCATACTTTTTATTTGGTTCTAAGAACACTAGGTACGGTTCAAATCATACCTGTACAACGCTCTCAGAAAAGTATCTCTGGTGTCCGGCTGAGACATTCTTGAAAATTTGGCAAAGTTTATTTTGAACTCCTCTGATTCCAGTTTTTCAAAAAATTGTTTTTAGTTATGAAACTCCGAAGTTTTTCACGGTATCAAATTATTGCAAACAGTTAATAATTGGCGATTTTGAAGCTCCATAGCTTGAATAAATAGGAAAGTTATAAGAAGTTTCCTGTGAACTAGATCCTGAGGACATTAAAGTATATTTTTGCATAATTTTGTCTTATTCTTAACCATCCAACATAAAACTGCTTCGTGGAGCATATTTCTTGCTTTTGATTTTTTTCGCATCCTTTTTTGTTTTCTTACAAACTCATTTCCCTCGCAACTCATCTCCTACCATTGATCACCTAAGAAACACTCGTCATAATTGTGAAAATTTGAGTGTCATGGTTCTGAATTGGTCATATCTTTGATCTACGCATTTTATCATATGATAATTGATTAGTTCACTTCAAGCGAAAAAATGAAGTGTCATCATTTGAAGAAATTTTCATCTTTCAAATAAAAGTTTTTATAGCTGTGGAAAAAACTTTTCTCACATCATCCCAAAATGTGGTATTTTGAAAACTATTTAAGATAATTTTCCCCAGTTAGGGCAGTTTGGAACTTACTCTCGCACAAACATCCATAATACAGTTTGCTGTTTAGATTTTTTTGGATTTTCCAAATTCTATGAAAACGAAAAAAAATTGAGAGTACAATCGAATATTATTCACGATTTCTACTAAGCCCAACGAAGAGTATTTGTGCACATTTTCCGACATTCTCGGAACCCATAAAATTTAACCTCCACTTCTACCGGGTTTTTTTTTCCACAAGAGCGGGTACCTGTTCAAATAATCAGCATTGGGAAGATCATTTCAAGAAACTTTTTTACTCAAACCTGCCTTGAGTTACTTTCATCGTTTACTCAAAATAACCAGACATCTTTTTTAATCCAAAATGTTCACAAGACTTTCAGTGAGTATTTGCGGATCTTCCAGCAAAGCTGGATCAGCTCCCATTGACCAAAACACTATCCAAGTTCTCATTTCGAAGGCGTTTCAACGACTTTCACACCCTCACTTCAGTGACACCTACACAATGGTTTAGCCGGGCGGATCTGAACCAGAGAACAAAGTGAAACGTTCCGAGAAAAATGGCAAAGCTACAAAAAAAAGTTTTGAAGCTCTTGAAAATCTGATTTCAAAAGCCGAAATGCCACAGAGGGGATTGAAAAATGCAACAAAAACAGGATATATTTTTCGTAACAGAAGTTTTTGAGTATTTCGAAAAATTTTTAAAAATTTAGTGAAAAATTTCTTGAAAACGAAATACTTTCAAAAGTCTGCAGTATCCAATGAAGCTTCTCATTTCAGCTCAGTATTAATTTCTGAGGAGCTGAAGATATATTCTGCTTGAAACCAAGTCGAAAGTCATGTGTTTCAAATTTTCGACCGGGGAAACCGATGTATCAAATTCTCGGACTGCGATATTCAAAACTGACCCCGCATCAGATGTAATTTCGGTCTCCTCGAACATTCGACAAACTGACTAAGCTTCAATTTTCCGACTGATTCTTCTTCAAACATTTTTTTCACGAGTTGATGAATTTTTGAGGATGTCTCTCCGAATAACCGAGACGTTTTGTCCAAATCTCTCTACACAAACTTTCAATTTTCATAATCAGGCTTCTGTGAAGTATAAATGAATAATATTACCAGACGCTTTGAAAAAAAAATCTCAATAGCGACTAGAAATTTTCAAACTAACGAGCCCGAAAATCAGGTTTTGAGCGACTTCAAAACTTGTGTCTCTTATGAAAAAGGGTATCAAAATCTTTCCTCGGCTCTCTTTTCCAACTTTTTTTCTGGTGATTTTTTAACTTTTTGTTAATAAAAGAGTCACATGACAGAGTTCAAAGAATACTTCTTGTTTCTTTGAAACCTGAGTATCCCGAATGTACTTGGTAGATCTGGAACGGACATGCATTTTTCGATATCTTGAGCGCCACAAATGATCCATTTCCAACTAACATTAAAAGTACAATATGTTCTAGAAAACATTTTCAAATCAAAACAAACGGGTCTAGACCAACTTTTTTTCATGAGTTACTGAAATTGAAGTCAGGGATTTGGATAATTACTATTTCATCGGTTTTCAAAACCCCGGGAAAAATGAAACATTTTTTTGATTATACTAAATCTTCGATAACAGAGGTTTTCAGTTTTTTTTAGGTGAGATCCCTGATTTGACTTCAGTATCTATTCGAAAGAAATTCTCAAAATATTCCTGAAGTTTCTGAGAAAATAAGAACTGATTTGTCTTTCTTCCAATGTACGCGGCAGTGCGTGGTCGCTATACCGGTCTTTTCTGACAGGAATGACGGAAACGGCCGGAAAATCCGTCGGTTGGCGTGATCCCGCGCTTGATTCTCCATTTCCAGCTTTTCTGCTGAATCAGTTTCTAATCAGTTTTTTTTCAGTTTCCCACGCAAATCTCAAATTTTGCTTTTATCGACTTATGCTCTAACGTCAGCTTTTTTTCTTTCTTTTTTCATCCGTCTTTACTGTTTCACAAAGGATTAAATGAAAATGCAAAAGTGTTTTGGAACGAATGCGCACTTCTTGATCTTGTGAGACGAGTCTTTTCAAGACCGAAAGATTCGAATTCCAAGAACTGAACATGAACCAAGAAAAAGATCCCTTTTTCCATAAAAAAGAAAGCTTGTACTTTTCAGCCTATTCAAAAACTTCTCGAAAACAGAAACTCTCATAAAAAAAACTCTTTTTTCTAACATTACGACGAGCCTTGTCATTCAACGAGTAAACTTAAAAAAACATCTCTTATCAAATTTTGAGTTTGGAGAAAAGCTGTACAAGCGATTTCTTTTTTGTTTGCAATAAATGTCAGGATACGATTTTCGGAGATTTTGGATGCGTGACATTTGATAACATTAGGTTGTTTGTAGTTCACCATTGTCTTCAGAAACAAAGGATTCTTGTTTAGATCTTTTTTACGGATGAATAATACTAATTATGTAGTTGTTTTGATATTCCTTGTTGAATTACTTATGAGTCGGACAGAAAGATGTGTGAGTCAAAAAAATTTAGTAAATGTAGGAAATACTAAGAAAATTGCTCGGGGAATGGGAAAAAGTTGGTATGAGCACCAAACCTTGTTGAATTAGTTGAAATGAAACGGCCTATCGCAGCGAAATTGAAGAATCTTTCGAGACATTTTTCAAACAATTTCAACTTGATGATTACTGAAACTTTAAAAAAAGGTTTCATTCGATTCGAATTCCGAATGTTTCCATAAGGTATAATATAACCGAAGTGACTTACTATCACGCGAGTGATTAGTGCTCAACGAAACCAATAGGTTGTATTTGCACAGCGCTCAAAAAGAACAGCAGTTCAAGAAAACTCCGAGCTGCAAGTTTTCAAGTGGCGTCTGACTTGCCACTCCTCAAAATATTAGGTGAAAAACGGTCTACTTGTTCCTGTTGCTTTTTTCAAAAGATTTTGTGTCAATTTATCGTGCCGACAGCCGCATGGCTCTGTGAGTTTTATTTCAGCTTTTTTTTCGCACTAGGACTCTTATTTTCGTTCAAAGATTTATTAATGTTGTTGGAGAACTTTTGACATAGGCTCTGGCTGTGACAGATTTTCTTTTGCAAAATGAACAATTTGATGGCTTGGAAGTTTTTCGAAAAGCTTCAGTTGAACCTAGAGTCGTATTTTAAACCAAAAAAATGTACACATGAACCCACGTGCAAAATTCAACTTTTAAAAAAGTTTTATTTGAACTTTTCAGAAATCAAGAGGATTTCAACGACTTCACCGTTAGCGTTGAGGAAGAAGAGAAAAGATGGAAGCTGAATAAGGATCTCATTTTGAAAGTCAGAACTTTTCGAAGATAATTTTTGCAAGTCTGAATCAGATTGAAGATTCAGGGTAACAGCACCAGTGCGATGGAAGGGTCGAGATCTCCTCCAAGGACGGCCCGTCTAGCCAAGTTTCTGAACAGTTTTGAGCCAATCCGGAAGCCGAAGATTCCTCTTCCAGCTGCTATCCGTTAGTTCATTGTTCTTTTCTCTAATATATCAATTCGGAGTGATTCTAAATTGTCTACAGTGCTTCTTCTTCCACGCCCAAGTAAGTTATGGCCGGAAATGTTTTAAATTATTGCTGACATACGGTAATGACGTTCCGCATGTCAGCGTTTCATAGAATGTACAAGTAGACAATTCTGATTATTTACTTCATTCTTTGAAGTTTCATGTAAATTCGAGAAATTTCTGTCTGGTGAATCACTTCAACCAAATGAGAACTCCTAAGTTTCTTATGTCAAGAACCAAAAACTCAACACACGCAGTAGTTCACTTCATTGTTTATGCGTTTTTGTGAACCAATAAAGAGTTTCGTCACGAAAAACTGATTCCCTTGATCGCGTACGTCTCGGCAATTTTCTCATAGCTTTTTCATTCATCACTCAACCGTGAGAAAAAAAGTCTTACTCATTGATATATATTTTTCGACTCTTTTGTTTTTTTCTTAGGTAAAAGTTGGAAAAACATCTATTTGCCTTTCCGGATAACTCGTTTTTGTGGAATGGGGGAGGGAAATAGGGACTGAATTTCAACTTTTTTTTGCCTTTTGAAAAGTTGTCATATCAATTTTTAATTAGGAAAAAATCGACCATAAATATGACGAAAAATCTGCGTGCACGAAAAAAAGTTATTGCTCATTGAGTGACAATATTTAAACGAAAATTGAGTGGAACACAAAAAATTGATCGCACGTGTCCTTATAAAGAAAAGATAGTATGTGTTCCACGACTTGAAATCTCACGGAACGACATTCCGCTGTTCCGCTGCGTGTGTTCGCGAAGCTTCTTTCGAATCTAAGTCATTTCAATTGATTGTTATTTCTGTGGGAGCGCATGAAAGTAGAGTACCTTAATCAAAAAGTTGAAAAATTAAAAGCGCGATCAAGTTTCGCAAAGGCGCGCAGCGGCACAGCGGAATGTCGTTCCGTGAAAATTCAACTCGTGGTACATAGGCTATAATTTATTCATCTCGAGTTCTTCTGAGAAAAATTTGCAGAAATGTCTTGATCAAAAGCCTTTGAGTTTATGCGTGGTCAATGAAGGTAAAGAAATGAGTTTTTTGCCAATTTAAAAGGCATAAGGAGAGGACGAAAATAAAAATAATTGTTCTTGAGATATCAGATAAACTCAAGATCCATTTCTTTTAATTTTCATTAAACTCTCAACCTCACAACAAAAATATAGATGAACTTTGTCTTATTTAGAATTTCACCCTCAAATTTATTTATCTTTGAGTTGGGTTTGAAAATACTTCGTGAAAAATAGGCTTGTCAAAATCTCAGGCATTTCTCTGCAGTTCCCTCAATTTCAGCGCGAACGATTGGCCCAGGAGCAGTTGTCTACGGAGAAGCACGAGCTGTACGACGACCTCTAAGGGTTACTTTTCATATTTTCTGTCTTCAAGTTATAATGACAGTGGTTTTCAACAGCACTAAAACCCGTAAAAAAGCGCGGCTGGACGCCAAGATTTCATCTGCTAGGTTTTACGAGATCCCTCTGTCCAGATAACTACGGGTTGTCGCTGCGGCGATCAACCCCAACACAGTTTTTCTTCGATTTTCCGCCTAATCGCCGCTCGTGGCATTTTTTTCAGTTCTCTTTATTGTACATATATAGTTTTTTTGCGCGAGCTTTTCAGATATATTTTTGACTTAAAGAAATGAATTACTGAAGAAGGATTTGTTTCCGAGAAAGTGAGACATCCTTCACGGCACGGAAAACATTCCAGTTCGAAAAAGTTGAGTGAATCTCTCTCGTGTTGCATGTTGCACTTCGTCAATTTATTGTCCAGTCAAAACATTTTTTTAGGCTTGAGAACCATTCAAGTAAGATGGCATGGTTTGGAAATTTTCCTTCTGTATAACGATAGTAATTATTCAGGCTGCCTCACTTAAGAAAAATTCATTAACATGGATTTTGAACTTTTATTAGAATTTGGCTCTAAAGACCCTTTGAAAACAAGTTTTTCATAATTTGCGGTATCTTGGATTAGGTTCATCCACATTTTGACCGAAATTTCGAACAGTTTCTGCAATAAGCTTACTTGAAATTCACACATCCCTCTCTTCTCCAATGAGTTGAAGACAAAAAGTGTCATCGTACCTGAAAAAAGGACATGAGTAAAGAAGGTTGATCAGAGATGAGAGCACACGTGTCAATAACAAACGGCAGCGGTCACATTGATACAGCTGACTTCAGTGATGGATCTTCCCGACTGCAAAACGAGCTCTTGTTTTCTGCACCAAGGCGTCGTCCTACGCAACTTTTCCTACAACTTTCAAGCTTCATTTACGTTTTTTTTTATTCTGATCTAAATTGAAAAATTATCACACAGACAAACTTTTTCAGTTTGAAGTTTTGAACAAATTAGGGAGAGTTCGCTTGATTACTGTTTTAAGGTCTGAAAGAAGACTTCTCTTGACCGATTCTTGCATAAAGTTGCATCTTCTGAGATGTGATTTTTGAATCTTGCGAGGAGTAGCTTTTGCGGTAAACCCAATATCTGATAATTATTATTTTGAAAACCAAGTTAAAAAATTGCAACCCTGAAAAAGTCTCCATCGAAACTTCCAAACAGTATAGCAGATCAACGGCTAGCTTTCAACGCAAAAAGGCGTGGCTTGCCTGCGCCTTCCATCACCCAGGCACTGTCTCTTTTTTATCGTATCAGGACCTTTTTTTCAACGGCTCAAGCCAGCCTTGAATTAGCTATACTTGAGCAAATTCACAGCAAATTCAGAATTTTACATCTAACTTACTTTCCGTGTTGGATCACAGAGGCAGCGATGATATTTTGAATTCAATGTTCGGAAAACTTCAAAAAGTCGGTTTAAAGGCACCTGGAACTTTTTTTCACTATTTTTTTCCAAGTTTTCTTTCAAAATCTCGATATGTACTTTTTAATTTACCCCTTTTCTCCCGTATCTGTAGAGCGGGGATCAAGAGAGCGCAGACAAGCAAAACAGAGAAGTTATGAATAAAGCATGACGAATGAACTATGGCTTTCCCAGACCTTAAACTGACCTTCAGGAAATTTTTTTCCAAACAAGCCACTTTTATAAGAAAAAAAAAACCTGGCGCCTCAAAGATGATCAAAGCTTGCTGAATCAGTACGATCTTACTCACAGGGATTCCTCAAATATCAGATAAATTTTGGAATAAAAGACGTCGGCCCAATAGTACTCCTCAAAAAAAATTTTCTCAGTAATCCATGGCTAGTTTTCTGTTAGATTTCCTCATTTTCCTGCTATAAGTTCAAATCGAGAAAACGGGTTTCAAAAGACGGGTAGCAAAACTTTGTTCCGCGAATATATTCAGCGACTCTTGAGCTCATAACAGGAAGAAGCGTAGGAAAACGCTTATAGTGCATTCAATATCAGAAAAATCTGTGTTTTTCCTGGAAAAATGTAAAAATAGTATTATATAAGCAAGTTGTTCATTACGACCGTATGTAGACCGGAAAGCTGTTGCATCTTTTTTATCACTAATACACACCTTTATATCCTACGCAAATCCTGGCGCCAACAAAACGTCGTTGGCCTGTCGCCAGCTGTTTGGTCCACCCGTGCTCTTCTTTCTCATTTGTTAAGACTACACTTGCCCCTCCTTCCCCAAAAACAATTATTTTAAGCCTTCCAGTTGTGTGGAAGTGCCTGTTCTTGTGATGTCGTCGTATTAAAAATCTTATTTTGCAGCTTATAAAACATTACTTTTTACACTGTTCATATAAACTCTGATGTTTGAAACTTCTTGGATCTGTCGTAAACAATTCCTTTCTTATGAATCGACTAATATGATTTACAGCTTTCACACTACTTGAAAAAAAAATCGTTTCGTTCTCACGACCTCCTCAATATTCAGAGAGCGTTTATTGATTCCAAATAAAACTGTTGACAATCACGTCGGAGCTAGATTTCTTGTTTTCGGACATTTTCTTTCTTTTCTTTTGGAATACTTTATTCCTCGCCTCAATTTACTTGATTTAGAAGCTGATAACTGTACTTTTTTGCAGAAGTTTTGCTCCAACGCTTCTGAATATCTAGGAAAAAAATCCGAGGAGTGTTAAAAATGGAGGCTTTTGATTTTTGGAGAAAATTGCTTACAATTTTTAAAAAACTCATTTCTTCCGTAACCCCTCGTAAGCGCCAAATATTGGAAAGTTTCATGAGAATTTACAAAATTTTTCATATCTCAAGTAGTGTTTGGTCAATTTTGAAACACTTCCCGAAGGACATTGAAACGTCGTTTTTTTGTAAGTTTTTTGTAACAAATCGCCAGAGTAGGTTACAGGTCATGATATCATAACAGAGCCACAATTTCGAGTTATCTCCCATTTGAACATTTATTTCCGGAAAAGCATTCTTTAAGGTCAAAAAATTGAGTCAATAAAGAAGATGTGCCGCAAAACGTATCCTGCTGCTCATAAGAACAATTGACCCCGTGTGCTTTCCTCGTAGCCGTCGCGGGTCAACTGCGCATGTTCCGCAGCATCTGTTCGCTCGAACCGTTCTCAGGAAATATTCCTTATGCCGCCCGGAAATATACCGGCTTTTAAAAAAAAATTGTTCAACTGAAAGTTTTCAGTTATTTGTGCTCGTCTTTTTCATGTAATACAGTGCGCAAAGAGAGTGGAAAATAGGCCTAAAAACTTTTAAAAATGAAACAAAGGTTCCTATTTTTCAATTTTCCCTTCTTGGATTTGTATTACTTGGTTCATTTCCTATTCAATGGTTTCCATCAAAATCTATTTTATCAGCTTACGAAATAACGAGACCTAACCAGCAAAATTTCTATTTCAGGCCGCCTTGTCGGCGGGCTACCAGCAACCCGCGAATATGTCCACTTCCGACATTCGAAGTGTCATTAGGTATTTTTGACTCTTTCACTGAGTTTTCAGACCGCCACAGCGTTCAGCTTTCCTTGGATGAAAATTTTTTCAAGAAAATTATTTGCTTAAAAATGGGCTTTCGAAGGTGATTCCAAAAATTGAGAACCTTTCTAAACCGTAACGATTCTGAAAAACACAAGCGGAATTTCAAAACCTACCTGAAAGTGTTATTTCTATGTTTGAAAGAAGCCCAATCACCCTATCAACCTTCATCAGTTAGAAAATTCTGAAAGTTTGAGGAAAAAAAAACAAAAAAGAATGCGATTCAAAAAATTTTTCGAGAGTACACTCAAAAAATCAGAAAATTCGCATTTCAGCTGCACGACTCCAGTCAGCGGCCTGTTGAGCAAAGCAGCAAGCGCCACGCGGATTCCACCAACGCCGAACGCCTTCGGCGAAAAGACCTACGTTTGTTGATTGTCATTTGAATATCGAGGACGTCACACTGACTTTCGTCCCGTTTCGTGAATTTGAAACAGAGGATTATCACACAATATTCCGACCAAATTAGGTCGGGAGGATCGCGGTGGGTGGTGAAATGACCGCATTCGCCTCCTTTGCATATTGCGCAAGCCCCATAATCTGATCTCAAGTCCATTGTTTCGTTCCGCATCCAATCTTCGCACTTTTTTGGCTTTCACCTACTGAACAATGTTTGTCGATGATCAGTTGCATGATTCACATAGATTTTGGTACCATAGTTCGTTCTACTTAGCTTGGAAAACTTTGGTTTCGTAAAAATAGGCTCAGCAAAAATCAAAAGAATTTTTTGCTTTACACTTACTTTGTATTGAATTGCATTCCTTGATTTAAAAAGGCAGTTTCTCAAAAACCAAGGATCAAAGTTATATATGATACCTGGAAAAGTAATCTAGCCAATTTTCAGACACTTCCGAAATTGGCAACTGATTGTTTTATGAGTTTTTGTAGTCCTGATAAATAGAAAGCCATGTTGAATTTTTTTTTTGCTTACTTATTAACAAAAGATAATGGCATTGAAGGTATTTCAAAATTGAAGATCAAATGATAAAATTAAGAAAAATCCTATTCTTTAGCATTTGGATTCCTCAAATGTCTTTTCGGACCCAAACAAAAATTTTTCTTCAAAAATCCATTCTCTTGCAAATTGAACTCCTGAACTTCGACGTTTTGCACTCGATGAAATTCCCTTTGAAAAGTTGGAAGTTCAGAACGGTATGCCTCGAAAAATAGACAGAAGCCGCAGAGCGACAACGACCGCATTTGACTGGGAGTTGCAGGTGAGCAAGGAGGACCACGAGCGGGAACGGTCACGATGGCATACGCGTCTCGACGACATCGAGAAGAGGCTCGTCGAATCTGAAACTATCAACTCCGAGATGTTGATCATCAAGGCCGAACTTGTAAGTTTTCGATTTTCAAAAAAAAGTCAGCTTATACGAAAAGAAATAAACAGTTTTGAAAGGATGTTTTATGAAACTTTTTTCTTTACAGTTGGGGTTAGTTGATCCACCTAGTGGTCTTTTTCCCTCCCTGCAATATCACCATACCATCCCGATGTTGCGAAAATAAAATGATTGAATTGAATTGAATTGAATGGATGTACATGGAAGATTTTTGACTCATGGTTGAGGAGTTGGTGGATGTCTGCAGAAATCTATTTTGAGGTCTTGTGATCCTAAATAAGAGTAAGTTCTATCACTGTCGAGTAGGATTTCTTTTAACCTAAGAAGTTTTAACCTAAGAAGTTTAATTTAATTTTTTGTCCGACAAAAAAAACGAAAATAGTCTTTTCAGAACAAGAAAATTGTGGACATGGAGAGGAATCAAAAACCTCTAATCGAACAAAATAGGAAACTTGGAGACCGAAACAAGAACCTTCAACAGGAAATACGCAAAGTAGAGCAGAAATTTTGCCACAGCCAGGACGACTTTCTCACTTTGGTTTGTTCTTAAGATGGTTTTTTTAAGAAATAAAATAATTCAGAAAGACGCTCATGAGAGAATATTGAAAGAAAACTTGGCATTGAAAGAAAAACGAACTTCTCCTGAGAAGTTGGAAGAACTCGACAGATACAGAAACCAAGTGCTGGAGTATTCCAAGTGTATAACTGCTTTGAGGAGTTCTGGACTGGTAAGTTTAAATCTGAACCTTAATATGAAAACGAAGTCTGTTCCCATAAAAAATGTTTTGCCTATATTCAAGAGCGCTTTCCAGAAGCAATTTTCAACTCACAAAGAGAAGCTTTCAAACTTCGGCACTGAAACCGCTCAAAAATAAAATTGAAATGCTCTCGAGATTAGCGCTTGAAGTTTATGTAAAAATTATCATATTGTCCTTGGACTCTGAGCGACTTAAAAATAGGTTCTGACTGAAAAAATTAAAACAAAAATTGAAACCAGTTTTATCTATAAAATAAATAATTCAACTTTTTCCAAAACATGATCATTTTTCAGGAAAAGGACAGAAGATACGAAATGTTGGTGCAAAAGTTCAAAAGACTCAGGAAGTGCTTGAAAAAAGGAGAGAACGATGATGACAAAGCCAGGTTACACTTTCATTTTATTTTTTATTCAAACTATACTTCTTTCAGTACGGTTGGTAGTGATTGTTCCGCTGCCAGTAGTGTGAGCTTGGACACAATCACAGAAGACTTTGAAGAAGTGAGTTTTGAAGTTGGAGACTGCAATAGGGTGAATACGCAGAAATAATGGCAAGTCCAAAAAAAGATCCCAAGATGATAACCTGTTTGAAAACGTTTCTGGTGTCTCAGAAGACGTCGAAGTTGTTTCCAGATGAGAAAAAGAAAGCGAGAAGAGAGCAAAAAAACTTTTTTGAAGACATCACAAGTTGACGTTGAATATTCTGAAGGACTTATTCCTCAGGTTATTTCGAACAAGAATTAAGAACCTTACAAAACGCGAAAAACTGTATATTTTGTGATAGAAGTACTGGGATTCTGAATGAAGGACGATGGAAAAAAGTCGGAAACCTGGCTATTTTTTTGTCATTTAAGGAATCGGAAATCTACCTATCGGTCAATCATTTCATTCCTTTTGGATTCCTTTGATTTTTCTTCAGTTAGGTGGTTAGATCACAGCCGCTTCAGAAGGGTAGAGGTCAGCGGCAGTCCAGTGCGGGCATTCAGGCGAACGGCCCATTTTTCCTTTTCGATAAATTGCGCCTTTGTGCGGCAGGTGGCGCGTGTGGTCGACGCCATTATAACGCTGATTGATATCACACTGTCGTGTTCTCCGGACCAGCCTTTTTCCTTTATTTTACCTTTTCTCCTGTGGGAAAGTTTCTTGTCCGTTTCTCTGAAAATCAGAAGTTTATAAAACTTTGGTTAACACGAAATTTATCCTAAGTTTTCAATTGATTGACAAAGACATCTAAAAAAAAGTTAAGATGTTTTGCAAAGTTGTTATAAAACCTTAAGAGAACGAAATGTAGGGAGTTGGAAGTTAAAAAAATAATTTTGAATATATTTTTCATTTATCTAGATTTTTTGAAAAGACAGTGGTTGCTATATAGATGATTTCGATCGGAAGTGTGTTAAGAAACAATAATAGTTAATGTCGTCCAAGGGCAGAAATATTTGCTATTTTCATACCTTTTGATTGAGGTCCTTCGAATGATAATTTGATTTTTGCTTTGTCGCTTATCTTATTTGAAAGTTTGTTTGTCCAATTTCACTCTGAACGAAAAGTTCAATTTTTTTTTTCACTACTGAAATTTCCGAGCTTGCTACCAAATACCTTAAGATAAAAAATTATGCACGAAAAATAAAAGAGTCCGAAGCAAATCCGCGAAGAGTTACGATTTTTCTCGTTTACGGTCGCCTTGGAACATCGTCCAAGCCTGACTGGTTTTCTAGGCATCCACGCGTATCTTTCCCCTTTTGTTGACCGCCGTGCCATCGGCGTCTAAAAACTTTTTTTTTGTAAAAGAAGCGGCTAAAAAGCTGTCTTTTTTGGCATCGGACCCTGGAGAACCATACGGACGGCCTTGAAACGATCACACGAGCCACGTTTTTCTTCTTCGCGGCAAATTGAACCGATTTCAACCCTGAAATCGCCACGTTTTTGTTTACGACTTCTCAGCTATCCAGAGCCAACCTCCCTTTAAAATCAATTTTTGAAAAATCGATGTTTATTTTTCCATTGAAACTTCAAATTCTCAAATTTAAAAATAAACGAAATTTGGCATCACTTGTTTTTTTATCTTCAAGGTTATTTCGAAAAAGCTCTTCTAAGTTTAGAGTTAGCGGTTTCTCTTGAGTTTTCTGAGGAATTCGAAAAAAATTTCATAGAATGATTTCATGAGCAAAAAAACTGGAGACATTCCTAATTCTTCTTTTTTTGAATATTTCGAAACTATGTTGAAATAAAAAAATTTCTAAAAAAAGATGGTTTTTTTCAAGTTTTTTTCAAATCTGAAAATCAATTGAACGGAAAGGAAACGAAATTCAGTTCTCAAAAAATCGAAATAAGCTTTTTTTCCAACTCTTACGAAACTTTCCAAAACTTCAAAAGACAATTTTTTCTGTTGATTTCCTTCGAATTTATCAAAACTCTCAATCGCGCGAAAGTGTTAAGCGCCATCGGCTTTTCTTAAAATCCAGGTCAATGAGGGATTGCGGTTCCGCGGTAATCATAAATCGTTGATGCGTGAGATTAAAATTATTTCTTATCAACTCTTTCCAATTAGTTCATTCCTTCGTTCATAGACTGTTCGAATGTTTGGTTTGATTTATTTAAAAATTATTTGCCGGCTCAATTTTTGAATCCTCCAAGAATTATGTCAATTTTTTTAACCTGTATAACTTCTACTAGCTACTCCCAGGCTTGAATTTTCTCTAAATTATTAATTTTCTGTTTCGTTGATTAAGCTCACTTTTGACCATGGAAGATAAAAAAAAAGGTTTCATGTCCGTGGAAACAGCTGAACGACGGGAAAAATATTCTTCGGGTTTTTTGATGGAAAAGAAGTAAAGCATCTGCGCGATCAGCAGGACGCTTTTTCGATCCTATTTGTGACTGGTTTTGCCCGCGGGGCGTCTCGTTTCCTTTTCCACCTTGGAACGTTCACCGCCCTGTTTGTTTTGATCTGATGAAGAAGAATATTTGTTGCAGGCTCTCGAGAAGGATATCCAGACCAATTATCAGGCGCTCTATCGCGAGAACGCCGAGCTCCAGCGAGCTCTCAATGTGGGTTCATTTTTCACTTAAATCTTAAACTGATTTTTTTGTTGTTTGAACCTTTGAAATGGAAAAAAAGAGGTAAATTAGATTTTTTTACGCTAATAGAATGAAATGAATTTTTTTCCTCTTGTTTTATTTTTTTAGGTACATCGAATAATCGACTTTTTCGTGAATTCAAAAAAAGTTTTCAAATTTCATATCTTTTGATTTAATCAACAGCTTTTTATTCGAAGAAGTTTTTTCCAATTTATTGGTTCTTATGACATGAACTGTCAATTATTTTTTTAAACAAGTTAGAAATGCGATTTCTGTACCAAAATTTTCTTCAACTAAACCTGCTCTCGTGTATTTACCTTTTAGCCTAAACTGCGCCAATAGAGCACTCTTTAGGAACTTCGAATAACTTCGGCCGACTTGAGTGAAGAAAGTATTCTGAGAGAACAAATCTCCTTCGCCCACACTACAATCGCCCAGCAGCAAATCCTCATCGACGCCAATCAAGAAATGGTAAGTTCCACCATTTTCCTAAATTCTCCATCAGAAAAGTGCAGGTCAAAAGTGCTTGTTTTAAAGTTTCGGTAAAGTTTCGCTCAGGCCTACTTTAAAGCAACTTGATTGACGCACTGAAAATTTTCTCTTTTCATAGCAAATCTCGCTGAGCTACGGGAAAACTTGAGAAGATTATGCTCAAACTTTCATTTCGAAGTTACTTTGATAAACTAGCAGAATATTAAAAGAACTCTTTGTTTTGAGATGTCTCAAGCGGCTCAGCTCAAATCGACGGTCATGAACCAACAAGAGAAAATCCGCGACCTCGAGCATCAGATCGAAGAAATGAACCACAGACTGGCCGCCCAGAAGGACACCAACGACCTCTTGGAGTTCCAAGTGCTCGAAATGGAAGAGAACAGCCGTCAAGACGTGAGAATTACTGGAAACATTTTTTTTTCTGCACTGTTTTTTTTATAACTTTGTGTGATTTTTGTGCATTACTAATTTTCACCGCAGGTGCAACCAGATAAAAATGACAAATCGTCGGAAACTGAAGAAAACTTTGAGAAGCCGGAATTCAGCTTGGAGGACGTGGATTATGAGGTAACCTTTGCGGTAACATCAAAGTCTTTCCTCTTGTTCGATCTATTTTTTGAGAGTTTCGGCAGTATTTGATGTGCAGTGAATTGAATGTATGCTGTGAACAATTTTTAAAAACCTTTGAATTCATTTCGAAAATTTTTGATGCTCAAAGTATAATTGTTTACTTTTTTCAGAAAATTTTGAGCCAAAAATTCTCTCACGCTCCTAATATTGACACTTTGAATTTGCAAATATTTTTTTTCAAAAAACTAATCCTTGAAGAACGGATTTTTGAATTTCAAAAAAAAAAACAAGATCTTCCTTGTGAGAAAATTGTATCAATTGTTCGGCGTGCATTTTATAATTTTCAATCAACAGACTAACATCACCTTTCTTTTTCCAGTCAGCGGAGCAAATAGCTCAGTTGAAGCAAAAGCTATCCGGACTGAGGAAAGCCAGTAACTTGACCTTGGAACAATGCAAGATCGTCGCACGAGCTGATAACTACATTTCGCATCTTGAAAACGTTCGTATGCTTCTACAAATTAGCACCATGTTCTAAGCTTCTTTCAACCACCACATTAATATTTCTATTTTGATTATTTCCAGAAGAACCGATTTTTTTCAGCGTATTGAAACTTCGGCAGGAGAAATATCGAAGTGCAATACGGAACTAAGCGATGCAGCAAGCTCCATTGCTGATCAAAAGTTGCTGAACGAGAAGTTGAGAGCGGAAGTCGCCCAACTCGAGAATAAAACTGGCGTTCAACAGAAAAAACTCGAGGAGTATGAGATTCAAGTCAAGGAACTCCAGGTGAAAATGTTCAAACATTTCATTAGTCTAAAACCTTCTCCTTTCCCTTTTTTTTCTTCTTCCTGTCTGAGAGCTCAATTTTATGAGGTTGGCCTTTTGAGATAATTTCCGGAACTTCATAGCCAATTAAAAAGTAGAATCTTCAATAATATCGACCTGAAAAAAACAAAAAAATATATAACTTCCTGTTTCATATTTATCTCATTAAATCAACAAGAATGTATTGATAAACCCCAACTTTCAGGTGCAAATAACGGCTCTGGCTGAAGATAATAAGAAAATCGGGGAAACGGACTCTTTGAGAAAACAAATCGCAGACTTCGACGGTCAAAAACAAAATGTTTGATTTTCAAGAATTTTTTTCTCAATACCAACTTCTTTTTTTAGCTGAACAGCGAATTAAAAACGCTGTCCAAAGAACTAGGAAAAACGAGATTCAGTCTCCAAGGAAAAGAAAGCGACTTGGAGAAGGAACGTAAAATGACTGACGCCCTCAGCTCGTGAGTTTTTTTAAGCACTCAGAAATATTCAACTCAAATCAGACAATTACAACAACTAGTGCGCTCCAGTCAAGAGGAGGCCAACCGGAAAGAAGAAGAGATTCAGAAGCTACGAGCCTCGATTCAAGAAAAAGAGACTGTCATTGAAGAAAGTGAAAAGAAGAAACAATCGGTTTGATTAGGATCTTCTGAAAGATTGGAATTGAAAATTTCAGATGAGGTTAGAATATGACCAGTTGAAAAAGGAATACGAGGACTTCAAAGCAGAACAGCGTCCTGGAATAAGGTATACAATTTTTATCTAAATTCAAACTGGTATAAAAACATTTTCTGCATATAGGTTTCTAGAGAAAAGTGAGAAGCAAAGCTGTAAATTGTCGAAAATTACCTGAATGTCTCGCGATTTAACTATTTTTTCAAGATAATGGAGCGAAAAGAAGTTTCATAATGTACTTAAAAACCATCTAAAAAAAAACATTTTTTGCGTCGTTCCTTGTTTTTTTTCGATTCGAGAGCATTTTTTTAGGAAATCGAAATATTGTGAAAATTAGGAAATTGCCGTAAAGTTGCTATCTTAGTGGAGAGCTCACTTTATGAGAAAGTGTTCTTGAAATTTTCCGACTTCAGTTCAAGGTTCCTCAAATCCGCTCTTTTTACAGAACGGAGTTGGAAAGAAGGTTCGAGGAGACGCGGTACAGACTCAATTGCGCCTTGGACAAAATTCATGATTATGAGGTTGTCGCGACATCCAAAAAAATTTTTTTAAACAAAAAAATTTTTTTCAGCTTCTCTTCGAAGCTGCCAAAAAAAGCAGAAGACAATGGAAAAACTCAGCGAGCAATTAGAAAAAAAGAGCTCATCGAGGTATGCTTCGAAATATATTTTAACCTCCTTATACACTCTCACTACTTAATTCAGGACTTTTTACAAACTTATGTAAAGAACGTTTGCATCCAAGTAAGTCTCGAAAAGGGTTCTAGTAGTCTTTTTTTTTCATTCTCTCCCGATTTTCCTTTATTAATGTTTGTTTTCATATCTAAATTATTTTGTGTTACCTTGTTTTAATGCATACAGCTGACCATATTTTGTTCAAGACCCCATTAATATTAGTAAAAGCATGTCAACTGGTTTATAAAACTGCATCCTTCCAAATTCAGCTGAAAGAGTTCAACGCGCACCTGGAGCGACAGTTCCAGTCTCAGACCGATATCATTGAAGTCTTGAAAAATAAAATTGTACAGGTAAAGGTTCTAGAGGAGAAAGAAGATAACGATGTGTTTCCAGCACAAGTCATTCTCGGACTTGGTGAATAAACTTGCCGAGATGGGAGATCCAGAAAGGATCCATGAAGAACTTGTGGATTACTCCCGAGATCATGACAAAGAAGAATACAAACTTGCCTCCAACATTGCCTATATCATTAAGGTTTTCTGGAATGGGAGAATATTAAAATGAAGAAGTTTCAGGAAGCGCGCAAAGGAAGTTATTACGCCCCGCTTGAAATTTCAACCGCCCATCACAAAGTGATTTTTTTTTTGAACTTTTCCTTGAGCCATAAAGGGTATGAAAACAGGAGAGACCTTTTTTTCAGCTTCAGCTTTTCCTAGTTTTTGTTCCTTTGATTATGTGCTATGTCTTTTGATGGACTTGAGATTTAAATCAAATTGTACGCTTCACACGGAATCCCTTCTTATTCGTCGTTCAAGAGACCAACTAATGAAATTTCCAGATCCGGCCCTACAACTCAGTTGATTCTTCGGGAGAATGGCTGTCGAACAGCAGCGAAGGCATCGTCTCACCAGATGAACACGAGGGCGAAGAATGGAACTCCAAAACAAAGGCGTCAGCTCGTGAGTTTACTGTTTCAAAAATTTGATTCTTTTTTTGAAATAATTCTAGAATACCTTTATAGAGCTTTATTCCATGATTCAGCAAAGGATTTTTTTGAAAAACTGTACAAACTTGTAAAGTGAACTTTATACTGAGCTCATTTCAGTCACCATAGATAAAAAAATAATCTCGTTATTATGGCTTCAAAAATTTTTCTGAGATGAAGGTATATAAACTATTGATCCGAGTTATTATAAATAGAGTGAAAGTTTCGAAAATCTTTTCCATTCAACCGTTCATTTTTTCAGAAGAACCTTGCAATAACCTGAGTGCTTCAACCCACAGTACCTGAGTTCCACCCCCAGTCGGTAAAAAACTTCAAAGTGTCACGAATTAACAGCTTAAAAACTTTTTAATGCCTTTTTATTGAAATTGTAAATTACTTTCCTGCGACAACTTTGTCCCTGATACTGGTGTTTCAAATCCATTTCTTTCTGTTGTTGGTTATGAAAATGCTCTGCCACCATATTTATTACTCTTTTTCTAAAAAAATGTTTGAACGTTGCATTTTATCGTTTTCATGCAAAAAAATTCAACTTTCTTTTGATTCGATGCTCGTTTATTTTAACTTGCTCCCAATAAAATTATCATGAGATTTTTTTTTGTATTGGAAAAGAGACAGTAAAACATTCAGCGAAATTACTCGAAAGCTTTCTTCCTTCTCAGGAGCGTGAAATTGATATAAAAAATCATATCGGACAATGGTCACAGGTCACGATTAAACCCATCAACTGGTTTTACTATATTCGTTTTTAGTGACTCCGATGGTATCCTTAGGATGGCGAAAAAGTCAGAAACACTTATAAGCGTCCAAGTGTTGTCCGTTTATTAAATCTATGACGTATTAGTCCAACGGGTACTACTGGCCAACACGAGAGAAATAAGGAGAGGCTCACGAGAGTGTCACGAGAAAATAAAAGCAGTTTTCAAAAGTCTTATATTGAACCAAGAATGTTATAAAAAACACAATCGTTTTTTTCGGAATCACGGGGGTCGTGCCTGTCGACCATCTGATGATTAGACCAATCAAAGTTATTGACATTTACAACTTTTCAACGATGCCAGACTGGAAGATAAGGCTACCCTCTGGTCAGCAAAAAAAAGAAGAGGAAAGTTTTCTGAGTTATGTGCTTTAGTGTAGATTTTGCTGAAGATTGATGACTTTCGACCTTTTAAATCTCAAATAAATTTTCGGTTTCGAGTATGCAAATCTTTTTAAACTTATTATCACTTCTTTCTTCATAAACATAGTCAATGAACGTAATCATTTTGATGACTTTTTTTTTGCTTGAAATTTTTTCCTGCAACAACTACAGCTCATTCACATTTTACTTTAAGAAAAAAAAAACATAAAAAGGGATGTAACAAAAATACACACACAATAAAGCAAGTTCTATTTGTGGCCGTTGCGGGCGATGTGCTCGCCCTGAAGGAGGGATCCTTCGTCTTCGTCGTTCTCGATTTCGCGGAGTTCCACGTGAGGATGGACCACGTGGCTGCGCGCTCGCATGTACTCCTCGAAGCGTTGTTGGCGGTACGGGTTGTGAATATAAGTCATTACGAGTGCTGAAAAACCTCATTTCATTATTCGAACATTATTTTTCAAATTGACCAACAGACTACAGGATCTTATTACTATGTTAAAGGCTCTCAAAATATTCCGAAGCTCTTTAATATACTGGGCAGTGAGTAGGAAAAAAGCGGAGACCAAAATTCAAAAACAGATTATAAGTTTGCTTCTAAGTGCGCCCTGGTGTTCCGTTTTTTCGAAAAACTGAAAATTAATTCAGGATTTTCATCCCCAAGAAAAGTCATTTCTATTTGCCGTTTGGAATATTTTACGAGTTCTCTCAAATCTTTCTAATGGTCTAGATGAAGATCCCTCGTTGTTGCTACCTGGGCAATCTTCTATTTTCAGAGATCGGAATTTTCTAACTAGCAGGATTAGCCTGCTTTCCGAATTTTAGGAATAATTATCTAAAAAATTTTGACTAGTTAGCGACTATGAAGTATTTTCATCTTGACCGTCAAAGAGTGTTTGAGCAAGTTTTCAGTAGTTTCAAAAGCGCAACGAAAAATTAACTACCGTGACAGTGCACTTGCTGTCGTTTAGGTAAATCCTCAAAAGTTCCCTATTTTTTGGCTAGAGGATCTTTTCTGCGAGCGTTTTCATTTCAACCAAAAAAATCTTACCCGTTACGATGAACATCACCACAAAAACAATGTTCATGTTGCCATTCATTTTATCTTCCGTCGCCGCCGGAAAGCTGGACATTTTTTCGATAAACTGAAAATCTGATGGTACAATAAAACAAGATGCTATCCAACTTTATAACCGTTGAAAAAAAGACAAGCGGTTTAATACCTGTTTTTGAAGAAAATAAAACAAAAAAGATGATTTTCGAAAACTCGAATGCAAAACTAGTGAAACAAAAGGGCGAGAAAGGCTGTCGAGGAACGAAAAAAGAAATGTGAGCGAATGAATCACGCCGATCCCATGCGATCGTTTATATATACGAATTGCTTTTAGTACCATTTCGTTTATTAGATTTGAGACGATTTGTTGGACACTGTAATGAAATTTTGAATCCCACGAATATTATTCGTCAACATGTTTGCTTCGGGCGTGACTTAGAATCCATTTTTTTTTTCTTGAAAGTGGTTTTTGGTTTTTTTTCTTTTAGACTTTCTTATTTTCAGGACGCTGATGAAAGAATGAAACTATATGAATGGAACTCAGTGAAAAAAGGAAAGAGAAAGAAGAGCTTATAAATCTTCTTAAAAATTAGTAGCGCAAGTCTACAGCCAAAAAAAAACGGTACCACGCACTGTCCACTAACAAGGAATTTAACCTCTCTCGAAGTTTCGTGAAAAAAGAATAATCATCGGAGCTCTGAATATGAAACTACATTTCAGGAAATTCTTAAACCCCTAGTTACAATATTCAGCGTCTTAAAGGTGACTTTCTTAAACGTTCGGGAACAAAAATTTTGCGATGTAAGAATAAGTACGTAAAGGTTCGACTAATATAAAAATTTAAAGAAGTGCTCAGTATCATGGCCTTCTTCTCAGCTCATACTCGGAAGTCCGCCTAAAATTTCTGTTGAAGAACTTGAAAGCTCTCTTCTCAGCAACACGTTTACAAATGCGAAATCCGCAAAAAAAAAAACGGTATGAAATGGGTCTAGTCTCATCTAAAAGACCTCACTGCTAGATGAGACCATTTTCCAGTTGAAACCTCCAAGAAGCAAAAATAATGAAGCTACTTTTCCATCATCAAACGCTTCTTTTTGACAGGATGTCAACCTTATCTTATCGGAAAATACTTGATTTTTTCGCTCCAACTTTTTTTTGCGAACACAGCTCATATAAATTTTACTTCAAAACAGTACAGAAAAAACAGAAGAAGAGTGATGAAAGCAAAATTTCAACGAGAATAATAGCCGTGGCCAACGCAGTCTTGGCAGCCGCAGTTAGTTTCCTCGTCGCTGACATCATCGAACTCATCATGGTCCGGTTCTTGCATTCGGTATCCTTCGACATGTCGGCGAAAAACTATGTGCAAGCCCCACGCCAGGAGCCATCCTACAACATCTTAGTTAAAGATTGAAGAATGGATTATCATTTAGCCTGACGGAAAAAGTCGTTTTCTCATTTCATTTTCCGAATTTTCCGAAAATGTCTCTAATCAAAAATTACCCAGGCCCAAAAATACGAGCACAAGATCCAGCCCATCAGAGTCGTTGTTTTCGTTGATCTCTTCATCCTCCACACCGGGAAGCGCTGTGAATTTATGGAGCATCTGTAAAGCTTTATCGTGCAGAAATTATCAAAATGAGCAAAAACATCGTCGATCTCATCGGCAAAATCTTTGAGACGCATTCCCCGAAACTAAAGCAAGAGATCTCAGATAAAAAAACGGAAGAAGAACGGTGCAAGACAAAAATAACTAAAGCGAAGAAGGGAAAAGAGCGGCGAGTGGATGAATCATTCCTATCCACTTAGATCGTTTAAAAACACCAAATGCTTTTAGTATCATTTTGTTTATTGGTCTCGAGGCGATTTTTTTCGATACTGTAGACATAATTTGAATATTGTAGATATTATTCGTCATCTTGTTTGTTTCGGGAAGGCCTTTGAATCATTTCTATCCATTCAGACTGTTTTTATACAGGAAACAATTTACCATCATTTCATTTACTTTGTCTCCAGCCGATTTTTCTGATACTGTAACCCTAACTTGGATACTAGATATTATTTGTACTTTTGTCCGTTTTGAGAAGATTTGTGATTTTTTCGGTAAAACTAATGCTTTTCTTCTATTATCATGGGCTTATTTGCAATGTAGACCAAAAGTTGGTAACACTTGAAAAATAGTTCAAAAAATAGTTTAGTCGATTTAAAAATTTCACGCATGTTTTTGAAAGCTCAAAAGGTTCGCATAACTTCTGAAGACCATGCGAATATTCTCCCGCCTCGAAATCTTTGTGAGTTATTTCTGTCTCTTTCAAACACCTCATTAAAGATCTAAAACGGGCTTCTAAAGTTGAAAACTGGCGGGTTTCCAGGAAAATCATCGAAAAAATTCATTTATAAATAAATGATTTGTTCAAATTAAGTAAGGGCAAACCATAGCTCCATCAAGGCTTGTCTTCTTATACTAAAAGTTCTTTTACTACTGAATTGTTCTCTGCACAGGTCATTCATTCATATTCATCCTCATTTTCAAGCTTATTTTTCATTCCATAAAAATGGCATAAGTTGTAAAAAAAATTCCGGAAAGATTTGATGACTTTTCAAAATTTTTTGAAAAGAAGCGTTTGATAAAAACGCAAGATTGCCTCAAGAAGAATTAAAAAACCATCTTTCCATCGCTTTCTTAAACGCTTTCTGAAAATTACGATGTAAAGAAATTATTTCATTCATGAACTATTTCTTGCAGTTTATGTCTTAATATCAAATTTTCATTATCATTTCCGAATAAACAAGAGCGAAGAATAAATTTTGGTTTATCGATTGGCACTTTTGTATAGCTGTCAACGACAGAGAAGAGCGAAAAGAGCTTGAAAGGGTGATCTCGAAATATAGCGATGAAACAAAATGATAAAACCACGACGGGAAAAAGCGAGGAAATTTCTTCTGTAAACACGATTGATATACGAACGGCGCGGATAGGAATGATTCCATTTTCCCAGAGCGCTTTTTGTTTCATTATTTTGCTTTCAACACTTTTTCGCACCGTTCTCACCTTTATTTGCGGTTCACTTTTCTTGCTAACTTGGTTTTCTTATTTTCAGACTTGGATATTTGGCCAGAGCGAGCGACTTAGGCGGCAAAACTAATGATGGTATACTGGGTTGGTTTTCTTTGTTAAATTAGACAAGAAAATGTTGAATTAAACAAGAAAAACAATATTCGAAAAAAGTCCAGATTTTTATGATCCGGCGCAGTTAAATGAAGGTCTCATAAGACTGACCGGCGCTCACAAACCAATTTTACAATATTCCCTCGCCAATCTCAAATCAATCAATATCATCTCGGCGGAATGCGTTGAGCATGTGAACAGTTTCAAAAAAACGTTCATGATCAAAACGATTTTAAATGCGCGAAAAACGGGACACAGCCTCTCTCTTATATCTTCACTGTGAGTCAAGACTATTTCCTGGTCAGTCATCACAGCTTTCTTTTTGAGATAGTTACTATTAAAGTTATAGTCAATCCATCCCGACTTGAGAGGTGAGGGAGGTGGTGAAGAGAACGAGAAGCGTAGCGTGTGCGTAAGCGGTTCTTGGCATAACTTCAATTCAAGCGCTACCGACTGTTTAAAAAGCTGTTTAACCGCTCTTTTAGTATTTATCCTGCAGTTTTTGATGCACACATGAAAAAATCAACTAAAAATTAAAAAAAAATTAAAATTGCGGTAAGCGAGTCTTAAAATAGTCGATGTGGTTGAATTGAACTCGTGACAGAAACCGCGAACGCGACCGCTACGCGTCCCGTTACCTTCCGCTCCTCCCTCTGTTTTCGAGTCGGGAAAAATCGACTATAATTAACCTGCAGAAGAATTGCTGCAACTTTGAAACGGTTTTTTTTGAAATTACGAAAAGGAATTTTGAAAATTTGATGAGACTTTGGTATGACTTCAGGATTTTTCTACAGCATACGAATCCGGAAACGATAAAATATACGTCTTTTATCTTATAGTCAAGTTATGGTGGTTCAGAGACCTTGGAAAGCTCCTTTTTTGAGCGCCTTTGTATATTTCAAACTTAAAATTTTGTTGAATATAAAGTAAACCATCACACTTTTTCTAGAATTAGGATACACAAGAGAACATTTCAGACAAGTGAAGAATTGTCGAATCCTCGAACTTTAGAAAATTTTTTATGAGGAGACGTGCAGGTTGAATTGACATAATCATTTTATAGATGTCTGAAACTTTTGCCAGCAAGTTCTGCGAAAATAACAGAAACTGTAACGAAATTTCGCATCTTTAAGTAAAAATTTCAGTACGGTGGACAGCTGCGAGATCTCGTGCAAGAGCTGCTGAAGAAAGAACTAGACTGGTCACCGGTAATTCGTACTTGGTCCGCCTCATTTTTTTTCACTATGCGTAAGTTCTTCAAAGTTTTATTTTCTTACCCATTGGTAATATTATTTTGTCAATGGGGATTTTGGGAGAACCGGCACAAAAACTTTTTGACGAGTTAGAGGAAAACTTTTGAAGTCTCAACCTACACATTTTTTCCATGTTTTGAAGATATAATCAGTAAATGGTCGATCCAGCTCCCTTTCCATTGTTTAGATCACTATCAATCTCTTTTTTATAAAAGCTGAACTAGGAAAGCTATAGTCAATTCCGACTTGAAGGGCGAGGGAGGCGCAAAAGTGGGCGGGACGCGTAAGCGGTTCTTGGTAGAAGTGCATTTCAAGCGTCCCCAACAACTTTAAAAGCTCGGTCATCGCTTTTTTTGTGTTTGTTCTACTATTTTTTTAAGCACAATCAAAAAATCAAGAAAGAATTTAAAAAGACATGTGAATAGTCGCTGGGGGTTAAATTGAACTCTTGCCAAGAACCGCGTAAAACCGCTTCGCGTACGCAACGCGTCACCCTCATCGTTATGCCTATATCGCTTTTACAGTCGGGAAAGATTGACTGTAGTTGACATCAGAAATAAGAATTCCAATGAAAAGAATCCTCATAAAAATCAACAGCACTTAACAGAAAATCGGAACCGATATTCATTTTTTACTCAGAAAATTTTTGAATCTAATGAAATTCAATATAAAACTGCCCTTACAAGAGTTTCATCGGAACCGAAAACTTTTCTCAACTATATCCCGTATAAACTCTTCTCTCTGGGCTGTGAAATTGAGTTTCAGTGGCTCTCCAGAAAAAATATTTTTTACAGTCGTCTTTCTCATCTTCGATCCTCTCGAAATATTCAAAACACGGAACCGTCATCGCAATTTCCTTTTCTACGCTGATGAGGAAGACTATTATGATGAGGATGAATATGAGGACGACCACGAAGAATACTACCCTTACGACTTCGAGTACGAATTAGAGTTGCTGAACCATGGATTCAGTGATGACGAAGAAGAGCTGGATTTTTCGGTCAGCGAGGACGAAGGCATCGGAAGTGAACCAGACGACTTGTTCTTCGATGACTTTTTTGCTAGCTAGATTAAAAGAAACCAGTGATTTTTTTGCAAATCACATTTTCTGACGAGGGTAGTGCAAAAATTAAAAATTCCAGGTTTTTTTCTGAAACGCGTTGAACTTCAGAAAACCTCATCTCAACCTTTGAAGCTGAAATAACGTTCAGTTTTTTTAAAAGGTTTACAACGGCAACATATCAAAACACTTTTTTTTCTACTGAAAAAAAAACGTTCGAGTTCAGAGGCTTTATATTCCTGTTGAGGGGCGAAAGATATAAAAATGTTTTCGGTTGGCATTTAGGTGCTTTGAAGTTTGTTTCGACGAGCTCCTTTGAAATGTTTACAAGTTTGAACTTTTTGCATTCTTTCTGAGATATATTTTTGTATTGTTTCAGTGTTCAGTTAACTGTTATTTTTCCGAACTTTAAATAATTGATTGATTCATTGTTTGTAAAATTTGTACTTTTTTTATTTGAATGAAATTTTTTTGAATATCAAAAAGCTTTATTAGAACAGTCAAAGGTTTTTTCAGATCGTAGAAATTCCGTTGATCGAGATTTACTTCCAAAGGTTCTTTTACTGGAAAGATGAACGCGCATTTCTAATTGATAATGAGTATAAATGAAAATTTTAACAAAACTTGATCTTTCGAAAACTTTGACAAAGAAAAGAAACAGGAGATATCTCGCTCCACCAACGCTGAACCACGTCGCAATTCAGAATGTTCGGCAATGTTCCTCTTCGGCAAAAATGGCTCATCGAAATCCCGTCATTTTTAAGGAATGCTGTGAAACTCGGATAACGTTCCATACTTTCCGTTTACCGCAAGTATATGTTTTTTTCACAAAATGTGGGATTTATGTATTGTTAGCTGCAAAAAATTTTTTACAGGGACGTCTAAAACTTTTTCTATACGATTGTGTTGTGGGAAGAACGAATACTGAATATGAGGACTTTTTACAGCTTCCAGTTGAATTTTCGACTAAACATAACTAAATTGTACTTAGGGACTTTTGATCTAAGAACAAGAGAAAAATCATTTGTCGTAGATTTTTTATCTGCGCTATGAAACTTTGAAGTCATTAATCTTTTCCTTAGTCGCAAGAATTCTAGTTCTGAAATCAGGGTTTCTGAAGAAAATTGCGGCCCAGTTTCATCAACAGTTCAGCCCGGGCAATGAATAGCTCCTCTGTAATACTGACGGTAACTGGAGTTTTCAAGTACTGATTGTCTTTTCAGCATGCCTCAGAAATACAAAAGTTGGAGAAAAACAAATTAATTTCTGTTCCTTTTTTCAAAGTCAAGCTCAAAGCCAACTAAAAACAGAATCATGATAGTTTACATTAGCGTTGGTTGGTGAGAAACGCTTACACATAAACCGAGCGAAGGCCTCTCTTCCTCGACGACAGACGGTTGTCTGCGTCTTTCCGTCACCACACTATTTCGCTGCGCAGCTGCCCCAGCTGGTTCTTCTTCCACTGGTTCAACTCGTGTGACGTCTTCCAATCGACGCTCATTCGTTTCCCTCTTCTTGCGCTTCTTCTCAGGAGAACATCATCGTTTTCGTCATGTTCCTCTTCTTTGACCTGCTGTAACTCGTTTCCGTGAATCTCATTAAAGATCTAAAAAAAATGCCTTCTTTTTAAAATTTTTGAAACTGCAAAGAGTAGGTTTAGGATTATTTCGAACAGTTTTTAATGTTATTCTCGTTGATCTTCAGCTTTGTAAGTTTTTAAACTATTTGGTAGTGTTTTCTTAATAAAACTTAATTTTTCCTAACACAGATCGAGAATTTCCGGTGAAGGTCTAGGAAGTTGCGACTTGTGAAAAAATTTAGCACGAAACTAAGCCAAATTATTCGCTATGTTCATTCAATTGGCCTGAAAAGTTTTTTCATGGTTACAAGTCCTTTTTTTCAAAAAAACGGAAAAAAACTATCTAAAAATTCTCAGATTTTTGACCAAAGACTCTACATATAAAAAAATTGAAATTTTCAATGAAGGCTTTTCGAATCACTCTGCTTGAACAAAACAAAAAAAGCGGTGTATGTAACCAGTTGCCACTTCAATTCGAGCCTCGGCTGGATCATCAAACATCCTTAAATCGTACAATGGCCTTTATTCACAGCCAATCCTAACGTAATTTGTTGATTTTCATGCTAAGAACCGGACTGCCAATCGAATACAGAAAAAACTCCGATTCTAGACTCTCATCGAAGTTTTGTAGAGAGAAGTGAAAGTGGACGATCGTCGATCTGTTTTTCCGGGTTAAAAGAAGCGTTTAGGACTGGACACTGCATTTTGTCTCGCTTTTCTCACCTCTTCCGTGTGCGTCGTTTATTGTTTTTTCGCTTTCATCGGCAGCCAAGGTCATCTAGATTGTCTTTTGAGGAAGTTTCCGTTGATGGGTATTCAGAACTGATTCAGTTGATTTGACCCCATATATTGAAGATTGTTTTTCGCACCCTGACATTTTATAGAAAATTTTGAAATCCTTTCCATGTCGGAATAATTTTTCTAGGTACCCGCTTGAGGACCAAAGCATTTTTTTTTGAAAGATATTTTGACGTCTCTCGATTCTAGGTCACTGGATTCTAACTCACTTTTTCCGCGATGTCTACTTATAGCGCTACAAGCCCTGATAAATAGACTTCTTCATTCATTTCATTAATAACCAGTAACTTTTGAGGTTTCATTATTTAATTATTTAATTGAGACTCGACAGTTGAAATAAAACTAAGAAAAACTTCAAATCATTGAAAAACAACATTCCAAACGAATAGCTTAAAAAAGCTCCCTCAAGATGGTTCTTCCGACAAAATACAAATGAGAAATCGAAACCTCTCAAGTGATCACTAATTGGGAAAGATTTCCCTTCGGCGTCCGGTCTCCTTGAATATGAGAACGAGACGAAAGACAACGCGATTCGCGCATTCTCTCCGGATCGCAGACGCAAGGTTGTTCTACTTGCAAGTCCAAATCGGCTTCTATACGTTTTTCCTTCACTTTTCCAACAGTTTTCCGTATTCTTCTTCTCATTTCAGTTCAATTTTCGCAAAGGTATTTCTGAAGTCACTTGAATCTTCTCGTATTTCAAACTTGCTAATTAACGAATTCCACTAATTTCAACAGCAATAGGACTTTCAATCAAGAAACTCTTTTTCAACTATTTTTGACTTGATTTTTAATTTCGAGCTCTCTTCATATTAAAAATCGATTTTGAAGTCATCCATAAAATAATTTTATTTCTTTGAACTTAAAATTTCTTCCTTTTCCGGCTTGATATTTTCTGAAAAAAAGAACACATTCGTCATAAAAAAATTTTTTTTTGAAAAATTGGAAAGATGTTTTCTAAACATTTTCCCTATTCCACCCATAAGAGACTTTCCGTGGTCGTCATAGACATTCCTATGAAATGAATACGAAGTAAACAGTTGATAGTTTAGCTTGTGAACATTTTCACTTTAAATTTTACCTACTATATTTTTTTCCAACTTATTTCAACCTGTGCCTGTGATGGCCTCAGTATTCGAGCATCTTTAAAAATAACTTTTTCCTCAACGGTGCTGCTTGAAACCATACAGAAGCTTTCTATGTCTTTGAAAAATCAATTTCCATTCAAAAGTTCCCGTGTTTGAAAGGTTTAGATCATTTTTCAGACCAATAGTTGGACTAGTCCAAAAAGTCTTCTCCGAAAAGTTGAAAAATCTTATTTTTGACTTTTAAAAAGTCAGTGAAGCGGTTTCTTGTCCAGAATTTTCCACTGACTTCAAAAAAAAAGAAGTTCATTAAGATCTTTCCAATACAAACAAGTTATGTCATTTTTATAACCGAGAAAGATTCTAGACTCGGCCAAAAAGTTATTTCAAAAAGGTAAAATTCATTATTTTTCATGTTTCTCATGCAAAATTTCTCCTTGAGTTTGTTTAAATTTAACTTAAAACTCACAGTTCGAAGAAAAAATCAAATTTTTACCAATACTTTAATTTGGCCAAATACACTTTCGAGAGCCTTATTTTGGGTCCTTTTTTTTGGGTTTTACTTCATCCACTACTCGAAATATTGTATTTTATTTAAAATCGCACATTTGTCAATTGTGAAGCGTGCGGAGAGCGTTCTAACAAGGCCGGGAGACAGCGCGGCATCGCACGCGTCGTTTTACTGCCGCCTCGGCTTATCCAACGCTCAAAAGTGGACACTTATCCAGAGTAAGATTTTTGGTCGACTTAAGATTGAGACTAGGTCTACTAAATGTAGTTATTCACGCTGACTCTAATGGCAACATCAGAAAGAGCCGCGGGCTTCTGTGGATAGAAGTTCGAAAATTCCTTTTTTCTATTCTGTAAACTTCTGTTCCCCTTCATAGTGCACAATTTTCCCAATAAATTTAGCTGACACGGAGCTCTGCAAGATTGATTTTGTTTCAGTCCGCGTTGTAACCTTTACACAGGGGTTCCGTTTCAAAATTCGTTCAATCACTGGGATCTTTCAAAATGTTTCAAGCTTACGGAACTTTGTTTGTGAATGTGTTATGAACAATTATTTTCACGCGCTAAAAAAGCTTTCATAAATTCTCTTAGACTGGTTTTTTGGATCAATAATATCTAAATTGGAGCGAAAGCTGAAAAATATCAACTTATTCCAAGTTTTTTGAATCAAGAGCTTCTTAATTGCAAAAGTGCCAATTTTTTTGAAAAACTTAGTTTATGCAAAAATCACTAAAAAAATTTAGTTTTTATTTGTTTTTTTCTGGTCAGTTCTGAATGAGAAAGCCAAATTTTGTTTCTTTGTTTTTTTTTTTGTTCCGATTTTTGCCGGTGTTCTCCTCCCTACTTCTGAAACTGTAGTTAAGAGATCGATTTCAGGCAAACATGCTGCGCCAACTCGTATTGGCACTTCTGGTGGCGCAATCTTGGCAACAAGGGATGTTGTTAGGCAAGTGAAAGGTTTCTCTTCCGACCCTCAATTCTGAACATTTCCAGACCTTCATCCGGCTGCAATCCCGCACGACATCGCCGAGAACTTGGGTTTCGTCGAAAGAAACGAAGGAATGAGAGATGCTTTGCTGCTCGAGAACATGGACATGGGTCTGTTGGTCGATCCCGAAGGAAAACCTATCGACGAACCTCAAAAAGCTCACTCCATGTTGTGAGTATTTTCTTTGTCTTACTGTAGGAGTTTTTCCTACTTCTCTAAAAACATTCTAAAATATCAAATGAACCGCTGATCGGATCAGCTCAACCCCATATTTTACGATCGAAATAAAGCTTTAGCTTTTGTAACCGATGTATAAGACCAGAGCTGTCCGAAAAATTCGTTTTAGTTAGAGAAATCGGTTGAGAAACAGTTATGTTTAAATGATCTACGAAAAATTTTGGCAACATCTTTCTAGTTTTCTGCAAGTTCCCAAAAATGAAAACAAATTAGCTTTCAAAGGCTTTTCTAAGGACTTTTGCCAACTAAGTTCAATTTATCGATGTACTTCTTTTAGCTCCATTTTTTCAGAAGGTATCAAAGATTCCAAATAATTATAACGTAAAAAAGTTGAATCACGATTTAAAAATCTAAAAAAAGGCTTCAAAGTTTAGACGCAATTTTCCAATTAAAAATATACTCAAAAGGCTCTGAAAAGAGTGCTCACAACTTGAAAAATCATTATTTTGCAGAATTGAAGAAGAACTGCGACGTGAAGCGGCCGAAATTCAGCGAATCCTTTCTGGGAAAAGTGTTGAGGCCAGCCGCGAAGTTGGACTGAGCACCTGGCTCTGGACACTTTTCGGTTGCTCATTAGTCGTGAGCTGTGGTGTGATCCCCGCTTTCCTTTTGCCGGCCAATACTCACAACTATTTCTCTTCCGAAGGTCACAATTTTCTCATCTTGATCAAACAAAACATCAAAAGTTCCATTTTAGAAGGAAAACGGAATCTGAACAAGTTGCTGTCGTTCGCAGTTGGATCTCTCCTTGGCGACGTTTTTCTGCATCTTCTTCCGGAGGCGTATTCTTCTAATGGTTTGTATCTGCTCTAGAAGATGGGATTTCTTTAATTTTTAGAAGACCACGTGACAATCGGACTTTGGATTTTAGCAGGTCTTCTCACATTTTCTTTTGTCGAGAAGTTAGGAGCTACCAATGAAGAAAGTCATCACCAGGTAAGAACTTCAAGATTTTTTTCGTGTATTTTTTCTTCTAAGCTTTTTTTAGTATTGTTTTCTATTAAATTGAGATAAAACGGGATGCCCCTCCCAAAAACGGATCTATTATCTTTTTTTAGTATTATTTTCTATTAAATTGAGATAAAACAGGGATGCCCGTCCTAAAAAAACGGATTCATTATCCTTGGAATGAAACTCCTTCAATAACAAACTTTCAGTTGACCGCTATTATGAACTTGGCTGCCAACGTTGTCGACAACTTCACTCATGGACTTGCCGTGGGAGGAAGCTTCCTGGTTTCGCCTAAGGTAGTTTTCAAAGAATAATCACGGGAATATCCTTAGAAAAATTTATGTAGAACACTTTTAAGCTTTGAAATTTTCCCGGTTGCGATTTAAAGAGTTGTCTTTTTATTACCAACTTGTTTTCTCAGGAGGAAACAAACTTACAAGTTAGAAAAATCAAATACTTCTGTTTTTCTCTCTAGTTAACAAAACTTTTCTTTTTTTCTTTTTTTGAATTTTTTTGAGTTAAGCTGTGACTTTGAAAAGAACGGAATCGTTGATCCTTTCAACTTGAAACATGTATAAATTTTCTGACGGAACTCTACTTTTTTCAAAGTTTTAGAGCTAGCGTAAAAAAAATTTGTAATTAAGGCCTTTTTCAAAATTCCTGTCATCAGGTAAAAACCAAGCCTTGATTAGAATGAACTGAATAGAAACCCGAAAAATAATAATTTTCCAACGTTTCATGAACATTGGGTAATGAAGTGAGTTTTCAGTTTGGAATTATGACTACGATCACGATTTTGGTTCATGAAGTTCCTCACGAGGTCAGCGATTTCGCCATTTTGCTGAGAGCTGATTATGACCGTGTCGCTGCCATGAAAGCCCAGGTTTTATATTTCTTTCTATACTCAAGATCAATCAACTTTTTTAGTTCATCACTGCCAGCGCTGGGATTCTGGGAGCATGTGGAGCTCTTTGGCTGCACACGAGCAATTTTCCTGTCGTTGAAGCGCTGCTTCCGTTCACGGCCGGTGGTTTCCTGAACATTGCTCTCACTCAAATTCTTCCCGAACTAAACGAGGAGACCTCGTCCAGGTGCATTACATAATGAAAAAAGAGGAAACTGGATAAAATGATTGTATCCAATAAAGTATAAATATAAGGGTTCATTTATTTAGGCGAGATATATTGGAAACGGAAACCATTGCCCAAACTCTCGAAAATTCCGAAAAACAATTGAGGACAAGTTTCTGAAAAATCGGTTACTTCAAATGAACATATTTCTGGCAATATTCTCAACGGAAGGCACAAAATGCTGTACATGATAGCTTTTGAAAAATCTCTATCGGTTTTTATTAAAATACTTCACACCATAAGGATGTCACTAAGTTTCTGTTGTTTCCACACGCTCTTGCTGAGGCTAAAGTACGGGGTTTCCGTGTTTTTTTTTTGCCTAAACGAGAATGTATGATTCCCTTTTCATTACAAAGTGTACCTGTCAACATTTTCCCAACCATTGAAATTTTTCCGTTTCAGGCAGAACTTGCGTCAGCTCGTTTTCGTGATGGCTGGCGTTCTCTCGATGACGGCCATGAATCTCATTGCTTTCTAAAACTCTTGCATCTTGTCTTGTATTATTCTCTTCCTGTCTTCTATTAATCAATTCTTCGTTTAGTTCGTTTTCCCCATACTTATTTTTGTCAATAGTTGCCTTCTTATTGCTATACCGGTTTTCCAAAATGTTTCCTACTGGTTATCGATCATTTTGCCTTTGTTAGAATGAAAAATCGAATCTATGAAAAATCGTATCACTTCATCTTATTGCCTTTCATAAATGAATTTCGTTCCCAAAAACTGAATCTGTTGTCAACACAAAAGAAACAGAAAACCCCAAAAAATGACACGTTCAAAACCAAGAAAGAAATAGTCGACATTTTCAAGTGAGAATAACGTGAACAAAGGAAAAAGTGGGCAATTCATTCATTTTTCACATAAAACGTAGGAAAACAAGTTTTTCATTCCACTTTCTCTTTATTTTCCATCTTTTCTAGCTTGTTAAAAGAAAATAAAAACTGAAATAGTGTATATTGTTTGATGCTTCAAAAATAGTATTGAAACAACCAAACATTTCCTTCGAAGGAAGGACTGGATGAAAAAAACGTTTTTTTTCCGACAAAGTACTTGATAATCTACTTGTCTTTCAATTTAAGGAAGCTTTAGTCTCTTTGGAACAGCCAATTCAAAGAGCTTCGTTCTTTAAACTTTGAATTGGAGTTGTATCGCAGCTCACATCGGTATTTCGGACAAAAACCTCGACCAGTTAGAACAGTTTTCATTTTTATTGCAATATATTGCTTAAAAAATGCAACGGAGCTCGGTGAAAATAGATCCCTTCTCAAAATCTCGATAAAAGTAGTTCTGCAAGTTCTATTTTCTACGGAACTTTTTTTTAGCCTCCGGTTAAAATTTTGAAGGAAGTGTGACTTGAGACCTACTGATATCAAAACAAGAAAGAAATATTTCGCAACAGATCTAGTTTTCGAGTTGAGACCCTTCAATAGCTTGAAATTGCGCTTTATTGTCATAATTTGCGTATTCCGCAAACTTTCAAAGCTCACAAATCGAAAACAAGGTCTATTGCAAGAAATTTGGTTCGGCTATAGCTTTTTCTCAGATTTCACTTCAGCAGCTTCTGACCCCATTTTGTGATTATGATTGAAAAAAACTTGCTTTCACTGAAATTATGTTCTTTAAAAAGCTCACTGATAGTTGAAATCAGTCCTTGGGGAAACTTCACAATTTTTAGTTGAAAACCTTTTAAAAACCAATAACGTATAGTTTTTGGACTATGTATTTAACTGAGTTGTGCGAAGTTTTTTTAGAAAATTTTTGAAAATTTTGAGAGAAAGTAATGGCTTTTGGAAAGACGTTTGGAACTGAATCCCTTATGATCTGCGCTCATCAAGCGCTACTACCTGAACATCGCCCAGAAGAAAAAGTAAAAAAGCGTAATATCAACTGTTTTGAATTTTGTGATTATATTTTTGGACTTCTGAAAAGCGTTCCGTTTTTCATTTATGTTCGATCAAACTTCTCAATAACATTTGTAAACTCGAGTTTGAACCTGCGAGAACTGAAGTTCAGCTCTACCAACCTTTCTCCATCGCCTTTCAAGTCAGTAATAACTTATTCACAATCTCGAAGATATTGTCGCCGGTTCGTCCGTCCATCAATGTGCTTATCAAAGAGGCACACCCTCCGCAGTATTTGCAGATAATACTAGCGTCAGGCCCCAAAAGGTTACCACATCACGTCAAAAAGTACATACTACGTTGCCTGTTCAAACCGTTTGTTCGTCGTTTATGTCGGAAATCGTGAAAATCTAGCGCAATAAGACCTGTAAGGAGGTCAGACTTTGTTCCTCACTCATCCCATTTCTCAGGCTCTTTTTTTCCTACGATGTCCTTCGGTTTTCGATTTCGGTGTTCTTTTGGATGGGCTGCAGGTTTCCTTGCGCAGATCCTTGCGCAAGACCTATATAAAACTCACCTATACCTCAAACTTGCTATCTTATCTCCGTAGATCTCCGATGCTCCGTTTTTCTCCTTATTTTTCCGAGTTTTTTCTTATGGAAGTTCTCACAAATTTCGACTAGATAGAATTTTGATCAGCTTTTTTTTTCGATTTTTGGCTGATTGATTAATTCCCCGAAATGCGCTTACGGTCCTAGCCGTCTCAATTTTGATTTTAACCTTTTTGGTAAGCTTCTATTTTTTTTTCCATTAAAAGTAACTTTTTTGAACCTAAGCTCAAAGTGGATTTTTTAAGCGTAGAATTCCATAGACAAACGACTTTCTTTTACTTTGTGAAAGTACTCAAACCGTCCCCGAGAAATTTCGAATAGTTGTTTCCACTTTTGCTTCCAAAGTAAGTGTATAATTGAAAGTTTTGAAATTCGCCCGCACGAGCAGCTCTTATCTAACAGAAATAACCTCTAGAATTCCGCACTTTTTGCATATTTTCCATAAAAACCATTTTTCAAGCATAATTAGTTGAAAACTATAGACTTGAAAAAACGAATTTTTTTTCTGAAACCAACTTTCCCGATCTCAGAACAAACTTACATTTGTTTTTTTTTCCTCTTTCATTCCAATCTTAACAGATCTTGATCAGTTCTCAAAAAAGAAATTTCATGGAATTGCAAGGAAAAATATTCGTTCACATGATTTCTCTGTGAATTCGGCATTCAAATATGGAAAAAAGGTAGAAAGAGGGCTTTTGTAGAGAGAGAGGGCCTATCTTTTGCGACGCCTCTCCATGTTCACGCACACGTGGAATCAGGTTTGTTGTCTGTGCCTCGTCATCGCTCTCGCCTCCGCTTCCACCTTCCCCTCACTCCCGTTTGTCTTCCTGTACGTGGACACTGTGCTTCAACCTTATTCGATAACATTTCGAGAACTTCTCCTTTCGGTTTCCATTTACACTTGGCTTGAAATAGTTTTCGATGGTGGTTTGATGACGATTTGTGAAAACCAATAAAAAGGATTTGGACGTCTCTTCAATAATTTTTCTCACGCTATTGGTAAACAGAGGGAATTTTCGAGCAATACGATATTGATTTTTGACAAATTTCAACTAAATCTTTCGAAATCGTGGAATAGCGAAAAATCAGACTTTTGACAGTAAGACAGAAAGCGCACAAATTTTTCTCATCATGACGGTGATCGCGTTAGAATTTTTCCAGATCACATTTTTCTAAAAAAATGATTGCTTCAAAAAAATACTGTTTGTCTCAAAAACAGGTTATCGGTTTTTTTCGATGCTGAAAAAAATAAGTACACGACAGTGCATCAAATATACTTGTGTATTTTTTTCAATAACCTTTTCACTTATTCAGAGAAAAATTCAAAACGGTTGGAAATTCATTTTCCTAGTCATCAGCCTTAAATTCAGGAATTCAGTTCATATTTCAGAATTCATAGTTTTAAAAGCGGAAACAGATTGGAAAAAGCAAGATACTTTCGTAATTAAGATAGGGTTAATAAAATAAAAGTCTTCGATTCATTTTTTTCAGATTTTTTTTCTTTCGAATATTTCAAGCCGACTGGTTGATGTTCCAATAGTGGTTGACAAAAAAAGCAAGAAAAAAATAAATATTGGTTAACCAAACTGCTAAAGGCTTCATTCCGTTGGTCGTGGGCCTTCTTCCTCCCAGGAGACTCTGTTTATCATAAACACACATCGGCAACCTTGTTCCCTTTTTTTCGATTATTGTTTTTTTCTTCTCTTCTGAAATCTATACGTTATTTTCTGCCAGCTTTCTTTCCGGTTTCAATATTCGAAAAACGGTCTCTGTATCCAAGGAAATCCCTCGTTGCCTGGAAAAAAATGAGAAGTTGCCTAGGTCGCCTCGTTTTTTTTTTTAAATTTTCTGTTTTCAATATTCTCAGCGCTTCAATTCATTTTGTGAAAACCCAAAAAGAAAGAAGTTCTCGCTTTTTGAAGATGTTTTTTCTTTTTTCTAACAAAAGGGTGTTCTTGCGCTTTTCAAGTTTCACCGATTTCGGTAATGACTGGTCTTTAAAACCTTATCAAATAATTTTTTTCCTCATCTCTTCTCATTCTCAGTATTGAAAAAAATTATCTTCTTTTCAATAATATCTTCTTTATAGTGTTTCTGAGTTTTAAAAAGAATTTATAGAAATTACGATGATCTTAAGGCTCAACTTGTAGAAACTCCAAAAAAAGGTTTTCTAGTTTTATCAATAATCAACTTAGTGAACCTTTTTTTTCAAATTTATTTTGAGACGTCTCTCTAGAAACCATGAATCAAGGCCTTTTATAAGTTTCAGAATTTTTATTTATTTGTAGAGCCTCTGAACTCAAAATTTCAAAGAAATTCGAATATAATAGATCCCCATGAAGAAAAAGCGATCAGTTTGTTGATTTGACAATGAAAAATTTCAAAAATAGTGTTGTGGGATGAGAGGAAAATCGATGAGCGATCACGGCTCCTTTGGTATTTGCTCGAAGGAACACGGATACAAACCTTGGTCGTTTTGACACTCAACTCGACTCGGAGAACTGTCTTGCGACCTCGGATCGCGTTGGCGGCAGACGTTCCTCTCAGAAAATGGAATTTTTTGTTCTCTTCATTTTTTCAGCAAACCACCGACTTTTTTCTCACATTTTTGGTTTTTTCGCACTTGTTTTTTTTTTGGTTATTTCCTCTTTTTCATGTCTGTTTTTTCCCAAAGAGCCAGAAGATAGAAAGAGAGCCAGAAAGTTCCTCCTTCTTTGTATCACACTGTTATGTAGCCAAAAATGTTTATTTTCATTCGAAATTTTTAACTTTTTTTATCGTCATGACTCTCAAGTTTTATGACTGTTTCCAACTTCATCTTTTCCAACTCTCTTCAGCAGACCTCCAGAGTTTAGAGTTGTACAACAAGATTTTTCGAACTCACTCTTTCTCTAAAATTTTTTGCAGCGTCAACAGCTGTTCGATATGTAATTTCGCGTTTCCATGATTTATAAGGTTGCATCTCGTTGTTCTCTCTTCTTCTCTAGCGATTCTTGAACGGTTTCCTGGCGGAAACCTTTCAGTTTATTTTTTCTTTGTTTCCGTGAGCCATATGTCTTCTCATATATATTAAACCTAACAAAAAAACGGCGTTTTGCAGATGGCAGCCGCGGCGGAAATCTCCACCGCTTTGCATCAGGCCGACACCTTTATCAGCAACATTGAAACGTGAGTTCCTTATTTATTGCAACTTTTATTTGTTCATTCAGGGCTTCCGAACCCATGAAGCTAATATTTCATTGAAAATCTAAAAAAGAATGAAAAATGTTAACCTTGAATTTCTTAGAATAAAAGGCCCTCAGAACAAGTTAGTGGTAATTGAAAAAGTGAGAGTCAAAGCACCACTTATAGAATAACGAGTTTTGAGAAAACGTTAAGGTCTTTTTTTTTTCGAAACCCCATTCAGAGTATAGATGATATTTCCTCCAGCAAAAAGGTGAGGAGTTTCACCAACAAACCATCAAAAAAATAGCTTCGAAATTTTTTTCTAAAAAGAACATTTTCGAGTTTTTCAATCGCTAGCTAAGATTTTTCGATAGTTTTTTTATTAAAAAGTCTTATCTTATTAACAAAAGGTTTGAACTAAAAAATTCTCTAGAGCAAGTTGAAGTTATTTTTGTTTGTCCGTTGTTACTAGTCCAACATGTTTTGGCTCTTATGAGTGAGTCCATAAATCGTTCTTGTAAGAGAAAAAAAGATATCATTTTTCAAAATTTAACCTATTGCGAAACTCATTTATGTCCAAGTTTTCGTGTGAAGAAACATCTACTCCAACAATCTTTTCTGTTATTTCTGAAACCCCATGAGTAAATTTGAAGCTTCAAAGCTACATTTATTCTTGTTTCATCTTCTTGCCATCATCAGGTGTGGTGGCCAAATCGGAAAACTAGAATGAAACTGAGCAAGATAAGATTCTGGAAGACGCTGAAAAGCGGAATATCTCAGACTTGGATCTCGTTCAGTGGCCCAAATCGGACACAATTTCCTTGTTTGACGATCTCATTCTCACTTTTTAGCCGATTTTCTTCATTTCTTTCCACCGAAAGGAACGCTGCTTTGCTTTTTTTGTTTAAACTGCGTGGGAGAGAGGATCTACAACTGAGTGGAAAAGATGGCTGACAAAAAAATAACGTTTATACGTGGTTGAGCTCAGCAATGAAACCAGAAAGTTTAAATTTTCAGTGGATGAAAAGTTGGAAAAGAAATAAATACTATGTTTTATATTTCGTTTCATTCAAAATGACAACTGATATTTTCAGCATTTTTTCTGATGAATATGCTCGTAAATCAAAAATTATAACTGATATTTCGGCAACGAATTCTCCAAAAACAATCAAGATAGAAGTGTTCCGCGAAAGAAAACCGTAGAAAGATAAACATTTCAGTTGAGCGCCATTTTTCTCATCAAATATGACAAAACGATGCGAGGCGCAATATTGACACACGCTTTCGCGAATATGGATGAAAAATCTTTTTTGCTTATTGACTTTTTCTGTTTGTAATTTGTTTGACAATTTATCACGCTGTCTCCGTTATTCTCAAAAACAACGGGTACAATAAAAAAAAATATTTTTTGATTTGGATGAAACTTCACCCAGTGTGATACCCCATCATCAGAAATGCGGACCCAACTTTTTGAGCCATTCCCTCTTACTGTAGCCGGGTTACGGTAGGCAGGTGGGCACCTGCGTATCTCAGTATTGAAGAGTTTTTTTACTAGGCGAGTGATATATCAATCGATAGGTAATCCAATGTCAAGAACTTTTTACAGTACATACCATCTTGGGTTACGGTCGAAAAAAATTTTTGAGTTACGGTACTTTTTTTGTGTCTGCCGAGTCAGTTTTTTTCGACCACCATGAGCTTGAGCCAGGAGATCCATTCTTCCTAACTTCTCAAAATATACCTTATGAGAAGCTGTACAAGCTGGTACTAGTTTGACAAAATCCTAGGTGGACCATCATTTCGAAAAATCTCCCCGAAGGCGCGCAATCGTGGTCTTGCGGCGGCCAAGTGGGTGAAGCCCATGATGCCGGACGGCTCATTTTTCACAGATCCATTCCAATCTTTGTTTCCATTTCACTCATAGATGTCTATTATTGATTTTTATTTCAATTTGAGATGTTTTCGGGTTGACCATCATTTCGAAATTTCATTTTGAACCCAAATTTGGCCTGAAAAGGGCCGACACGGCTTTTTCCACGGGATCCCTGACTTCGTATGTGACCGTTCTCAACTTTTTTCTTTCTTAAACATGAACAAGAGTGTCTGAACAACAGTTTTATAACAATCGGAAACCCTTTTGAGAGGACCATCATCTCGAAATTTCATTTTGAACCCAAATTTGGCCTGAAAAGGGCCGACATGGCTTTTTCCACGGGATCCCTGACTTCGTATGTGACCGTTCTCAACTTTTTTCTTTCTTAAACATGAACAAGAGTGTCTGAACAACAGTTTTATAACAATCGGAAACCCTTTTGAGAGGACCATCATCTCGAAATTTCATTTTGAACCCAAATTTGGCCTGAAAAGGGCCGACACGGCTTTTTCCACGGGATCCCTGACTTCGTATGTGACCGTTCTCAACTTTTTTCTTTCTTAAACATGAACAAGAGTGTCTGAACAACAGTTTTATAACAATCGGAAACCCTTTTGAGAGGACCATCCTCTCGAAATTCCATTTTGAACCCAAATTTGGCTTGAAAACTTTTGGTTTACCCTTCCAATGAAATTATTGGTTCCCTCAATACAGATCTTGGCCCTTTTAACTTTTTGATGAGAATATAAAGATGAGAACTGAAAATAAATTTTATTTTGAACCAATTCCAAAATGACCGTTTACCTAGGAAATCCACTTTTTGAATAAAAATTTCGCTTGAAAAATCGAAATATTTTGGTTATTTTTTTTCACAAAAAAATAGTCACATGACGAATGTCTTGTTTTTTTCAGGTATGAAAAAAATTTTTGAAGATTTAGAACTACTATTTAGGTTATAATAAAAAAACATTTATAAAAAAATCACCTTGAAAGTTAAGTTTCAACCTCACCGGTGGTCAGAGTGTCGGGTTTTCTCTTTCATGAAAAAAATTACTTGGTATTTCACATTTCTCATTTTTTTGATTACCTGTTTTGAAAAATAAATTGGCAGAATAGATTTTTGCTGTAAATGATAAAAAAACTTCAAATGGGGAAACTGAGCCGATATTTGAGTTCAAAATGAAATTTCGAGATGATGGTCCTCTCAAAAGGGTTTCCGATTGTTATAAAACTGTTGTTCAGACACTTTTGTTCATGTTTAAGAAAGAAAAAAGTTGAGAACGGTCACATACGAAGTCAGGGATCCCGTGAAAAAGGCCGAGTCGGCCATTTCAGGCCAAATTTGGGTTCAAAATGAAATTTCGAGATGATGGTCCTCTCAAAAGGGTTTCCGATTGTTATAAAAACTGTTGTTCAGACACTCTTGTTCATGTTTAAGAAAGAAAAAAAGTTGAGAACGGTCACATACGGGGTCAGGGATCCCGTGAAAAAGGCCGAGTCGGCCATTTCAGGCCAAATTTGGGTTCAAAATGAAATTTCGAGATGATGGTCCTCTCAAAAAGGGTTTCCGATTGTTATAAAACTGTTGTTCAGACACTCTTGTTCATGTTTAAGAAAGAAAAAAGTTGAGAACGGTCACATACGGGGTCAGGGATCCCGTGAAAAAGGCCGAGTCGGCCATTTCAGGCCAAATTTGGGTTCAAAATGAAATTTCGAGATGATGGTCCTCTCAAAAGGGTTTCCGATTGTTATAAAACTGTTGTTCAGACACTCTTGTTCATGTTTAAGAAAGAAAAAAGTTGAGAACGGTCACATACGAAGTCAGGGATCCCGTGGAAAAAGCCGTGTCGGCCCTTTTCAGGCCAAATTTGGGTTCAAAATGAAATTTCGAAATGATGGTCAACCCGAAAAACATCTCAAATTGAAATAAAAAAATCAATAATAGACATCTATGAGTGAAATGGAAACAAAGATTGGAATGGATCTGTGAAAAAAATGAGCCGTCCGGCATCATGGGCTTCACCCACTTGGCCGCCGCAAGACCACGATTGCGCGCCTTCGGGGAGATTTTTTTCGAAATGATGGTCCACCTAGGATTTTTGTCAAACTAGTACCAGCTTGTACAGCTTCTCATAAGGTATATTTTGAGAAGTTAGGAAGAATGGATCTCCTGGCTCAAGCTCATGGTGGTCGAAAAAAACTGACTCGGCAGACACAAAAAAAGTACCGTAACTCAAAAATTTTTTTCGACCGTAACCCAAGATGGTATGTACTGTAAAAGTTCTTGACATTGGATTACCTATCGATTGATATATCACTCGCCTAGTAAAAACTCTTCAATACTGAGATACGCAGGTGCCCACCTGCCTACCGTAACCCGGCTACAGTAAGAGGGAATGGCTCAAAAAGTTGGGTCCGCATTTCTGATGATGGGGTATCACACTGGGTGAAGTTTCATCCAAATCAAAAAATATTTTTTTTTATTGTACCCGTTGCTTTTAGAAATTTTTGAGAATAACGGAGACAGCGTGTTATAAGCGGATGAATTCATTTTACAGGTTCCTGTAAAATTCAAAGTTGCTCCATTCCACTGGGAGATATTGAAAATTGACTTTTATCTCAGTTTTGAGTAACCTAATATCGAAAGGATTTTCACCACTAATTTCGCATATTTGGGCTACCAATATTTATAATTCACTTACAAGACCGTTTCACCCTGCACTTTGAGTTCACTTCAAAGTTGGCAAAAAAATCAATTCATATATTGAGAAATATTTCTAGAAGATTTCGAAAAATGTTTCAAGCCAACCAAAACTCGCTATTCAGCTTTTTACCATTTTTCCAATTTTTTCTTTGGAGTACAAATGAGGAAGCTTCATAGGAAGTTTTTCCGAACTATCTTTTCTCAAACAATTTTCTGAAACCTCGCAAGACTCAGAGAACAAAAAGCACCGAGCCAAAAGAGATAAAGAAGCGAACGAGTTTTTTTGAGGCAATCTGTTGCCCATTGTCTCCCAGTGGCTCAACTCGAAGCCATTTTGAAGGGTTGACAACCTCTGTCAACTCCAACAAGTTATCTCGGCCTTTTTCATGAATAGCTGAGAGTTGCCTTTTCCATTCAGTTTTGAATTTTTCATGGCAGCTTTCAAGTTTTATTCCATTTTATTTCCGAAAGGACTCAAAGTACCGCACTCTATCGAACTTCTATTAACCAAGACCCACCAAAAGTTAGATAAAAAAGCGTGAATGGAATCGTTAACTCTTCCCTGAACTTTGATTATTTGCTAACCATGTTAACATTGATTTTTTTTTAAAGAACAAACAGATAGGCTCTGTATGGACAGAATGATTCGATAAATGGCTACTATAGTCAAAAACGTCGTGAAAAGGACAAAGCGCTTTCATAGCAATCGAGCCTTTTTTGACAATGAAACGAGGCTGGGAATATTTTGAAGCATGCTTCTTGTGCAAACTATCATAGCCCAGCAAACACATTCGTTTTGCATATTTCTACGAAATGAAAAGAAGGCGGCGGTATTTCGGGGCGTCCTTCTTCGTTGTTTTACTGCTGGACATTTTTGACGAAAATATTTTTTTTTGTTAAAGACAGTTTCATGGAGGACAATTGAAAATTCTTTTTGAATTTTACTTTCTTAATTTTTGGTTTAAAATCACAGAAAGCTCCATATTTTTGCAACGCAGTTTAATTAAGGCATTTGAAAGTAGTAGGGAAGATATGGATTTCAGTTATATTCTCGACGTAAGACTGAAAAAAAGTTTTTTCTGTGACTCGATTCTTAAACATTTTTTTTTTTGCAAAGTCATGAAATTCACAAAAGTCACCAAAAAATTTTTTTCAAAGTGGTATCAGAAAAAAAAATTTGACCGCCAATGTTTCCCATCTCAAACAATTTCTTCTCTTTTTTTCATCAGAATTCAAAATTGACATCAAGAACCCACGTCAAATCCTTCTAGTCGTTGTAAATCACATTCGCTCGGACTATTTGGAAATACAAAAGCATTCCCTCCGCTTTCCCCACTTTGTCCTCTTGGCTGTGCACCTCTTTTCAACTGATTTTATTATGCCAACTTGATTCACGGCTCGCCTCTTTCGAACTTCCATCATTTTCAGAAACCCTGTTTTTAGTTCGTTTTTTTTTGTTTTTCTACTGAAATTCGAAATAGTGCTGAAAAATTAAATAATGATTTGATGATTTGCATGAAAAAAATGTATGCTAATCAATCAATAATCTTAAATTATTGTACTGAAATAAGATTTCTCAGACGGTGATTTGAAATAATGTCAAAGTGTGACTGGAAAAGCCAAAAATTTTGATAAATCTGATTATTTTTTCAAGTTTTCATTATAGATGATAAACTGCTCTCCCTTGCGCTCTTACCTTTTTTTCTTTCTGTGGCAGTTTCCAATTTGATCTCGGGTGATTCTACTGATCAACTTTGAACTCTACCTCGATTTGGTGATATCTTTTTTGAAATCACCCTTTCAAGCATATTTTTTTCGTAACTTCTAATTGGTAAATAATTGGCCAAACTTTTGCTCAAAAATTTTCACGGAAAGCGCTTCCATTGAAATTTCATCGAAATCATCAGAAAGTTCTAGTAGTCAAGGCTCAACTGCCACCGACTGAAACATCGGAACCAACTCGCACGAGTCTAATCCAATATGCATATAATAGGTCGCCTCCGTATCCATTTGCACGCCGCCAAGCGCCTCGCGGCACTTCCAAATGTTACAGAAAAACCGCCTTCCGATGAGCCCACGGAAAGTCGTTAAACAGTGAAGAAGAGATGGGCGGCCGTGACGATCTCCACAGAACTTCTTTCTCTTTGCCTTGCACGTCTTCGGCCTCGGCCCTTCATCATCAGCAACCTTTGCGATCAACGTACTTTTTAAGCTTTATTTTTAGTCTTCCAGAAAACGTTTGAAAACTCAGCGAAGACACTTTTTGAAATAATAATTGAATTTTCTGAGAAATCCATCGGCATAATTTCCCAATTCCGGAGAATGAGCGCCTCAAAGTTGCGCGGACTAGAAAATTTTTTGCTCTGGGATTTTCAAAATTTTCATTCAGTCTTTCTTGCAGTTTTCAGGCATTGTTTCACTAAACTCCTAGACAAACTGGAAAACAAAGCTCAAACAAAAGGAATCCACAAATTTTGGAACTAATTAGCGAATCAAACCGTTAGGTTTTGTTTTATGAACACCTTAAATTTAACAAATAAATCTGCGAGTTTTTCAAAGTTGCTGAATAGAAAAAAAATCGTCATCGAAGTTTTTTTGTCTGCTGCACAAAGAATTACTCAAATTTTCTTTTACCGATAAATGCAGAATATCTCCGAAACTCGTTCCAAGGCACAATAATATGAAAAAATTCCAGCATGCTGGATTTAAAATTTATTTGCGTTTCGTTTTTCTTTACTGAAATTTTTTTAATTGTTTGCCTCCCATCTAAAAGCCTAACCAGTCTTTTTCTCTCATTTTTGAACGGTTCGAAAAGAACTTTTACTCAAATTGGCTGCGTCAGCACATTTCACTTTGATGTTTTATTCATGAAGCGATGCCCCATTGAAATTCAATAGTGTTCGAAGAACGAAGGATTTTGATTCGCCGCGGTGAGTATTTTCGCACATGAGTCCTCGACGAAACGCAATCCGACGTCCCCAGGGACCGTGGCTTGTCGCACTTGTTGCCTTCTTGACACAATTCACTAACACACCTCCTCTTTCTAGCTTCCTGTTTTATAACTTTCCTGCTTCTTGTTTTTCTGAAAAACCTCTTAATCCAGTGAAGTAGTTGTTATTAATATCTGAAATTTCTCAATTTCAGTTTTATTTATTTTCCTTTTATGAAACTGCTTATGAGCTATTTGTTCTGAGAAAGTAAAAAAATATCATTAAAAAAATTTGTTTTTTTATTTTAAATATTTCAACGCTGAAAAAAATGCAGATGAGGTTAGTTATAGTCGATGTGCCACGACTTGAAATTTCATGGAACGACACTCCGTTGGGTGGCCGTGGCCGTGAAAGCGCCTTGCCTTTGCGAATTTCGGTCGCGCTTTTCATTTTTTTATTCGAAATTTTCATTATTTTAATCATGTTTTTAATAGTTTTCTTCGTGCCAAACTCATAATTATCTTTTTCTAGTGGATAGACTGTTTCATTGATAAAAAAATAAAGTAGAGTAATTTGCGAATTTTTAAGCGAAAAAAATGCGTTTATAATATTTGAAAGTTTTTTTCATGAGATGGTCTTTGGTTTTTGTTCAATATATTCCGTTATTTTACCTTCATTGAGCCTTTATCGACATTTCTTTTTTTCATTTCACATGATGTAAAAAAATATCCCAATCAGAAATAAAAATACACAGTGAATGATTTAAAAAAATTGAATGTTTCTACATTGACGAATTTTTTTATTTAAAAAAACAGATACAGAAGTTCAAAGGAAAAAAATTATTAGTTTGCTGGACATTTCGTTCAGCACAACGTTTCCACTGTTCCAATTGCTCCCTGTTCACGCCCCATTTCTGACGCATAGTTCAGCAATACGATTTATCTAAAGCTCCATTTAAAAAGGAGCGAAAAACCTTTCATCAAATTATGGTGCATGTGCTCATGGAAGTACGCATCTTCATTTTATAAGGCGCTCACTTTCTGAAAAAAACAATTAACGACTGCAAACAGAAAAAAACGATGAAAAACATTAAAACATGGCTTTAAAAAAACACAGAAACTATTGTAGAATATTGTGGCGTTTACGGCCTATTTCACCCGCAAATCCTTTTTGGTAAGTCTTTGAAAAACTTTTTTTGAGAAACGAGAAAAAAACAATATTAAAGCGATTGAAGAATACATGAAGTTTTTTTCAATTTTTTTAAAAATCGCTTTTTTTCGAGAAACATCATGAAATTTACTGTGTTCTTTCTTTTTACATTTGTACAACGCAATCCTTTTCAACGATAATATTACATTTTTAAAGAAATAAAACAATAAAAAAACGATTGAAATTAGAATGAAAAACCAAAAAAATTAGCGTGGCCGAAGTTGGCAAATTCGCAAGATGCGCGCTACCGCACAAAAATCGAAACAGCGGAGTGTTGTTCCATGAAATTTCAACTTGTGGCACATCGACTATAACTGTGAATGGAGTTTCCTAAAAATGCCTTCAAAAACTATAGTTTTTTTTTTCCTGAGTTAGTTCAAGTGAGTAAATTTTTGAAAAAAAATTTAAAAAAGGCAATAATAAACAATTTTTTCCAGCAAGATTGACTCGGCTTCGCAACAACACAGTCCGGCTTCCAACAGCTCGTCGGCCAAGTCAGAAGATAGCGGTTTGGACGATGGCAGCAGACGCACTGTGGTACTTTTCCTATCTAAAATTAGTTTTTTGAGAGAAAAGTTCACCAGCAGCCCAAATCTTCATTTACAAAAAAACTTTTTTGCAATACTTTTGTAGAGCCTCAAAGATTTTATGATTACATTCTTAGTTTTGAAAACACAATAAGTAACTATGTCATAGTCTTGGTTAATTTCAGGCCAAGCAGATCTCTCGCAAATCGTCTCGGATGTCTCAGTCTTCTGGAATGCCGTCTGTTCTTGAACAGCTCGAGCAAATGATCGTTTCGGACGAGTGGGTTGGCGCAGAATCAAACGGAATCCCTGGGCAGCATCCTCAACTTACAAAAACCAAGTAATTTTCTCTTGAAACAAAAAAATTTTTGGTACAAAGAAAAGTGAGATAAATTTTTTTCTCAACTAGCAATAATGCCAAAAAACCAAACGAAGGTTATTTGTTTATTTATATTTATAAAAAAATTGAAAAAAATCTTCGGTTCACTCTCCAAAATGATCAAAAATTGTTTTGATCTTCATTTTCGTTGAAGTTCTCGACCTAGAAGGCTTCGCCAGTTCAAATTCAAAATTTTGATAAACTTATTTTTATTCTGGAAACCAAAAATTTTTGTCGATAACTAAAATAACAATCGACATTTCAACCTTTTCGAAAATTCACTTCTTAATTTTCAAACTTATTCCGTTTTCTAATGGTTTGGTTCTCTGCGAACATTTCCAAGATGCTCAGCTAATCCCGTTAAGAACACTATGTGTAAACTTTGCAATCTGAATGTTTATTAATTCTAAAATTTCTTCAAACTTTTCTTTGCAGGTCTCGGGAGGGACAAAGACTCTCGGAGCTTGGAAGGACATTAGTGACGTCATCATCTTTGAAAACGTACATAGACTTACTGAGTAGTCACCACAGACAAAGCATTGCCGCTTGGCTCTACGGAAACACCAATCAAGCTTTAAGCAACCTGTTCCGGTTCGAGAAAGGACGAATTCTTTTTAAAATGGATATTTCAGTTTTTCTGACTCTCAAGTTTATTGTTCTGACGCAGAGGCGACTCTCTCTTTGTCCATTCGAAACGGAATCGGTATAAAATCTTGATATGCTCAAATGAACTCGAATGAACTTTCAGGGCATGCCGTTAAGTTGGCCCTCAAAAAAGCTTATGGAAACGACTTTGTCACGAAAGGCTGGAGAGTTTTCATGGAGAAGGTGAGGTGTTCAAAATGAGTCAAGGCATGAAATACCTTCATTTTGGTTCTGTAAAGGTTTTTCATTATATCTTTTTAGTGAAGTAGTGGCGTCTCGGAAAAAATTTGAAGAGAAAGATCAGATGAAACTTGGCATATGTTGCTATCTGCACAGACCTTTTCTAAGAATATAGTTTTTTCAAGTTAATAAAAAAGCCCTCATTTTATTTTCGACGCAATTTTTAAGAGGAAAAAAGATTTTGCGCAAGTAACAATTAGCTGAAAACCTTCATATGGCTTTTCAAAGAGTGTATTGCTGTGTTGATAGCCAATTTCCAACTCAACAGAAAAGTCACTTGACCTTCCAGCTATGAAACAGTAGACTCAAGAAGTATTCATTTTTCACTGTTTCGGTCAGCATAAAAAAACTATCTTCCCCTTTTTAGGGTGCTCCGGTCGTTTACGTCTCTCCTGCTTTGCACATGGATTTGTCTTCTTATCTCGCTTCAGAGTTTGGAATCGCCGATGTTGTGGTTCTACCCAAGATTGACTCGGAACTGAGTGAAATCGAAGGAAGAATTGTTGGTGATCTCAGAATACTCGATTATTGCTCAATATTTCAGGACCATCAAGCTTTTGAAAAAATTTTGGAGGAAGACGTCGCCGCGGGGAAGAAACCGTTGATTTTGATCGGAGTTGTTGGTTCAACGATTCTGGGGCAGAACGACATGATTTCCAAGATTCTGGAAATCCGTAAAACAAAACACAGCTTCTGGCTGCACATCACTGGACAGGTGCGCAAACTTTGCGAATTTCCCATTTTTAGCAGTGTTCGGTGTCTGTGTACTTTTGAAGTTGCAGAAAGTTTATGTTAAAAAACTAAAATTTGTTCTATCAACGTTTTGAAAAGTTTTTCAGGCTATTGCCGCCTTAACTTTCCGTGAGCCAAACGGAGTTCTTGTTCACGTTTTGTCTCAAGTAGACAGCCTCACGATTCCGTTGGCTCTTTGGCTCGGTATCCCAGCTGCTCCAGTTCTTGTGAGTTGCCATTCCATGATTTTCGATAACTTATGAGTTCAGACTCTGCACAAAACTGTAGATGGCCACAAGGCGACCTACAGAGAAAAGCTGGACACTCTTCCATGGTGGGTCGCTTCATCCTACTTGACCAGCAAGCGAATCACCGACATGATTGAGAACGCATACCTTTTGGTTTGTACAAGTTGGAATGAGTTATAAACACAACTTTTTAGAGCAAAGTCATGTTGAAAGGTCTCTCTACACTTCCACAAATTGAAATCATTGGTATGGAAAATGCGGCGGAGTTCGCGTCAGGTGTCTATAAGAACAAGTACACTCCGCCGACAGTTTTAATATTCAAATATCGTTATGAATCTATCAAGACCGCGGTTTTGGTGAGCGTTCTCACATGGGTTTATCAGCGTTTGAACCTTTTTTCAGAGACACAAAGATCTCAGCCAAAAAGAAGAAGATCATGAAGCTATTGCACAAGCAGAGAAGGTTTTGAATGACGAGCTTGAGTACGGCGATTCTCTGAACTCTTGGGTTTGTTCATCTTTTTTGTTCCCATATTTCTTTTTATTCAGCTTGGTCAAGGTCTTCTAATGGAATGTCAAGCTTTGGGAATTGATATGATGGAAATCGGAGGTAACTACGGCATGGCCTTCCGATTCTGTCCTTTAGAACATGCAGCAAGTGAGTTTGTCCTATCTAAAATTATCCTTTTTTGTTCAATCAGCGTATTCTTCTCATATCGATCACGTTCAACGATTCATCCGCCAACTGAGTGACGTCATCCGGATCGTAGATTCCACAGTAACCGCAAGATCTCGCTTCTCTGATTTGAAAGAACAATTCCCTTCTCTTACTCTTCTACCTATTCAAAGATGGGCTGGTATCGGCGCCGTATGGTGAGTTTGAACAAAAAAGACTCCAATATCTTTGACTTTCAGTTACATTCCTTCAATTGTTAAAGAAGTTAACCCCCATGAATGGAATGAGAAGCAAAAACAACAGGTTTCCATACTTTCTGCAGTTTTGATTAGAGTCAGAATGTTCAGATCTCTCATTTGAACTTGGAACTCGTTCATCAGCTCCGAAGCGTTGACACCGCCTTTTCTTCCGGAGAAAGCGCTAGCTATGGGGTTTCCTTTCTGGATTTTACTTTTCCAATACTCTTTTCTAGGTCTCTTGTGTGAAGTTTGGAATGTTATCCGATGCGAAGGACCTTGCTGATTTAGTTCAAATGGTAGCCGAGAAGGGCAAAGAAATTGAAAACAGTCAACAGGTATGAAGTTTGCCGGTAGAAAGAAACTTGAAAACTTTGTTCAGTACCTCGATAGTCTTGCTCAGCTCATTCGTCAAGGAATCGAAGCTGCAAATGAGCATTTGAGAAAAGAGAATGACATGCGCCTTCAGAATGAGGTTGGACTGAAAGAAAGATTTTATTACTTTTATTTGTAAGGGAGTTATGCGCCAGCTACCAATAATGGGCTCTTTGGTCAACTGGTGGTCGCCGTTGGACAAAGAAGCACAGAATATAAGAGGGCGGTCTTTCAATTTGAAAACAGGTGAGACATTTTTTCTATCATTCATGAAGAAAAGATCCATGTCGCGACCTTTTTCACCTTTAAAGATGAAGGGATTTCATTGGGCTCTTCAAACTTTTCCAAGAACCCAAACTCAGCTCATTTTTTGAAGACATTCGACTAGAATTTCGTAGCAAAAAATTTCAACTTAATGTACCTCTTTCCAATAAAATTGGAAGTTATGCTTATGATGTTTACAATTTTTTCAAATATTTCTGATCCGAGACCTTGTTGTTTTTACCGTCTATGTAAAAGACAAAGAAGAAAGTCCAACGAACAGCGAGTTCAAAAAAAAGATTCAAAAATAAACTTAACGTTGGTTTTGAAGGTGAAATCCAAACAACAGAAGTCATGTACAAACGGAAAATGGGAGAAGACACTAAAACTCCCATGACTCCCGTTGAAACTCCACAGGTGTTGAATTCTCAAGTTTTCCGGCCAACTTCTCGGTTTCAGGCTCCTCACGATTTCTCTTTGAAAAAAAATGAAGCGGTGATCGAGGAAACAAAAGAAGAATCAGAAGAACAAGCCGAAGCGGCTCAAGAAACCCAAAAGTGATCACTCGAGACGGAAAGCCTTCTCATTTGTAGGAACGTCCTTCAATTTCCCAGAACGCGTTGTAAATCAAATTTTCGGAGCGGTGTCTCGCTAAAAAAAAGTTATGGTTAGTCTACTAAATTTCCCTATTAACGGTCTTCTAATCTGTGATTTCCTTGTTGTTATTTATTGTACCCTGAAAAAGTAGAATTTCTCTGAAAGATTATAAGAAACTGGTGTGCACGTTATAGCATTTATTTCGCATTCTATTTTTTCAAGGACTTCATTTTTTTTTTTTGATGGATCAACGGCTAGACATTTTTCAGTGGCAGCTCTTCCCTTACAAAAATTACAGCTTTTCATCATTGTGCAATCAAACCTTGTTTTTTCTTCACTCTTCACAATTACCGACTTTTTTGTATCGTTTCTAATAACACATTCCGGGGTTCTTCCATAAATTTTATTCACAATTAATCACAATTTCTCGACAAATGGATGGAAAGTTTTCAATTTTTCTAAAGAGACCGAAGTTAGTTTGACAAGAAGTTTGATAATAGGGAGATCGATAAAAATGTGAATTTTGAGAAATTTGAAAGGAGAAGCTAAGCTACAAATAATGAAGTAGTGGATGAAGTAGTTGGATTCTTGGAACTCAATTTCAAGATGAACTCATGGTTTATACATACTTACAAGGTTACTGCAATAGATTGAATTTAAAGAGGGAAATAAGACACAGAAAGTTTCCAAGAGTTGGCTGAATCATGAAAAAACAGGGTGAGTGGAATATAGTGAGTAAATGTAAATGATAAAATTTAAACTTGAGGGAAAATCATTATTTTTGATAAAAAATGAGCGAATAACACAGACTTAACATTATTGAAACGACTTTTCTAAGCCGCTTTTTTACATCATCGTGATGATGATCCCTTAAAGTCTAGCGGGGATTCAAAAAAATCACTAAAGTTTTTTGAAATCAATATTGTCGATGTTTTAGTAAGGCGCGTTTTGGTTTGGACCCAACCTCTATTCAAAAGATATAACCCCATTTAATTAGCGGGAAAAAAGAAGAAGACCTCAATAGCCTTGAAACTGTTGCTGGGGCTGCTGTTGTGGCTGCATCTGCTGATAGTTGCCGTAAGAGTAATTCTGAAGCTGTTGAGGCATCTGGACCTGTTGGGGCTGAAGATGTTGCTGTTGGTACTGAACATTCTGGTGTTGCTGGTGGTGCTGCTGATGGAGCTGTGGCTGCATGATCATTTGATGATTGAGCTGAATCTGAGGCTGGATCTGAGGCTGGATATGGGGTTGAATCTGAGAATGCATCTGAGGCTGCTGTGAAACTCTTTGCATTTGCATCTGTTGGGGCTGCATCTGGACGGCTACTGGTTGCTGGTGGTGCTGCTGCTGAGGAATCGGAAGGTGATGCAGAGACTGAAGATGAATGGGCTGCTGTTGAACGGGAGCTTGAAGGTTTTGATGATGCTGCTGTTGCTGCTGCTGTTGCTGTTGCTGCTGCTGTTGCTGTTGCTGCTGCTGTTGCTGCTGCTGTTGATGTTGTTGTTGGAGAAGTTCCTGATGCGTCAGCACGCGGCACTTTCTGAGCCTTTTCCATTCTCCAGCCAGAAAGTCCATCTGAAAAAAATTTCGAGGATCCAAAAGTATGATGATAAAATTAACAACGTTTTTTCTACTTTCAATATGCTACTTTGACGGACTTAAAAAATGTATACCTGGAAGAAAGTCTCCACTTTCGTCTTGACGAGACCGGACTCGGCTGTCATGGATTCCTCCATAGTTTCAGACAGCTTCAAAGTGATGACGTTGCCCATTTCAGGACGTGGGTTCGCTGAAAATGTTGATTTAATGATTCAAACTAGAATAATATTCTGGCTTTTTTAAATTCACTTTCGAAGGATTTTCTTAAAATTTTCAAAGTGTATAGAATCTGCAAACGGGAATTCCGAGAAGTTTGCCAAATTACATGTTTTTCTTTTCAATTTTTCCCTTCATACCTCATTCCATTTATAAATCTTTCCTGTTAGTCAAACGACTTACTTCTATCTCCAAGCATGAAATTCATAACGAGCTGTCTTCCATGCGTGTCCAGAACGTTCGCAGTGCTCAACAAGTCGTTGGCTTGATTCATGATAGCATCCCGATGATCCTGAAATTTTCTTTTCAGCTTTGAAAAGTCTGTTTAGAAGGATTTTGACTTTCAATACGTCTTCGGAGTATTCGAGTATACAAGGTTGATCATGCTGAATTGCAACATGAATTTGCTGATCTTGGTGTTGACCATGCTGAAAATGACCCCTTCAGGAGTTTTTTCATATACTTGTTAAGTGATGTGTTGGTTATAACTGAACAGGAAAAAATGGTTAGAAAAAATTAATCGCATTTTGATTAAAATCACTTTTTTGAGTAGTTTTTTCTCCAAGATAGTTATGTTTTGTTTCATTCATAAGTTAGTTTTGACACTTAAAGGATGAACACCGAAATTCTTTCCAGTCTTATCATGTGAGATCTTTCATTTTGAAAGAGGCAGTTTTTCCAAAAATTAGGTTGAACGGAGTCGTAGCTGAAACCGACTATGAAATGAGAAAAACCTCCGTTGTTAAAACTGGATAAAAACGATTGTAAAAAAATTAGAAAAACTATGGAAAACCTTCTAGAAAAATAATCAATCGGTTTTTTTCATGGTTCTACTTTAAGCACATTTAGAAAACTGAAAATTTTCAGTTTTCAACAAATTCGACTTTTTTTGTTAGTTTTTACTCCAGGAAAGGAAAAACGTTTTCCTAGTTGAGTGAGAATTGACAACGGTCACTTTTCATATATGATTTTTATTCTTGTGGAAGTCATTAATTTTGCTCTGTTTAACTGCTGCATTATTTAATTATGCTATTGCAACTCAAAAATCGTTATTCAACCCAGCTGAAAGCATGATTAAAGCATTGAATATTTAAAAAAAACCTGAGTGAGCTGAGGAATCTGCGACATGAAAGCTTGTTGCATCTGCGGCTGTTGCAAGTTCTGTTGGCCTGGGAATTGTCTCTGTTGCATCTGCTGCTGTTCTTGGATACTGCGCAAGAGTTGCGGCGAAACGGTAAGTTGAGCTCCAGGAGGAAGACGAAGGACAAAGGTGTTTGGCTGAAACTTTTCTTCTGTGAAAAAAAGATATGTTTCAAGAATTTATTTGATGATGTTTTTGATGAAAAAAATTGTGTCGATTTTAATGTTATGATTACAAAAGCCCAAAAAAATGTTTGCGAGGAAGGAAAAAAATGGACAGAAAGTTATTTGAAACAATGTAATTAATTCATCGCTATTTTGGACGCTTTCAAAGTTTTCATAAGTTCCTTTTTTTGGCGTGTGGTTTAGCTAATTTTGCTTTTTTTCCAATAACTTTTTAAAAAAAGAAAAAAATTATATTCATCTTCTCAAAAAAAGGAGTAAGACGCAAAAAAATTACAAAAATTCTTTTTTTACTGCTTTAGCGCTATAAATAAAGACACATCTTCAAGAAAGATCCCTTTGAAGTTTTTTCTGGATTTCACGAAAATTCTTAAAAACCTGGGCTTTTTCCAAGTTGGCCATTTGTGGTTGGACTACAGGCGCTGCTGGTGTCGCCGCCTGCTGTTGCTGGAAATTTCCCCTCGGGCCATAGTTATTCATCTGAAAGGTATAGATAGAGGTATTCGAAATTAACGGCGTGTACATTTTGTTTCCGTTCTGCCGGGTGAACGGGAGAAACGAAGCTTGGGCCAGGCAACTCGTTGGGAGTGAAAAGGCTGATGCTATCCGGCGGCAAAGTCGTTTGAGGGTGAGTTCGCACGGGTGAAAGAAGCTGTGGACGATTTTGTTCAAGCTGAACATGATGCTCCGTTTTCAGAGGGTTCAGGGTTCTTGGAGATTTCAAAGGCGGCGATGCCAAAACAGGGCAATCAATCTGAAAAAAAAGATGAGAGGGATAACTGTTTGATACAAACCGGAGTCACGATAACTGAGGGCTCGACGGCCGGGGAAGGTCGCTGAAGTGTGGGCGCCTTTTTCGCCTTCTTGTCGATGTCCATCGATGTTCGTGCAGCAGCAGATTTTCTCTTCTCGGCTATTTTCTTGGCCTTTTCTTGCGATTCGAGCTCCAAACGCTTCTTTTCTTCCTAAAAACATTTAATGCATTGAGATAAAAAAAAAAAAAACCTCTTTGAGTCTTTTTTCTTCCATCGCTTTCTTCTTCTGAGCTTCTTTTTCTTCGGCTTTTCGCTTTTTTTCCTCTTCTTGAGCTGCTTGACGGCGTTGTTTTGTTTGTCATTGGGAGATCACAAATATCTATAATAATTTCAAATTTATCGTTTTCAGTTTCAAATGAAATACCAATGAGCATGGCTCCTCCTTTCTTTTTCGAAAGCTGTCTTTGGAACTTTTTTTGGGTTCATTAGTGAAACCTGAGTTCAGTTTCAACGAGTTCTGAGTAGGAATCCCAACCATAGGCACTGAAAGTTTCTTTTTTGTTTGGAACAGAAAAAACCACAAACAGTTGTTATCCGCTTTCCTCGCAGTCGACCTCATTTTGATAGGAACAGTGGTAGAAACAATATTTCCGCCGTGTTTGAGTTTGAGAGCCTGTTGAGCTTCAGCTACTATAAAGAAAATTTTAGAAAAACTATCTGGAGGAAACTCACGTTTCTCCACTTCCAATTGGAAAGTATAAGACTTCGGCTTCTTCTTGATCGTGAAATGTTTCTCGGGCTCACTTTGGGTTCCAAAAGCTCCCTTAAAACAGTGATAGAAAAAGAAGTTAACGAAACCTTACTTGAATCACGATCTGGCTAGTAGATCTGTACGATTTCGGTAAAATTTCCAAACCAAGTTCAGAGATTTGAGGTGGGACTAGAAGTAAAGATTAGAAAATTGATAAGAAAAACTTAAACTTTTCTCTAATATTTCTCCCAAAGCCTTTTGAAACTCTTCGGACTGATCATCTTCAGCCAACGGAACACCAACGAAGGGTAAACTTCTGAAAATAACGTCAAATTTAGTGTGAAGACTGGGTCCTACAGATAAATTTTTGAGATGGTTTCGACCCAATCATCGGCGTCGCGACCAGCCAGTTCAAGGAAACTTTTGATTGTTTCTTTCCACTGAACGTTTTTTATTTGTTATTTTTTCTTCATTAAAATTACCGCAATCAAGTTTTTAGGAGCAATGTAAAAGACTGCTAGAACAATCTTCAATTTTGTAGTTGTGGCCAAACGCTGAAAAAATATTGAAATCGATGGGACAATTAAGATAAACGAACTTGGAAGCAATTTTGCAGTTCATCCAACATTTCTCTGGAAATTATTGAAGAATTAGAATTTGCCTCCCAATAAGTTGTGTCGCCGAACTTCTTTTCGAGCCAACTGACCTGTAAAAAAAAGATCTGACAGAATAAAAACTGTGAAAACTAATCTTAAGAATTAACGTTCGGTTTGTCGAAACTTTTTAACCGTAACTTCACAAAAAAACAGAAGTTTGTTCAAATGACAGCATCATTAATCTCAGTCTTATTGATAGAGTTATCGAAAAAACTCACTAGTTCTTCATCTTTTAACTGAGCAGCTTGCGCTTGCTGCAAAAAGGCGGGAGACTGAAAAACGAACGGTTCGTCCATCCTGAAAGATAATTGCTTACTGAAATGCAAATTCCTTTAAAAAAACTTTTAAAAGAGCAAAACGAACAAAAATAAATACAGAAAGGGCCACAGAAAAAGTTGGCACGAGATCAACTGTGCAAAATAACGCCAGGGAAATGCAGAATTTACAATTACAGTAAACCAACCTCACGCCAGGAAATTCCTGTGTTGTAAATTTGTAAATAGGATATTCTATAAGGAAAAAAAGCAAGTTCGAACTTTTTCCATCTCTTTTCCGAAAAAAATTCAAGAAATCTCGAATACGAGAAAAATTTCAGGCTTTATTGACAATAAAAAAATATTGGGATTCCAATTAAGTTCCTACTCATTTTCGGTCCAACAAACTAGAATGTTTTTTTTATTGTAGAAATGTTCATTTTCTTCATTAGTTAATTTTATTTTGAATGAGAAAAAAATTTTTCTAGTTACGGAATCATTTAATTTTTTTGTCTTCACATGCACGGAGAAAAGAGAAAAATCTGTTTTTTTAATCGAAAAATTTTGAAATTTTTTTCGCTCATGTTTATGATTTTTTTCTCAACTCGAAATTGGATGAAGTTGGCGGATTTTCTATTCAATACTGGAAATGTAGTGTTTGAACATTATATTTCAAAAAAAAAAGTCGAAACTTTGTTCTACCGACACCGAATAAAGTTTTTTTTTCATGATTAGGACCCTCTGAAAAGTGTATTTTAAACTTGCAAAGCCAGCTTGAAAATGATTGATCTCAAACTATTCTTCTCAAAATCATCCAAAAGCTCTCCAAAATTATCAAGAAAGCTTCGGTTTCGCATTTTTAGTGCTAGGCGGACAATAAGAGGCAGAAGCTACAAACTTAGACATAGGGCGATTTTCTCAGAGCATGAGCCTTTTCAGTTGGCTGTACAGATATCGTTTTGACTGCCTGATTAGAAAATACTATAACGAATAAAGGGTTTGAAATAGAAAAACACTATTTTTTTTTACATAGTCAACCTCATTTCCGACACGTTATGTTTTGGAAAACTTTTAGCGTTCATGAGAGACAAATCAGCCTCCCCCGCAGTAGACACAGTTTGCTTTTCAGGTCGGCTTGCAGATTTTCGCTGAAAAAATGGTTTTAATTAGAAAACGGCTGATGATGCAGCAGCTAGGCATATAAAGCCGCGCAGATCCGGCTCAGGAAACATTTCATACCATCGGCACTCTACTGGCAATGCACTTCCGACTTTTCCTCCTTCTTGCCGTTTTTGTTGCCGCCTATCAAGTTAGCTTTTTCTTGTTTTAAGAAGTTACACATAATTTATTGCTTACGGGAAACAGTAGAGCGAACTCACGACTAAACCTTTTTCAGCTCGATAATCCGTTAGTTGTGGAAAGCTCCATATCGAATACTGCTTTAAGCCAGTTCAATTACTTTCATGGACTGATGATGAATGAAATCCATTTTTTTTAACTTGAACCCTAATGAAATCCAAAAAAATAAATAAGATCAGAATCAGAGAGCTCCAAGCGACTTCAAAAATTATTTCCTACGAAACTATCAAACTTTTTGGATGCATCATAGTACAGTCTTCTCTTTCTTATTCACCTCAATTTTAAAGTTTGATTATTTTTTTTTACTTGCAAAAGAAAACGAAATACTATAATTTTCAGGCCGCTCCCATCTCTAGCACTGTCGCTTTAACTTCATCGGTTGGAAATTATTTCTTTTTTTGCAAAAAATCATCAACTGCTCAGGAAGAAGATTCGGTGGAAGGCTCTGGACTCTCAGGTGAAACTTTCGAGTCAGAGGAGTCTGAGGAAAGCTCTGGAGACCTGGACAGTGAAGAAACGTCAGAGAGTGAAGAAGATGGAAGCATAGAAATTGAAGGAACGGTGCGAACACCTTGAATCTTTCAGTTACATAAAAATTTGATTTTCAGATCATCATTGAAAACTCCAAGGAACTCTACACTTTTGTGGTGAATCCAAAAATCTCGCTATCCAATTTTTGATTTTTTTTTTACAGCCGATCCCTGGAGAAGATGGTCAAGATGACGACTTGAACGTCTCAAAAGAACAAAACGCAAACGAAGACGAAGAAGAAGAAGAAGATAAATAAATGAAAAATCTGAGATCAGAAACTTCATTGTCTGTCGATAAACTTTTACCTTTGTTCATTTTTGTAATAAGAAGACGAGAAACAAAACAATCAAAAATTTGTGGTATATAAATGTGAACGGGTAATAAGATTGACATTCCTTTTCTTTTAAAAAAGGAGTGCGTAGGATGTTTCAAAGCCCGGCGAACATGAAATGCAGCTAAATCGGAACAATCGGCAGGACGGTCAAGGAAGAAAGATTTGAGGCGCATTACAGCTCGGCGATATTTTTTATTTCCTGTAATATGAAAGAATTGAAAAAAAATATTTCATTTGTAGTTTCCTGTTTCTGACAGTTTTTTTTTGAAGATTAGAAAAACGTGGAAATTTGAGAACCAAAACAGTTAACATGCAAAGAATCAGCAAAGAATCAACTGGATATTTATCACAGTTCCCAGTTAAAGTTTTCGATAGAACTGAGACCACGAAATTCAGTTTCTACGGTGGTTTCAATTAGAACCATCAGTAAGGAATCATTTGCCTAAATTTCTCAAAATTTTGAGCATCTTCAAGTAATTATTTCTTGAAATGAAAAATACTTCGACAGACTTCCTGTTTTCACGGAATACTCAAGATCAACTCTAATTACCATCCAAAAAAATTTTCGATTTGAAAAAAAAACTGAGGTTGAGCTGCTTCAATTTTTTACTCAAAACTTATCGGTAATTTTTTTTTTCTAATTTTGGGTTCAGTGTAAAAAAATTAAATTCGGTTAGATTCTTCTCATTCAAAGGCCAATTTAGAGCTAATTTCAGTAAGTTGTAAGCAAAAGTCTATAGTTCTCTAAATCCCTTTCGCCAATATATTGTCGATTTCAAACATGAAAAAAGCAGTTTATAACAAGCTCACCAATAATATCTCTCAAAGAAGTTTGCAGCTGTGCCGCCGTAGCGGAAGTTTTATCCAAAACGTGGGCGAATCCCGCGGCGCGACTCATTTCCGCATTATAGGATTGTTCGGCAAATATGGGCATGAACACGACAGGAACTCCTCCACAAACGGCATCTTTTAGACTAAAACTCAGGCTCAATCTGATTGAACTTTTTGGGGAGAATCTCGCCTTTTTATTCCACCATGAGAAACGTAAGCCACCGTCTTATTGTGTAAGAGGAGGGCTTTTTGAGGCGCCCATTCCGTCAAGAGAACGTGGTTTCCCAAGTTAGGAAGTTGCTCAGGAACTCCGTTGAAAGAAAAATACGATCCTTGAATCAGTCATCTTGACGAATAAAAAAATAAAAAAATAAATGAATACTCAGAGAACAGAAGATTTAAAATAAGTGAATTCGGTCAATCTTCAATTGAAATTTACCTGTACTCAGTCAAATTGTTGAGAGCTTCCAAAAAAACATCCAACAGTCTTTTTGGCGCGAATTTCCATTGCGCGTTTGACCCGAAAGCGATAAGAATGGTCCCTTTGCTTGCTGGGTCTTCGACAAACTTCCTATAGTCTTCTGGCAATTTCTCGTCCTTATCGCAAAAGTAAGCAATATCAAGTCGGTCAGTTGTTGCTGAAGTCTCTTATTTGTCCCAGCATCCGAAAATTTATTACTAGGTGCAGGAGAAAGAAGCTGATTGAGGCTATCGATATAATGAAGAGAGCTGTCTCTTGCCAAACCGAAATAAGAAAAATCCTCGATCCCAAGACGTTTGATTCCCTGAAAATTAAAAAAAATGGAAAAAAAATCGCTATATTGAAGACCTCCTGGGCAAAATAGTTGGAGAACAAGTTGACAACTAAACTCAGCTCCACTCCGTTTGCGAAAGCTTGCAAACGGCTCATAAAACTTTCGACGTCAAAAGTTGTTGAGATCTTGTGCTGAATGGCAGGACGAATGGCCAAACTCGTGCCTGAAGTTATAAAAAGAGGTGATAAAAACTAACTGGTACCGGTCGAGAAATAGTAATCGGTGATGTAAACCGGAGCACTTGTACTGAAGTAAACTGTAGGCCGACCGTTTTTGGTCGCTTTATAAGCCAGGGCGTGGGAGGTGACCGAAAAAATCTCATCGAATACCACCATGTCCCAATCCTCGTCCAGAACCTTTCTAGTCTAAAAAGCGTCCCATGAAACTTTGCTCGGGCATTTCTTATCAATTGTCTAAACAAATCTTTGATGTTTGAAAGGAATACCCTAGAAGTTTCAGTCGATTCAATATTCTGAATTTCGAATCGTCACCTGATTAGGATGATTCTTCAGAATTTCCACCAAAGCCGAGTCTCCAGCCATCCAAGCATAGCCGACATCCAGGGACTTCGGTGCATTCTCCCAAGTCAGGGCCAAGTAAGAATGAGCCGAGTTTGGTTCTTCTGCAATGTCTTTTTAATTCGCCCACCCGCATGGAATGAACCTTTCAAACGAATATAAGTGTAATTGATATCGGGAGGATACTTGAATGGTTTAGGGTTACTGTGAGTCTCCAAAAAATGAACTTGATGCCCATCCTTGGCCAACCTGCAAAAAAAACGAAAAAATAACAGAGATTCCAGAAGAACTCACCTTTTGGCGAACGGCATCATTGTTATTATGTGGCTTGTAGACTTATGCATACCATGGAATAAAATTCTAGCAGACGAAGCACATTGTATTAGTACGGTGAGAAACAGGAAAATCAACATTTTTGAGATCAGCAAGAAGCCTGAAATTTGAAAAATCGAAAAAGTAGAAAAAGATGAGCGCAAAGGGTCCATCGAAAATATCATATCAACTGTTTACGCGCTGTGCCGTCCTATCTCTGGTTGTTCGTGCCGCCGTGTGAGTTTGATTATAGACCCAGATTTGGACAAGTATTTTAGCCTGGTACAAATGTTTCTACCTTTTGATGGATATCGTGGGAAGAGATATAAAAAAGACATTAAAAATGGGGTGTAGTTTTCAATGAATTTTTTGGAAAAATTTTGCTGAAGTCAACATTTATTAGGAAATTTTTCAGTTGACACTTCAAGAAGCAGCTACAGCGTACTTATCCAAAAGCTGTCATCAAAAGGGTTATGATAAGTTGGAACTTGTGAAGTTCTCGCATTCCATACAGAAGGAAAATCATTATTTAAAACTTTCGCCTTTTCGGTTCTTTGATTTATTTGGACAACATTTCATGCACTTGAAGTTTTTCCTAAGACTATAACAGCTCTGAACAAGAAGTACAAAAACCTCTTTTATTTCGGAACTTTAGGAAAAAAGTCATACTTTTTCTCGATAGAATGGAAAAAAAAATTCTACAAGTAAAAAAAGGAAATTTTCATTCAAGCAATCACTTTTCCCATTTTTTGGCAATTGTTTGAAAAAAAAACATATTCAGTCAAAAAAGGACTCACAAAATGAAATTGAAAGAAAGAAATGGTCAGAAACCGCACGGTGAACATCGAAGAGTGGGGGAATTAAAAAAAGTTCATAATGACGTGAGAAACCCTTTGAAACAATTGTTTCCCCAAAGTTTACCAAAGATTGATATTTTTTATCTACTCTGAGAATCTTGAACCTAACTAAGGCGTCTTTTTGATAGTTTTTCTTGCTGGTTTCAAATTCATCTACAAAAACAGTTAGGGAGCAAAATTTTGCAAAAGTCCAAAAATTTTCTGATTGTGCTGGTTGATATATGCGATTTGTTATCTATAAGAATATATTATTTTTCTCACGATTATTAATAGTTTTAGTCTTGGCATGGTTTTTCGAAAGTGAGTGGAAGTCGTTTTGTACTATCAATGATTTAATTGATAGAGACAAACTTTCTCAATTCAGAGCTGTCAGAAGTTTTCGACAAAACTTTGTCCAGATTCTCAATCAGCGTGGAAGACTACAAACCGCTTCCAAAAAACTTCAACTTTTAGTCGATTGTCCTTCGGAAACGGTATCATTAACTCTACTTATTATCATGAAAGCTCAAGTGACACATTTTAAAATCCATTTTTTTTTTTTGAAATTTGGTAATAACCGTTTCGGCGAACACAAAGATGGTAGTGTTTCTCACGAGCCGCCTTTTTCTGTCTGGTCCGCCTCTTATCATACCGCCTCACAAAAATCTCGCCCTTTCTCAGAGGAAACAAAATACAATCAGGAGTCCCGAAAAGGCAAAGACGCAACATGAAATGACCACACCAAATGATAACCAACGCATACAAATGAGTATTTTTTGTTATCAAGGCTTATCTCGTGACATGCAGAGTGACCGTTCGGAGTGTCGGCTCTTGGTACCGCGATGCCATCCGATTGATTGCTCAAGCAAGTCCGCTTTTTGGTAGAAAATGTTCTCAGCACTCGAAATGACTGCGAACTCGGATTGGCCTTCAAACGATCACAGAGTTTCTCTTCCCGACGGCCGATTTCGTGGTTTGTTTTGACTTTTTTTCTGGTAATGTGACATGTAGTAAACTGAAAAATTTCACCACACAGCATTTAAAAATTAAAGTTTTTTTTGGCCGGTGGTAATGGTCGGAAAACAAAATGTAATTAAAAATCATCTCTCTGGAAGTCACTCTTCAATCTTTGTCAAAGTATGGTTATTTAAAAGCTGCTGGATATACGTTTTTTGGAATCAGATACATCCAATTTGCATGCATCGTAGTCGCAATAAAGTTTTGGCGCCGATTCGAATTTATTCCAAAAGTTTGAATTTTCGCAAAGTTTATCTCTAAATTCATTAAAAATTTTGCAGAGCACATTTTTTTGAGCTGTTATTGCCTCAAAAAGTTTGAATCCAGGAAGCGTGAAAAAAGATTCGAAACCTCAAGAATTTGATTTCGCGCCAAAAACGCATCGGTATTTTAAGATTTCAAACTTTTACTACAATTCTAAATAAGGTTTTGAAGTTTTCAAAGAGCTTTGAAACCTTTGAAATTTTGTGGTAGGTGCTCCTTCGGAACTCCTTGAAATTGAAAATACCTGCTGAGATAGACGGACTCCTGAAAAAAAAACTCTCGAAATTGTGCAGAAAAAGTCTTCAAGAAGATGAAATTTTTATTACACTCTCTCCCGGGTTTTTGGCTCAAAACTGTCTGTAAATGTTTTATTTCTTCGTCTTCGAGGACTCTTCTCTGGAATGTCCAACCACAGAAGCTCACCCTAGTTCTGCGTAGTTCACGTTACAGTTTTCTATTCAAATTTTCGAAAAATATGCTTCAGTCTAAACTTTATATTTTCAAACCCGACAGTCAAAACAACTGAAAAATCGCCTTATCGGTAAGAATTCATGCCTATCTTGTCCAAAGAACAAATATATCCATAACTTCAGGTGTTTCCGCTCTGAAACTTCGAAACAACATTTTCCTGTCCTACGAATTTCTCATTACCTTTTTCTTGTATGAGGCTAAACTGTTGAAAAAAACAATTATGATCAAAAAATGAAAACTTCAAAAATCTAGAACTTTTTTTCTCAATTTTTTGAAGTGGATATGGTTTCTGGCCATTTATTTTAATATAAGAAAGAAGAAGGAATATTCCGTTTAATAAAAAGACAGCAGCGTCAATTTTCGGAAAATTTTTTCTACGGCTCGATGAATATCCATTTTTTCAAAATTTTTCAACTTTCAATGAGCTTAACTTGCGGTAATTTCGACCAAATCGAACAAAAATGAAGTGCAAAAAAACATGCAAATTTCATTATATAAATCATAGAAATTCGTCCAAACCTAAATTTTTTTTTCACCAATTTGGACTTGCTGAATGTTGTGCTGACCGTGTTCCATTTCGGTCTACTTATAGTCTACCGCGGCCCCGCCTCTCCGGAGCGCGCGAACTCTTGGCACCTCTGCCATCGCGACTCGCATACCCAGCGTTCTTTTATTTTTATCTAACCTCGCCTGCCTGTATCCGCGCTCTCCACGTGCAAACCAATCTCAGCTCGCCATCATCGGTGGATTTCGTTTTTACCTTATGAAATCCGAGAGATTGTAGCTTTAAGTTTATCCCGATTATTCTGACAAATTGCGATAACCTCTGAAAAAATTTTTTTCGATCCGAGTATGAATATTTGCATTCAATTTCCAAAGCCTTCGATTGTTTCCGAAGTCGAATGGATGTACGAAAAGGTGGAGACATCTCCCATTGAGCTTCAGAAATTTCCTTGGGGAGCCTTCCCATTCTTCTATTGTTCCTCTCAGCCGTTCGCCTCGAAAAAGTCATGTTACTGTATTTCTGAGATCTCTTCGAACACTGAACATTTTTTTTTCGTCATTCTCTTTTCTCCGATCTCATGTAGTTGTAGTTTTAGGATCATATTAAGCTTGCGAAAGCAGCTTAAACCTCGAGAGACCTTTTCTAATTTTCGTTAAATGGTCTTCTGTCGAGGTTGAGAATCTCTTATTTATGAATATTTTTTTCTCTACACTTGATCAGAAATAATAGTTTTTTTCTATAGGTATCCATAACTTTTTGTTGAAACTTTTACTAAGGTTTTTGACCAAACCGGTATGTTTATATGGCCTGTGACTTTCTAAAGATTCCCTAAAAAATCCTTGTTGAGATTTAGAGCTTTTTTTGAAACATCACAATTTGCGTTGAATCAACTTCGAGTTTTCAGAAGCGTTTTAATTTTTTACTTGTTCTTTTTTTTCCGAATAATGCGATAATATTTCAAATTACAGGTATGAACTTTGATGGTCTTGGTACGCCTTCGCCTGCTTCATCTCAGGTCTCACCGACGGTCTACGAGCCAACGACGGTAGAATCGAATACGATGACATCCCAGGCTCCCGCGCCAAACATCATCTACCTGAAGAACGTGTCCCACAGTCCGCAACAAGCTTGGGCTCCGGCCAATTATCCGCAAGTTCATGTCAGTGGAGCTTTAGTGTTTCTGTGTGTAAAAAAAATTTCTCGTTTCGAGCTTGAGGAATTCGAATTTTTTAGAAAAAACTAACGGTCTTTTCAGAGGAAATTTTTCTGTTCACAGTTCAGTTCATCCAAGGAAAAAAACGAAGTTACTTGTAATTTTGCAGGGCTCTACGCCGTATGCTCCAATGGCAGCTGCCACGCAGCCCGAATACAATTACATGCACTCGTACAAGCCGTTGGAACCGATCCCACAGCCGCAGAACTATTTCTGTGACTCCTATGGGTCTTACCACGGCCAGTCACTCTATCCCGACGCTTCCAAAACAACTCAAAGCGGCGAGTTTCCCGACCTCTGCTTGAGATTATCGTTCACCTCAGAGCCTTCAAAAATTATCTTTGCCTTTTTGATAAGAACGAAAAAAACTTCTCACAAACTTCCTAGCAAAAGGTAGATTTCAAAAAGATAAAGTTTCAAAAAAAAACATTTTTCCATGATTTCTTTTTTTTTCCGATCACTTTACATTGCTACTTTTAATGAAAAAAAAACGCAATAAGTCGTTACTTGCGCCTACATTGGATAAAAAGTGGCAGTTTTATGATGCTCCGATTTACAATGCTCGACCAGAGCGCATTGTACCGAGAGAAAGAGCAGGAGGTGTGGCGGAGCGTCGGCTTCTAAATCGTTTCCCGCCGAGACACTGGAGACGCCGAGCAAAAATAAGGCGAGAGCAGGCTACGGTCCGATGGCACAAAGCGGCGCGTTGCGCAAGCGTTCGTCTAAATCCCCAGCGACTGTGTAGCATCCATTCAATCGATTGCGAGCCCTGTCCGATTCCCACAGGTTCAATCGAACGCCGCTTTTGTTTTTGCCGGTTTTCCGAGATGGGAAGAACTGAGCCGTCGTTAAGATGAAAGCGTCATGAGAACAATGCAAGAAAAGATATGTGACAGCTACAAAAAAAAACCAAGCTTAAACGGGAGAAACGGGAATGATCTGAAAAACAGGATCTCCTTTTTGTCGAGGAGCATTTTCATGAAGGTTCATTCAAGTGGCGCATTTTAACTTGGAAGCTTAACAAGAAGTATTTCCACTTTAAATTCTGAAGTTTTTCGAAAAAAAATTCTCTAGGTTTTCCTTGAAGGTTTCAAGATCAAGCTTCCACAAAACGAATTCAAAAAAATTATTAACTTTCTTCTTTGTTGATCATAAACAAATCTATCGTTATAATTATTCAACTCTTTTCAGAACCGGTGTCTTCCGCGATTTCCCCCTCCGTGACAACCAAACCGATTACTCCATGCAAGGTCTGTGGCGACAAGGCAAGCGGCTTCCACTACGGCGTCACCTCTTGTGAAGGCTGCAAGGTAAACTCTCCTGCTAACATCCAGAGTAATAGCTCGAAATATTTTAAAACAATAATTTTTTAACAAGTTTTAAAATCGCTAAATTTTATTCAAACCCAACAAATAATCAACTTTTAAAAACTTTCTAAATTTTTTCTTTAATTTCCAAGGAAACGAGCTAGAGGACAACTAGGCCCTTTGATTTAACTTTATGAATTCCTACTGATATACCGAGCAATTCTTGTGGCTACGAAAGTTTCTATATCTGCGCATAGTTTTCCAGTAAGTAAAAAGCTTTAATTTTCCCGGTTTCGCATCAAGTCAGCGTCCGGAGATGTTATATCAAAACGGAATAAAACAATAGGTGTTTGAACTTTCAACATATTTTTGAAACCGCGTATACTGTTAGATTGAGCCACAACGGGTCTCCCAAAATAGTTCCGAGATTTCTTTCCACGCTACCTACAGTACCCACGCAGGTAGAAAAAAACTACGCATCGAGAGTCTCTCCTGCGATCTCGTTATTTGCGCATGTTTCTCTGCTCGCGTCGTCCATCTCAAGTTATCGTACTGCCTTGTTTCTTTCGTAGATGGCTGTGTGTTGCGCAATCGCATATATGAGCCGCAAATCAACAGCCATTTTCTCCCTCTTCCTCTTTCTTGTACAAATTTGCATGTTGGATGAGCACAAAACAAGTTGAGGTAGCGGCTCAGAAAAGGAAGAATCTTGAACAAAGGCCGTAAGATAAAGGTTCCCTCTGGTTTATTAAAACTAACTAAGTGTTTTGGACTTTACACTATTGAAATACCATGAAAGATAATATAGATACAATTTTCATGTATAAATATTCACAAAAATAAGTGGGGAAGAAGATAGGCTAAGTAAGATACAGAACTTTTACAGAAAAAAGGAAACTTTTTGGAATAAAAACGATTGAAAAAGGTATAATTCTGAGAAAAAATACTCTATCAAAAAAGTAAAACCGGTACCGAATCTCAAATAATTGTAAAGACACCGACGATCAGAACAACATTAAAAAAAAAACGGAATTCCCACATAAAAGCCCTAGTTCTTGAATATTTTCAAATCAAAACCAAAAAGGATATTGATTAGTCTATTCTGAAAAAAATTATGAACAAATAAAAAAGGAATGCATCGATAATTTCGTCAATCAACATCATACTTTTTGAAACAAGAGTTCTAGGTTTTCGGATTCAAAATGAAGTATCAGAAAAAATGGCGCGCCACTTAAAAACAAGATCCGACATGTGTTCGTCAGAGACATGTTTTTTTCGAAGAGTAAATTGTTCAAATCGCCGTTCACCTCTGGAAATAAATGACCACAGGAAAAGATTGAAATTTTCGAATTTCTCTTCGTAATTCGAACTTGGATTTTTCAGGGCTTTTTTCGACGGAGCATCCAACGCAGAATGGACTATCGCTGTCTTAGAGACTCGCAGTGTTCCGTCAATCGCCAAAACCGGAACCGATGCCAAGCTTGCCGCTTCAAAAAGTGCATTGAAGTTGGAATGACCAGGGAAAGTAAGTTTCTTCTCGAAGGGTGTTTCCTACGTTTTCAGCGAAAGCACCGGCGATGCGGTATTCCAAATCGTCTAAGAAAAAGGCAAAGACCGTCGACCACGATCTGTCAGGCGATTCCGAAGGCAGGAACGAAGTTTCGTCTAGTACTTCCCCTGAACCTGTCAAACTTGCTTCTGAGTACTATGTGGTAAGTTTGTTGCTAGTTTTTAATTTTTGGATCTCAACAAAAAATTGCATACTTGTGGAACTTTTTAAAAGATTGTAAAAATGTGCTGTATCATTAAAAATTTTTCAGCTTCAGGATAGTTTTAATTTGAAAATGGTCTCTATCTCAGAATAGGAAGATAAATTGAACTAGGTTCGAACGTCCTATCTGCAATGATTATTCTTTCAGGCGATTCAAACTCTGATAGTAGCTCACGAAGAAGACACGACAAAAACGAACTTCAATCTGGTGAACATGGAACATACCCTTCTCGATATGGTAGCGAAAAAGTTGATTTTCTAGCGAAACGCTGTGAATTTTAGGGTTTCGCGGCTGACTGGAACTTGACACAGAAACGACTGAGTAGTTGGCAGACGTTTTCTACGCAGACGGTCTCCGAGTACCAGACTGCAGTGGACCTTGCCAAGAAGATTCCAGGCTTCTCGTTTCTCAACTCCGAAGACCAGCTTGTACTAATTAAGGTGAGAACAGGTGACTGGACTATTGCGCGATAGCGACATCTCACAAACAAAGCGCCGCCCGCCGCTCCACTGCAGCCGCTCATTAGAGCAAGATTAGGACTTGGTACGTCCGAATCCGCTGAATAATTAGAGGATTTATCTAAGATGGGAATCAACGGAGTTTCCATGAAATATGAAACTTGCACTACGCAGTTTTCTTGCTGAAAAAAACCCCACCTTATAGAAAAAGCTTCCCAAAGCTTGAAGTACATAATGAAAAAAATCCTTCAAAAAAATTCTTTTTGAAAGATCCGATTTCTAAGCGGTTTATTTTCAAAGTTCTGATTTGGAGCTGCTCTTGATAACTGATATTTTCTCAGTTTCACTGCTTTCCTGAACTTTTATATTGATTTTATTAGTTCAATTTTTGCTATTTCCCCTTGAAAATCTAAGCTAGAAAAGCCAAATTATAGCTCTTCAAAAGCACATGAAAGATCATAGTCTTGTAAGAAAAACGATAGTTCAAAGTCAAGTTGAAAAACTTTCAGAAATCGATGTTTCCGGTGTTTTTGGTCCGAGCGGCTCAGCGACTATCAACTGACGGATTTTTGCTAACAAATGGATTTTTCGTCGACAAGAGCTGTTTGGATCTGCTTTACGGAAACTTGGCGGACCGATTGATTGACTTTGTGCAAAAGCTGATTTCTCTCGGTTTGGGCCACGAGGGGAAGGCAGTGTTAATCTCCGCTCTTTTCACACGGACCGGTAAGACTTTCGATATATTATCTTCCTCATTTTCTGTGTTTTCAGAAGCAAACACGTACTACCATTCTGCCATCGAAATAAGTAGAATCCATGAAAAGTCGCTAGAGTATTTGAAAGGTCTTCTCAAAAATGACGCCGTCTACGATCGCGTTATGAGCGTCTGTGGGGAATTGGCCGAAATCAGTAAATCTCAAAAAAGTTTTCACGTTCACCATGATTTGTTTTAGACGCTCTTCTCGACATTGAAATGGAGTTTCTCCGCTTCAACGTTCATCAAGTCTGCCTTCCGGAACTTTTTGCGGAAATTCACAACATCAACTACGGAATGGTCCCAACTTATACCACAGAGGTTGAAATTCAAAACTGATTTCTATAAAAAGGTTTCTTTACAGCAATTTCAATATGACCAGCCTTACCTCCAGTGCTAAAGATCGACGATACTTTGGACAAATTCATCAATCACTTAATCGGTTTATTTTATTGGTCATTTCATCCCACCCCCTGACGTCCCAGATTATCGCGCAGCCATTGGCTTTGGTCAATCTTACGAGTTCATTAAATAAATGTTTCCCCCCCACTATCTCAATCTCTTGCCCTCCGATGTTGTTGTTTATCTCATTATTGTCTTTCAAGGCGTTCGTCTTTCACTAACTCCTTTTCGAACCACCGTACCATGCAAAGAAAGATAATAAAAGCATGTAAAATGAATTTCTGGTTTTGATTCATGGAAGAAAATTAGTTAACAACAAAAATAAAACATTTCGCGAAGAAAGAAATCTCAAAAACCATCAAGGAACGCACAAGAACAATAAATGAACTCTAAGAGAGAGTTCTTTCGCTGATAAGCAAAGATATCAAGCTACGGCATGATTTTAGGATCTTCTGATTTTGAGGCAAGAAGATCTTTACGTGTTTTAATTGAGTTATGATGCTTCAAAATTTTCAAAATACAGTGCTGTCCGTAAAGATACGAAAAAACGGACTCCCGTTCACAACTTTCTTTTAAGGAATTTATTTTTTTCAGAACCTTCTAGAGTTAATGCTGTTATTTTCGAAAATTAATAAAATTTCATTCCACAGAAAAAAACGCAGCTTCGAAAAAGTTCAGGAATATTGAATTCCTTACAAAAAAGTTGTGACCAAAATCACGTTTTTTTGCATATCATTTGGAAGGTCCTGTGCATAAATCATGAAAAAATTGGTTTTTTTTTCCTGTTTTAGACTCCAAAAATTGCAAAGTACACAAAAAAGAATTAGTCAGCACTTACAAAGAGTCAAAAATAAAATGGCGATCCTCGCTGAAAAAAAGCGAATATGAAAAAATTATGTAGCAGAACGTTGTTTCACACAAAAAACTTAAATATCGCAAAAATAAACTTTAACATATTCTAGTTTATTTTTTTCAGACAACGTTTTGTTCACAAAAATTCGTATTTTTTTGATAATTTTGGACATCCTGGTAAATGTCGAAAACACATTGATATGTTGAAAGAACCCGTATATCAATTTTTGTTAACACTGACTTTATGAAACTCTCATTTCTAAATTTTGCATTCATGAGAACTCTTCAATTCAAAAAATAGAAAAACAGTTGCGGTTTCGATAAATAAAAGCCAGCTAGCTGATTAATTTTCTGTCTGCTAAACCGTTTTTCTTTTTTCATAGCAAACCTTATCAACAATATTTTCATAATGACCCTCTTGGTAAACTTGAAATAGATTTATCCGATTTCTTTTTGACTGGGATGAGAATGAAAGAATCACAGGCAATGAATAAATAATAAATATAGATCATGGAAACACATAAAAAATAGAAACCCAAAATAAACAGATATAACACCTAAAAATGCACAAACGAATAAGTTAGGGCAAAAGTGGCTCACAGAATGGCTTAAGAGCGATTTCAAGATAATAAGAAGTCCCGTAAAAAGTTTTGGACAATAAGAATTATGAATAATTATATTTAGAAAAGTTAGATATCTGTCATTATGACAACGGTGGAGGAACCAAAAACGGCTGTTCAAATTCCATAGGACGGATCTTTGGGTAGATCAGCGATAGGTTGATGTGGCTGCACCGGAACCGATCCATGCTGAAAGTTCAATTTTAAAAAAACAATAAATCAAAAACTGTGGAGGTTTTTCAAGATGCTATAATTTATATTGAAACAAAGATTGTTCAATTTAACAGTTCAAAAAAACCTAAAGGTTAATATTTAAAAACGAACTGGCTGCTGTGGAACTACAGGCTGTGCAGGATGCTGTTGTTGTTGCTGTGGATGTTGTTGTTGATGTTGCTGTTGTGGAGGCTGAAAACATCAAATCAATGTTTCGATTCAATGCAAGCACACGTTTTTGATTTACCATTCGGATGTTTTTTAAATTTCTTTTCTCTCATTTCAGAATTTTCTTATTTCAGATCCAAACACTCACCTGTTGATGCTGAGAAGCCACTGGAACCTGTTGATGAACTGGCTGCGGATGTTCTGAAGGCACTACAGGTTGCACCGTTACTGCCTTATAAGCGTCGTCACCCCATCCTACATTTTGATTGGTTTTCGTTTATAGAATACTCAAAAAAGTTAGAGAAAAATAGTCGAGTGGGGTTACTATGATAAATGATAGTGAAAATCAAAATCTGTGGAATCAACACCGTAACCCAAGAATGAAAACCTTGTTGTTGAGCGTACTCCTTCTCAAAAGCCTGCAACTCCTCATCGGTGTAAACCTGAAACTTGATTTTCCGACTAAAAACAGTTGGATTGATTCACTTGTTGCTGTCCGAGGTCCTTCCAACCTTCATCCTTTTCGGGAGTTTGAGCTTCAGTATCTTGGAGGAACTCCTCCAAAGAAATCAAACGGTCGCCGTTTTTGTCCATTTGCTTTGAAACGTGCTCTCTCATTCGATACATTTCTTCCATTCTGTAGTAACCGTCATTCGTGGTATATTCGTATTTGTGTTTTTTTTTTTTTGAGTAGCTGAGGAGGAATAACAAGAGGTCATTATGAGAAGAAAATGCGGTCTTTGTGTTTCATATTCAACTTTGTGATTTTTTTCTCGGAAATCTAGTTTTTCTCTACCTTTTTCTTGGAAGTCAGAAACATGTTAATCTTTTGTTGAGTTTTACAAATTTAAACCGTTCTCGCGGATCATCGTCGGGATTAGTATCGTTGTACATTTTTTCAAGCTCCAACTGGAAAAGAGCTTCCAACTCGATGTCATTCCAATAACCGTCGCCATTCAAATCGTGAAGGGCGAAAAAGGTGCGGGGATTGAAAGAGTCCTTGTCCAGCTGAAACACAAATGTTTTTTTTTGGAAGAAGTGTTTCAAAAATCACTGACATGATCGCTTTCTTCCCAAACTTCTTCCAGTTGATCTCGGCTACCAGGGTGCTTCAATTTCTCATGTTCGTTATGACGCTTTTTAGCTTCCTCAGCTTCATGTTGAGCTTTTTTTCCCGCTCCTGAAATTTGAGTATAAAAAAAATTTTTTTTTCCTATAAGAATAAAGTTTTAACTCAGAAATTATGAAGATTATTTGCGACACATACAGTTTTTTTGGTTCTCTGCTCAAAACTGTGAAAAAGAGTTCAAAAGATATGAGATATGGTTTCTTATTGAAAAAAATTCGAAGTTCAGCTGAAACCAGCATTGTTTTTCAGAACTATCATTTATCTAGTGAAAGCCTGGAAGTCATTGCTAACTATTTTGAACTATATGATTAAATTATATTGACCTGGGCATTCATCTGAGCTAGTTTGTGGTCTTCCTCGGCTTTTTTCTGCATCTCATAGTTTTTGAACTGCTCCTTGCGTTGAGCGTCGATCTCGTTCATATCAGCAACGGTCTGAGAAAAAGAATTGAACCGTATAATGATGAAAATCAAACCTTCTGAATCAACTTGCGTAGATCTTCTTTGTGGAATTTCTCAATATTCTGTACATCCAAATGCTCTGGCATTTTTACGTTGTGCGCTCCACCGTCAGCCTTAAAATTTCACATAAAAAACTCATACTTTCTTCTGAAGAATAAGAGATTGAGCTTTGATTATATAGTCCTGATTTCTAATAAAACACACTCAAATCGAAAGTTTCGCATTCTAAACCATTGACTTGAGCATCCATATTTGCGTTGAAAATTTTCTGGAATATTCTTAACAAAAACGCAGAAATGCCATTTTGCGGAGCTTTTGTTTCTAACTATTCCGATACTTGATGACACGTTTTCGTAAGCGATTTAGAAAAAAGCGCATTGGAATTCATTTTTTTTTCTCAATTTACTGAGTTAAGTAAGGTACCATTTTGAAGCCCAATGTTTTCTGAATTATAAGATTTTTAAATTATTAAAAGTGGCTAAATTAAGACAAAGACTTGAATTTTCAAACCTCAATTTGCTTGGAGATTTGCTGTCTCAGGCGCTCAATTTCAGCGTATTTTTACTTGATGAAGACGGTCAAAAAAACGCCCTGGTCGAGGTCATCAATGTGGTCAGCAATTTTTTTCCTTCCTTTACAATCATGCTTTGAAATTTCATGAATGCTTTACTTTAATTTCCTCCTCTTTCATCTCTTTCAAACGTTCGGTGAATTTCGGGTCGCTTTCGAGAATTTTCACAACCTCTTCCAAATATTTGGAATAGGTGAACTCGTACATCTCCAAAGAAAAATTGAGAAATTCTGAAATTTTGTAGTAAAAAACCGGCTTCCGGTCGTCTGGTGGTGATTGGTCTACATGCTGCGGATTTTCGTTCGGTACTTGTGGATGAACTTGTTGCGGCTGAAAAAGGAATTTAAATTCACGAAGTTGAAAATTGAAAAAAATCTTATTTATCAAATTTTAAAAGTATTCAGGTCAAATGCTTTTTTTTAGTGTGCTTTTTGCAGCTTGTCAGATTTGCGTCTCTGAAATCTCAAAAAAAGAAAAAAACAGTGAAACAAAAAAAGTTACTTTAAGCTTTATTTGAAAAATGAATCCGACAAAACTGACCGCAGATTCGGCTTGTTGAGCAGCTTGAGCCTGTTGACGCTGGGGCGGCGGACAAACTGCTACTTGTAAAACGCATAAAATTATTGTCAGAATCCGCCGCATTCCTGAAATCCAACAATGAATGAAAAACTTGACTTAAAAATAAACAAAAAAGGCAATGAATAGAGAAACAAAAATGATACACGTCACTGTTCTCGCCTTGCCGGCTGATGTGTATGCGGACTTCCGCAAATATGCAGTCTTTCAATTGCTCCTTTCTTTCAAAAAGATCTGAGTGATTATGACAATTAATAAAAACATCAAAATTTTTAATGTCAATGTATCTAGTATTTGAAGTTATTATCTTGAATATGAGGCAAATCAAAATGCGTCTTTTTCAAGGCCCAGCTTAATATAAATAAACAAAACGGACCACATGAAGGGATGAGAGCTTTCAAATGTTTGTATTGGTCTTAGAAGTTTCTTTTTTTGCATATGTATTATTTTTTTCTGAACTACCAAAAAGAATTCTCTATTTTTTTCCCAATTCTGGTTGACAACTTCACGATTTAGCTTCATTAGAATGTCATAACTTTATGAGAATTTTTTTGAAAAAAACACAATTTCATAAAAAAAGGTAGAACTTTTTTTCCGCGTGTAATTAATACATAAAACGGAGAATTATTATTATTTTTTTGACATTTTATCTCGAAGATATGTGAAACAACGACTATATTTTTTTGCTACAGAGGACAGAAAAAAATTGTTTTTGAAAAAAATTTTCTTTATACTGGATAGAGCTCAAAAATGAATACAAAACAATAAAAAAATGAATGAAGATCATTTCAGAACTTCAAAAAAAGCCTGTAAAAAATCGCATCTCACTTTCATCATAACTTTCCGTGGTTTTAAATTTATGGGGATCAGTTTTTCTGGTCACAAGTTTTGCTTTGCCGTTGGAAATGCCCTGGAAATTGGCCAGAACGTTTTTTGATGTACCAGATGAAGATCTTAAAAGTCTCAAGCTGTACAACTTTCTAACTTTTGAAAAATGACACGAAGTCAAAGAGAGCTTTCAAAATCCGTTCTAATGAGATCTGTGGGCCATGATTCTTTGTTTCTCAAAAACTAAAAAGATGTGCAGGTCGAAAATTCCAGAATTTTTTTCTGGTACATCAAAAAGTGTTCTGGCCAACTTTCAGGGTCATCTCTTCCGCAAAGGGAGATGACTTGTCATCGCTATTTTTTATGCTCCTAAATTGATCTCTTTCACTCAAGAGTGCAAGTTCTGAATATTCCCGCGTGCGAACGTCACGTTCTCACTTTTTTTTTCTCGAACTCCGCAGTGTATGAGTTTATCTGTTCTTCGGAACTCCATAAAAGTGCAACCTAGGGGAGCTACGCGGTGCTGGCTTGTGATATGCTTATATCGCTTCGAAAGGCAAATCCGACGCTCCTTCACAAAATCTATTACTCATACTTCCGTTATTCAGCTCAGACAGCTCGGATATTTGCCCTTTTCCCATTCAAAGGGCACTTTTTTACTGAGCTCTCCCCACTCGATTGCTCATGTACTTTTAACGCAGAAAAAAAAACAATTGGGATTTTTGTAGTCTACAAAGAGAATATTCAACTTATGAATTCAAAAAGTTAGGTTGATGAAAAAAATTAAAGCCATTCTAAACTGAAATTCGCATTTTAACGTATTAATCTTGGGAAAAATGATTGTTTGGTACTGTACAGTAACACCAAACTTTTGCAAAAAGTGAAATGAAAAACCAATTGTAGCGACAAATAAAAAAATGTATCCCATGAGGGAAAAAAAAATAAATTTAAGAAAGGGAACATTTTGCTGAAAAGCTTGTGGGGAAAAATCTAAAACGAGAAAAAGCTGGAGGAGATGATGCGAGAAATTAATAAATAAACACGGAATGTTTGAAAATTTTTGAAGAGTTTATTTTGTTTTTTTTGTTTTCGAACTTAGAACAGGGTAGGGAAATACTCCGAAGAAATCGCATTTCTTTTCGGAAAAAATTTTACAAGAGCCTTCAATCAAACCATTTTCTTCTGGTTAGAAAATAATTTCACGCAGATACCTATCTTCTCTCTTGAACGAAAATTGAGGTTTTCAAATTTCGGATCAAAATTTTTGTTCTGGATAGTCTTGAAATTAATTCAATTTCACTTTATTCAGTCTTTAGAGTAAGATGAACAAAATCTTTGCTGAACTATGGTATAATCGAAGAGATAGTCGTCGGCGCGGGTTACGGTCCACAATCGTTGTCCAATAAGTCTCGGCGTGACTGCTAGCGTTGGGAAATAATGTGGGCCCGCTGGAAATACCAGCTAATAAACTGCTTCGCCTTGAAATTAATAACCACTAGTTTAAAAAAAATACTGCATACTCCGTAAAAATATTCGAAAATTTTTGAAACAAGCTAGGATGGCTCCTTTTAAAGTGCGATAGATCTTCTTTCAGAAAAGTGGGAAGCAGTTCTCAGCATCGTCGATTTGATTTTCCTGATCGTTTTCAGACGAAAACTTTTTCTTGACTATCATTCACTGGAACTTATAACCAGAAATGTTTGAACCAGATCCATTTTCACTTCCAGAACTTTCCTGGTCAAGTCAGAGGCTCATAAGTCAAGCTCAGTGTACAGCAACCTTGAAACGATAGTCACTTTTGGTTAACCCTTGTATATTACTGAATAATAGTGGGACTTCAGTGATTTGGATTTCCTTTGTGTTTTTTTTTGTCTTTTCATCAATCCAATCTGCTATCAACTAGGCGAGTCGCATTTCTGATTTCTTTGTCTTGAACGAATTGATTTCCAGAAGTCGTTTGTTCTCAGCAAAGTGCATCGGTTCGGAAAGTGCATCGGACGGAGTCTGGAAGCCGATAGGAGATAAAGAGGCGGACGGACGGCGAGTTGCGGTTCCAGTTGGTGCCAAGCTCCGAATATGTTGCGTGCCGCGTTCGCTTGTTGCATTGCCAAAGTGCAAATGCTCTTTGGGAGGTGCCTGAGGGCTCGCCGACGCAGACACTCGGATCGCGCATCCTCCGAACCTAGAGACTGTCCCTCGCCAATTGCTGACCTCAATCGTCGCAATGCTTGTGACCTTGTCCTGCCGCAAATCGTCCCATGCCGCTCACTTAATTCCCAATTCTCTTTTCCATTTCCATCGGTTTACATCTTTTTTTTGAGAGTATTGAGTTGGAACTGAAAATGACGCTTCTGGTTTTTTTCCAACCATTTTCTGGAAAGTCTCAAATGCTCAATCTTTTTTCATGAGTTTTAAAATTAGGCACATCATTCGAAGTACAAGTCCAATAGGGAACTCTCAGAAATAAAATTTTTCAATTGTTGAGAAAAAGAGCTGCTATCTGTGAAATACCTGCCCAGTGTTGTTAAAAAACTTGAAAAGCTTTTTCATCCATTTAGATACTGGAGATGTAAAAGAAAATCCAAAGGTATTTCCGAAATTTAACAAGAACTTGGCATGTTTCAGTCTCGAAAAAAAATATCCCGTCTCGAAGCATTTTCAAAGTTTAATGGTCCTTCAGAAAATTCTTAAATTTCTTCTGAATATTCATTGAAACTTATTCCAATAGCGTTCCCACTGAGACTACATTTTCTTCAAATAAATTATTTCTTCAGATCTTTTTTCGAAAACTTTTTTCAACACAGTCCGTTTACATCAATTTTCGCTGCACTTTCTTGAGATTTGCCGACGAAACGCATAAAAGAGGCCATTTCCTCCTTTTCCCTCATTTTCTCCTTCTCTCCAAAAGATGCACTTTCGAACTGAGGGAACGGAGAAAACGCCTCCAATATTTTCATGTAAAGGTCAAATTTTCAATTCATTTTGCACGGTTTTTTCTTCCTGAAAGAAAATTTAACAAAGTTGAGTTCAAAAAAATTATGAATATTTTTTTCACTAATTACAAAAAAATCTTTTATACTGTTAGTTTTGATTGGTTAAAGTTCAGATATTTTCTGAATAACTGCGAAAGATTTTACCTAAATGAAATCTGAGTTCAGTCGTTCAATACCTCTGCGCTTTGCGATTTTTTTGAAAAAAATGAAAAAAAGGTTTTTTTGAACAGCCTAGAGTAACAACAAAAAGGAAAAAATAGCGAAGCTACTAATTTTGGGGTTTTCAGAGGTTCATCCTCGTTTTTTTGACTAAAGGATTCACTCTATTGGTTAATTCAGATTTTTTCTAATTGATGGAAAGAAGACACTGTAAAAACAGAAAAAAAAAATTGAAGATAGAACTTTTATTAACACGAGAGTTCATGAAATTTTTTTCGAAATTTGTAATGAAATAAAAATTTGGCGCCTCGAATTTTAAGCGGAATAAGAATATTTGAGAAGAAACGAGCTTCGGAGGATATTTTTCGTGAACTAGAAATCTTATCAAGCTGGGGTTTTGAAATCATATTAGCATTCAGGATATCGTAAATTTCTGAGCCCAGTTCCAGTAATAAAAAATTTTGTGAATGAATTCACAATAGTTCTATCGAGCACATTATACTTCCCAACTTTAAGGGAGTTTGAGAAAATAGTAGCTTTGATCTTATCGAAAACTGTATCTTCGATTTTTCGGAAAAATTCGAAGAGCGAGAACGCTTTCCAAGCTCACACCCTACATGGCGCTTGTGCGCGAGAGGCCCTGAGGCAGAAAAAGAGAGCGCCGGAGTGTCCTGCGGCGTGCCTCGCGGTGCCATCGCGAGCATTTCGGCCGCCAGCACCTCGGGCGCCGGTGTTTGCTCGCTGCACGCTTCCACCGAGTCGGTGACCTCAGAGAAGGCCTCGATTATGGTACTCGCAGTCTGATTCGATTCATCGGAAACAGGCCAAGCGGTACTGCTTGATTAATTTTCGGATACGAATAATTCATAAAGGACCAGAGTACGAACAAATGAAATCTGAGGATTGGAAAGAAAATGTCACGGGAACTTATGGACTTCCTATGTCTATGTATCACGCTCCTTTTTTGCAGTTGTGCAAAACTTTTCCCCAAACCTTGCCTCCAGTCGGAGTGGGTCAAGTTCTAGCAGAGCAATACTTTTCGGATGATCCCTATGCAAAATCAAAAAAGGCAATACAGAGATTCTAAAAACCTACCTAAATTCCAATTTATTAAAAAAGTAAAGTCAAAAATAATTCAATTAAATCCGTAGGATTGGATCAACCTAGTGCTTCCAGATGCTTTCATGTCTGACAGGTGTGGGTTTCAAAGCTTTTGTCCAGGATTTCCATAAGTTTTTGATTATGTTTTCGAAACCATTGAGAAAAGAAGTGCATAAGTTGGTTCTCAGAAAATAGTTGGGTCTGAAAAGTGAAGTCTTTCCGAATTTCAAGTGACGATACCTCTTGCCAAATTGAAATAAATTTTGTTTCTCGTACTAATATTTGGTCCGAAACTAGAACGTTGCTGTTGAAAATTTCCCAAATGGCCAGACAGCAACTGACGTTACATTTGTATCAAACTGGCGTATCTCGAAGAAATGAAAGGCGGAGGAACGGCGCTCCTCCGCATTAGTCACTGGCCGAACGCCGGGACAAAACAATCCCCTCCGGGTATTTGGCTTCCGTAGTTTTGGCGGTTTTTCTGAGGTCTTCCTTTTGCGTTTTTCCTTCTCAATGCTTTCCGACAGGTCTGTTTTCTGGTTTTGCGAGCCGTCTCTTTCACTATTTGTTCAAATTTTGTACGCATCTCCCCTGTACAAACCTCTGTACGGACCTTTTTTGCAGTTGACAAAGAGTCACTCGTTTTGTTCTTGGCTTTCTTTGCTATCCGTTCCTTCGATATTTCTTTCTGATTTTCAGTCAACCAATCAATTTTCTTCCCAAATACAGCTGAATTTTGAGTGTTTTTCCTTAAGTCCTGAGTTTGCTTCTAAGAAATTTCAGGTATCCCGAAATCTCGGTCTCAAATACTTTCTTTTTGATTATGTGAGAGTCCCGCCTTAATTCAACTTTTTGATTTTCTGCAGACAGTTTTTATTTCGAAAACGTTATTTTTCTTATTTTTCCCCCCAACTAAGATTTGATCTCTAAATGTGCCCTATAAGTTAACCATTTTATTTCAAAGCTGCTTGGATGACCTGTAAGAGAGGCGCGAGCTCTGAGAACTCTCTTCATCTTTCACTAGCAAATTTATGATGTGGCTTGCAAAAAAATGGAAGAAAATATCTGATTCGGAAAGCTGCTATAAAAATGATTCTTAGTTTGTTCTCTTCCAAAATAGCTTTTTTGGGATAAGCTGAGCGCAGGCGTATTCAACAAAGACCGTGGGAGAATTTCTTCTCATCTCATCTTAACTTGTCATTCTCATTTAGTTTATGATATCTTCACGAAAACAGTACAGACTTTCATCTCTTTTTATTCTGCTATTTGTGTTTTGGTTTTTATTGTCGCTTGTACCTAAGTTCACAGAGATGCTCTTCACAATTGAAAAAGCAAAGCGCCGAAAGATGACGATTCTTCACCAGTTTTGTGCCGCGATAGTGACGATTGGGCTAAATGAAATGCGAAATACAGTACGAATACTGCACGCGGAATAGAGAAGAATATTGCGAGAATTGGAAAGCCTTCCTTCGTTGAAAACTTAATAGAAATCGGTACAGTTGCTCTTTAAAGTTTTTTTTGTTCTCAGCCTGCTACAAATTTCTTTTTTCCATCTTTTGAGAAAATCAGGACTCGAATGAAAAAGAGAACATAGGCTATTTTAAACAAAGTTTCTTTGCTCTCTTGCTCTACAAAATTCAAAGAGCAGAGGTTTGGGATCAACTAATGTAAAAAATTTTCAAATTGGTACGGTCACTTTCTCAAAAAAAAAACGGTCCAAGCTAGCACGAAGCTTAAAACTCTTGTGAATCTTGATAGAAATGTGAAAAAATCAAAATCAAAAAGCTGGAAACAAACTGAACTGGTTTTGGCAGAAATTGCTAATTTCGAGTACTGAGTTTTGGGAAATTGTTCTACACGGATCTTTGCGGAGTACTGTACTCAATCTCAACGAAAGATCTCGATTAAACTTCGCGGTAAAGCAGCTGGGGGAAGTGCAGTCTCACGCAGAGTGCGGTAGAAACAGTTTTTTTCACACCGGCGCAGACGTTATTCACAGCTGTGTCGTCATAAACGCGCGGGGTGGCCGGACGAGAGCGTCCAGTGTCCATGCGGACCACGTGCGGCCAGAGAAACGAGTACACTCACGGCCTGGTACGAGAAGGCGCTCAGGCTCTCGTTGTTGGTTTTGCGAAACTGCCTCAACTTGCTGGCTCAGCGTTATTATTTTGTCCTCAACTGTATCTTTTGCTAATGAAATCGCATGGATAGGCGACCCAACTATCAGCCAGGTTAGTATTTGTAGACAATTTCTTACTGCGTGACCAGAAGATTTTTTTTCAACTTTCAGCGCTTAGGATTTTTTGAATAACACAGCGTTTACCTTGATTTCGAAACGCACAAAAGTTAAAATTTGCGACTTCCGAAAAAGTTCCAATTCTCGACTTTTAACAATACGGTGCTGCTACAGGCAATCATGGGAAACAATCTATGACTTCATGACTGCCAAATGAAACTGAAAAAAGGTCCTGGTTGACTTTGAACAGCTATTTTGGAATCCATTTTTTTCGTCTGTGAAAATTGTAGCGTTGGTCTCGACAGCCATACATCGGTTTTTATTGTTGAATGACGGCACAAAAAGGGGGTATGCAAAAAAAAAAGTAATTTTCAACTTAATCATGGCTTTATTATGTAAATAAAGCGGCAGCTCTAATTTTAGATAGAATATTTATGTTAAAAACCATTTTATTCATAAGAAATCAAAAAAATGTTCACCTAAAGGACATAGCTTTTTTCTTTATCCCATATGTTCGAGAAACTGATCACCTCAAGCTTAAAATTCTACCTTGAGTTTTTCCGAAAAATAAAATATTTCATGAAAACTCTTGCTTTTCTATAAAATCTCTCACCGAGAAAAAAAGCATACAGACATTCATTCTAGACACACAAAGTTATGGCTGCCTATCTTTGCACTGATCATTACTGTGGAAATATTATTCAGCCTTCTTTAATTGCATCTTGAAACGAAATAATTTCTAAAAAATTCTTTTTTTGCTATGATCAATTCCGCGAATTAATGACATGTGTGAAAGTGAGAATATTTGTTCTTTGAAAGAGTTGCTGTTGCAGAAGGGCTCGGCGACCCTCTCGAAGACGTCCAGTCCTTCAACATCGTCCAATTTCTTGCTGCTGACCAAGAGTGAGATTTATCTTATAAAAATCTCTCCTAATCAAGAGACTGATCGAAAGACAGGTCTAGACAGCTTTTTCAAATGGAGTGAAGTTGTCAATTCACCTCGTTATAATTTATTAGCTTTTCGTTTCCGACAAATTCACAAGGCTCCAGAAATGAATTTTGCAAGTGTTTGAAGGCTCCAATAAGAAGTCTTTCCAACTAGGAGTTAACAACATATATAGTCTTCTAAAAATAATCAATCGTGCATTCTACAATTATAGGTAGAGAATATTCTGCAAGAAATCGAGTTTTTCATCTCAATTGGCAGATGAACTTGTAGTTGCACGGATTCAGCTACAAATTGTACTGCAATTATGTCAACTTTCGTCCTCTCTCCAATTTATTTGCTCCTGACACAATTTCACTGAGAGATCCTATGCCCGAAAAATGTCTTTTTTCCTTTTTTAGAAGTGCTTGCACTTTTTCGGCTTTGCCCAGGAAACGATCAAAAAAAAAGAATCCTATCAGCTGTACCTCGAATGAAGTACAACGCCGTGGGCGAGATAACAGCCACCCATAGCGCCGAGTACCAGCCAGTGCCGCCTCGCCAGCCTCTCCCTCGTTTTCGGAGTTCCTCATTTCGCCTTTTTCTTTTGCTCGACCTCTGTTTTTGTCCCAATCACTGCTCTCAGACTGATTGAAGTTATCTGTTTCGCAGATCTACTGAGCCTTCTGTTCAGTTTCAGTCGGATGAGCTTTTCATTCTCTTTTCAAGCTGGTTTCCCGCTGGAAATGTTCTCAGAAAAGTACGTCGTCTTTTTGAGCATTTGTGATGTTTTCGCGACAGAATGGCTGGGATTCTTGTTCAAAAATGGTTTCAGTTTTATTTTAAACGAGATTGTACCCATTTCCAAAAGGCAAACAGAAATTTTCATTAATATTCATCAAAGAATACAAGTTATAAAACAGCCAAAATTGAGCTCTGACGCTTTTTGGATTGATCTGTACAAGTTTAAATGTATTGTTCAATTTTACCCTTACCGTTTTGGACCCAATTTTCAAAATTCTCCACTTAGCGGGTAGCTTAGAAGGAAGATAATTTTTCATTTTCTTCAAAAGTTTTCGTCTCCAACGTAGCCAAAAAGCTTCTGAGCCTCGAAACTTTTGCGATTTGACGATTCTCTCAGAAATCTACTCTTGAATAATTCTAAACCTTGATAACCTACATTTTCTCTGTTAAAAGTTAAGAATCTTCAAACTTCAAGTTCGAACGGACAAATGTCGGCGGTTCAAACGACGCAACGGTGACGTAACACCGGATATATGCAACTTGGCGCGGCTTCCTTTTTCTTCGCGGCATTTTTCATCTTCAAACTTTTGAAACGCCGAAACGCGTACAGTGTGTGATCTCGCCTACGTCTGACTGCTGCAATTTTCCTCCTAGAATTATTGTCTTTTTTTGATATATTTTTATCACTCTAATATCAAGTTTCTCATTCTCTTGTGATGCTCTCAAAAGATTTTGATAGCCTCATTCTCAAGAAAAGTCGATTTTTTCCGGAAAAGTGGATTCTTTGGAGCTCTCAAACTTCGATGATTACATTTTGGAAGACGGTAACAATTCAAAAAGAATCCTTCTGAAATATGTTCAAAATAGGATGGTAATTGTGAGGATGGCTTTTTTCAAATAAGATAGTAACTATTATTTCAGCAATAAACGTCGCGAGCCAAAAAAAACGTACAGTAACCTTGTTTTTCGGGTGTTAAAAGTCGCACTTTTCAAACTGACAGTTGACATCGCGCATGGCTGAGTAGGCCGGTGGTTATCTGGAAAATGCGGTCATTAACCCTCGGCATTTGCTCTACCGTACAGCCTTCGAACGCGTAAACTACTGACAAAGAGAATCTGCGGCCTCTTTTTTTCACGCAGCGTGCAAGTCCACGGCACTGTTCGCATCGCACCTGACACTTTTTCTTATGTCTTTGTGTCTTCTTTTTTTATTTCCGCCGATCTAAACAAATTTTCAAATCTTGTTCTCGTTTCTCCGTATTCGTGGCCTTTTTGAGTTCATTTGATCAAGTTGTAGAGCAGTCCAATAAAAAGTTTCGTTTGGGGATAGTTACACATTCCTACAGTAAGCCCATACTGATTAGTTTTTCATTTTTTGTTGTGCGAAATCATTTCACAGTTCGTTTTTTAAAAAGCTCCTAACAGTGAAAATCTCATTATTTATGATTTCAGCTTGCTCTCGAAAGCTTTGGGTCAAAGTTCGAAATCTGTGGAGAAATTTGAGAATTGAGAATCTTTTCATCCAACTCATTTTTCTCCCTTTCTTTTTCGAGCTAGTCTGTCTCTAATTATTGAAAATTTTGGTGCACCAAAGTGAAAACTTTAAGAAGCTATTAAATTTCTTCCAATTCATAATTCTCTTCTTAAACTTCCTTTTTTTCTGCAAGTTTATCTTTTGGAGTCGTCCTAATTACATGAAAATTTTGAGCCTAGCTGACTTTAGGACAATATACTTTCAACAAAAAACTGTACAATTTCAGCTTCGGCGTACTTGACGAAGACCTGCCGCTGAACAACAACTACCAGCATCCTCCACAAATGCGTCAGCTTCAAAATGTTGTGCCTGACCCACAACATAACACCAGCAACGGAATGTACCGGGTTTGTTTTGATAGTATACAGAGAGACGAAAAACTATAATGAGGCGTTGAAATAGAAATCTGATGTTTTCAGCTGGTGAGCAGTCGATTGCCGGACACTCCGCCGATCACCGACGTTTCGCGCAATGGATCTTCGGCTTCACCATCGACTAACTCTGATCCTCCGTACTCGCCGGACAACTTCAATGCTTACTCCAGTACGTTCTTCTTCGAAATACATATTTTCCAAAAAGAACTGCAAAACTATCTCAAGTTCTGATGACAGAAAGGGCTACAAAAATCTCTTACTGCCCGATTCCCAAGAAAAAAGAAGTACTCAATGAAACAAAACTGATAATAGCTGCGTGAAACTTTTCGGAACGGTGGTTTGGTTTGCGGTGTGGTTCGTTCCAAGGCAAGGTGGACATCTTCTTTGCGCCGCGCAATATGACCTTCACACAGTTTTATCCCCATCAGGCTAAAACACGCTAACAGCCCTGCGCGATCTACTTTCTTTTTTTTTTCTCCGTCTGTCACTCCCCCAATTGTGTCAGTCTGGCCAGGTTCGGTGGGTTGTCCAGTCCGGTCGAGACTTTGAACTTATTCCTGACCTTCTTCTCATTCTTTACATCTATCAAGCAGGTATTCATTCCAGAGATGACTTGAGGTTGAAAAAATATCTGAGCACCAAGTAGGATTGCGCTTCATGAAGACGTTGCAAACGAAATTCTATAACTTCCTCGGTTTTTCTCTCTGTTCTGCAGGTTTCCAAGTCCCTGTGCGAATTTTTTTTCAATAAGCTTTCAATATTCATCAATGTTTGAAGGCTTTAAATTAGTTTTCAATATACTCATTAGGTTACTTGATCTTTTCAAACATTGGAGCATCCTCATAACCTTCAAGGAAAAGTTCCCGCCTTTCATTTTGCAAAGTTTAATATCTTCAGGTTTTGCTACTAGGTATATTCCGCCATGTCAAAAATCCAGCCTTGGCTTCAGACCTCACTGAAAAAAATCCTTTTTTGCTTTTGCTCAACAAGCAGTTACGATAAAAAAAGTTCAGAAAAAAAAATATTTAAATTGGCTAGTAAATTTGTTCCGATTCTTCTCCGGGTGCTCTGAAGTATCTAAATAGAATTTCCTGTAATTTTTCAATTTTTGCAAGATTTCATATAATCGAACTAATAGCATGATGAATTCTAGTGAAAAGCATATTTTCAATAGTTTATCCTTTTTTTGCGTTCTCTCATTCATTTCTAGAAAGTAAAAAAACTTTGGCTAGTTCGTTGACTACAGTACACTGAGCATAGAGGGCAGAGAATTGAATTGATGAGAAATTCAGTGGCAAAGTGCGTTTGTCGTCGTCGACGACTGTCCTTTGTTTCACAGTGGAGCGATGCTCTGGCCGGCAACCTTACGCAACAAATCCGGTGCCTTGACTGACGGGATGAAAGCGCAGGCGCGTACCTTCCACGGAGCGTCACCAGCGATCCCACGACTTTCCGCTGACCCCTTCTGCTTTGTGCAGGAACAGTACGATTTGTACGGACACGGCCCTCATTTCCATTCCTTCTTCTGAAATTCTCATCAAAAGTTTCTCTCGTTCCGTTCTCACTTGTCGTCTACTTTTGATCTATGGATCGAGGAGCTACTTCTATACTCAAAATGCGTAAGGAGTTACTTATTCTTTAAGAAAATGCTTCATGTGAGATGCGTCTTTTTGCGAAAGAAAAGCACTGTCATGTCTACCCTTTGAATGAAACTGAACATCTGGCGTCGCTTGGTAATCATTTCGTCAACCAACTTGATTGACTATGCAATTCTGTCGAATGAATAAATTAAAATTTGTTGCGAAACGGCGGTTTTCCTTGGTCATTATTCTATGAGGGGGTTTCATTTCTCCAGGATCTATTCAGCTTCAAAGGGTCTTCTGGCCAAGTTTAAAATGGGGTTTCTTGTCAGCTTCTAAGGAAATTATGATATACTTGGAAACTAACAAAATCATTTTCTCTCAAAAAAAGTTCATTTACACTCCAATTTTTTTTAATTAAACAGAGTATTTTCTGCCACTTGAGAATCGCCGAAAAAATGTCAAAAAAATATATAGTTTTTCCTAAGATTTCGAAAGGAAAGTTCTAATAGTCATAGAGTTTTCTCGAAATTTGCAAGCTCAACAAAAATAACCTTCCCAGTAAAAAACAACCAATTTGATCTTTTTCATGGACAAAAGGATTTTTTCGCTCTCAAAAAAAAACTGGATACTTTTGGATGAGTCTTTCAAAATCTTCAGATACCCATCTTCTGAACTGTTTTAAATGTCTCCAAATGTCCTAACTAGGATAAATTGCGCAGAAAAAAGTTGCGTCAGTGGTTCCATTGTTCCGCGGAAGGGGAGAGCAAAGTGTTTTATGCTAAGCGTCAGCGCTTTCAAAAGGGAAAGTTTGGCCAGTTCTTGTACCTGGCACTGTCACTGTGTTGCAAGACCAAACTGAAGTCTGAAACTTTTTTAGAATCTCAATGTTTTCACTTCCAGTAATCAACGGCAACGCGGTGAACAACAACGGCTTGATTCTGGGAGTTCACGATCTGCACCAGAACCTGATGCAGCAGGAGTTCATGGGTCAGCTACAGCAGCCGCCGGCTCAGCCTCAACGGACCAACCACAACCAAATCAACTCGCCACAGAGGGCCGCTTGTTTCATGTCTTCCTACCAGGCCAGCCAGCAGAACACTCCGCAGAGCATGACTCAGGTAACCTTTTCCCTCATTCCTGTGCTCTGAAATATTTTGAAAACTATCTCAAAATTCAAATTTTCGCATAAAAGTAATAAAAAATACCTTTTGAAAAAAAGAGATTTTCGGAATAGATTTTAAATGGTTCACTGCTTTACATAGTTTCATTTTTATATTGTTCACCTGTTATTTTTAAAATCTTTTCTCAACTTTTTTCCATCTTTATTTTCGACTCTAAAAATTGTCCAGATAACTGTTCACAAGAGAGGAAATGTCCCTTAAAAATTTTTTTATTTCCTAAAGTTGGTCAAAAATTTTAGGTTAGATAAGAGGATCAAACATTTTGAGCTATACGATTTCTCATTTTTCGAGTAAAAGAAAATTTCTTCATGCATTATGATCTAGGAAGAGATTTTTGAACTTTGCGATTCGATAATTTCGAATTTTTTTTAATGAATCGCTGAATTTTGACAAGTTCTGATGTAGATAATTTCTGAAAGATACGACGCTCCAAGGAAAAAAAAGCTACAATTTTTTTGCAACATTGGGGCTCCTTTTTATTTTCTTTTACGAAAATAAACATTACACTCGATGCTTCGAGAGTTTTTCGTAATGTTACGAAGCTGTACGGTGTAATTGTTTTCTAACCACAAATTCGATGACTTATCGGACAAGATGGGGCGACTGATTTTATCAGAAAACCATTAGAGCAGCCGTTACCGTTCCTTCTGCTCTCACCTTCCACTTCATTTCATTCTATTTCAGACGTCGCCGCAACAAAGTGCCCGTTCGGAAAACTACTCCATCAGCCAGTACAACGCACAACACATGGACACTCTGTACAGTATGCTGAGCGCCTCGAGCGAAGGCAGCATTCACAGCCAAAACAGCGAGGCTCCGCAGAACCGCAAGCGGCCTCGCATTGAGTCGCAGATTGAGCCGCCCAAGTTCATGCCGGCGGTCAGCGCCAATCCCATGGCTTCCAGTCCTGTCGAAGGAACTTATCAGGATGATGAGTTCAGTCATCAGGTGAGACTTGTGAAAAAAAAATTCATTTTTGTAGAGGTTTTAATGCGGTTCATATGGTTCTTTTCAAACACTGAAAATTTTCCAGTTCAGTAGAAACTAAAAAGATAAAAGATGGAAGAACAATTTTTTGTAAATGTAATAATTATTGAAAACTTGAAAAAATAATATTAGAAGTTTTGAAGTTTGCGCAAGGAGCGGCTAAAAGGATAACGAATAAAACAACTTTTTTTCAAAACGCAAAATGATGTACCTTCGTAAAACTTTGACAAAAACGCAAAAACTCCACGATGGAGAGTTTTCATTTACAAATTCCATTTATCGATAGTTTTCTATCTTCATTAACATGAAGCTTTTCAATTTCATTTTTCATGTTAAAAAGCGCATTCTCAATTCAAAATAAGTCATCCCCTTATTTTCAGGTCATCAAGTTCACCAAGTTCCAAGAAGACCAATGGAACGGACTTTATGACACGAACGGAAGAGAACTGAAGCAGTTACAAGTTCATGTCGTTGCAGACAAAGGCTTCAACCACTCGAGCATCGACAATTGTTTTGTTAATCAAAAGAAGAATCATTTCCAGGTCAGTCAAAAAAAAGAATAATTTGTGAATCAAGCTAAATTTTCAGATCTCAGTTCACGTCGAAGCCTGCGACAACATGCCCCCAAAGAACGTTCGTTTCAACGGCGCTCTTGTTCCGATTCACGAGTTCAAGCTATCATTTTGCGGAGTGAAGGCTGAGGTTTTCATTAATGAGCTACTCAGCTTCAAAGCGTTTTTATTTCCAGATGCCAACTTCGGAAATTTGCATCAAGCAGTCACGAACCGACCGCAAGCCGCACCCACACAATCCTGTACCTTTCGAGATCCAGGAACGCAGAATGACCAAAGTAACGGTCCCGCGGCTCCACTTTTCCGAAACGACGCTCAACAACCAGCGGAAGAACTATCGGCCCAATCCTGACCAGAAGTATTTCCTTCTGGTGGTTCGTCTTCTTGCCTGCGTCGGCGATGATACTACCATTCTCATCCAGTCTTATGCTTCTGAAAAAGTCATCGTTCGAGTGAGTTTTCATTAAAAGATTTGAGAGAAAATACGCCGTTTCTTTCAACTTGGCTGGAGTTTGATTTCAAAAATGATTGAGTTTTAAGATGAGGATAGAAAGTTTTTAATTTCAACAAATTTATTCAAGACATATAACCATAAGTGTGATCATTGAATCGTTCAACCCAATAAGGTTGATATCGTGTTTCTTCCGGATGATGGACTTCGAATTCTGGTAATTCACCAAGTTCTGGCGATTCTCTTCTCGGTTCTTCTGTGGGCGCTAGTCGAGTTCTCTTTTTCGGAGGGCCGAGGTTGTCGTCGGTGCAGCCTATCCAGATAGGGATTCTGTGTTGATGTGTGTGACCATCCTCTAGAGTCGTCACAACGTTCAGCTCATAGCTGATGATCAGAACGTTCCAATAGCTGATCTCAATGCTTGGTGGGATGTTGTGAGGTATCGGAAGGAATCCTTCTACAAACATTTCAATCTCCTCAACGTGGCATTCTTGATTCACGACGATGCGCTCATGCACGTAGCTGTCATCGCTATGTATGCCAGGAACACGAAGTCTTCGAATCTGGATCAACTGCAGGGAAAGTTTTTTCTGCCTGCCCTCTACGTGCGCAAAAATGTACTTTCCGCGCTGAAAACAGCGTTGTCTCATTTTAATGGTCACTGCGCCTCTTTGTTCGACGTGATCCGTTTTGAACGCCTCTTTTGCCCACGTGTCGACGAACCTATCAACAAGGATATCGACCTCAGCGGAGACATTGTTTTTTCTCCAGGAAACCGTGGAAGCCCGACAGATATAACGGATGTCATCTCCAAGAGAGGGAGCCAGGATATTGACGTCATATTGCGACTCGGAAAAAGGCAAAGAGAATCTGATCGTGTGTTCTCCTGGCGAAAATTGGGAATAGTTGTCGCTGGAAGCAAGGGCTTTGAAACGAAGGAACTCGTACCAGGTGGCGCCTGCTCGAAGTTCTCCAGAAAGAATCAAGCGCAGGCCTCGGAGAGGTCTTGCGACGTTGCTGTTGACAACAAACGTAACCTGGGCGCTGGCCCCTTCCAAGCCACGTCCTTCAGTCCCGCTGATGATTTCCAGTTTTTCAATATCGACAGAATGAATGCGAGTTGATATGACTTCTTCTTCTTCTGAATCATAGTCGTCGTCATCATCACTAGCGTCGTCAATATCGATCGCTCGTTTGAAGACATGATTTTTAAATCCTTTTTTGATCGGTCGTTCCTTGAATTTCAATTTGAAAGAACTTTAAAATGAACTGAGCTTACCGGGACTTTTTCCGAGCAAACAATAATGGGGTAGCGGAAATCGACAAGAGACTTGTGGTTTGCAAGTTTCACTTGGAGCAACACCTCATACTCCAATGAAAAAACGTTCCAAAGAGTCATCGCCATGGTAATCGGCGCGTCAGGAGGGATTTCCAGCTCACAATCCCTAGCAGTAGACGTCGTTTTTACTGTTGAAATAGTAAACATCTTCTGGTCAGTTATCATAAAATGACCAGCGGCAGACTGTCTGAAATTAATAATTAAAAAAAGGCGTTGAATTCATTCCTTGCCGTATTTCGATTATTTTCTGCAGACTGCATTTTACGTAGTCAATTTTTGTTTCTTCTTGAAAATTCCAAGAAGCGTGAATCCGTTCTCCACTCGTGAATGCTCTTTTATTCAGCTTAACTTCGCCATTCAAAGGATTGCACTTCCTGAAAAATGAGAAAAATACGAGAGAAAAAATGATATTTGAAACTTGTGCATCCAAGAGCCGTGTCCTACACAGTGATCCACGGCAGTCTTGATAGGAAAGCAAGACTCGTGCGGCATTTTCAACACGAGGGTCCGCCGAATTTCGAATTTCTTCTCAATGTGGTGGTTTTTAAACCAAGGGTCGACAGAAGCGCGAACAGCGTATTCCACTTGAATATTCTCTCCTAAGTTCATTGAAGGCGGGAACCGGGGTAACCAAACGTCCACCGACACATCGTATATCTTAGTGCCTAAGAATGAGAGAAAATAAACCAAAAAAAAATATAACCCACTTGAAGCTTCTATCAAAAGCCAGACTTGCTCGTGAAAAAATTCGTAGAGAAGTTTGTCTTTCTGGCGTAAGTATCCTCGGAAAACAACCTGAGCAGAATGTGTCCATTTGCTCAAGTTTTCAACTTCCACTTGAGCAGAGAGAATATTATCCGATGAACTGTCGAAAAAAGGTTGACAATTAATACGCAAGACTCGAGCAAAGCTCTCAAGGACAGACATCTTGCTGGTGAAAAAAAAACTTTCAAAGTCGTTACTAGGGTGGTTCTCGAATATTCTATGACGCAAAATTGTGCCATTGTTTCTTTTTTTGAGCTTAAAAACCAAACTTCTTTTCCAAACAAATTTATTGAGCCCTTTTTGCAGGCGACAAATCCTGGATCGTTCGAGCCGCCAGACTCTGACATCACTTGGCTTCGCAATGGAAACACTTTGTACAGCAACGGACAAGTTTCTGTGGGCACAGACCGCACCTGCGCCAAACTCACAGTCGACGGCGACATCTACACAGCTGGTCGAGTGATTTGCCCTTCTGACATCCGACTGAAGGAAGGAATCGCGGCGAAAGAAGCTCGCGAGGCCCTAGAAAACCTGTGCAAACTTCGCGTGGTCGACTACTTTTACAAGCCCGAAGTTGCCGAAAAATGGGGCCTTACAGAGGAACAGCGCAAGAGAACTGGTCTCATTGCTCAAGAGCTGGCTGCTGTTCTGCCGGACGCTGTTCGCGACATTGGAGACTACCTAACCATCAATGAATCTCGAGTTTTCTACGAGACCGTGCTTGCCACCCAAGAGCTTTGTCGCTTGACGGGCGATCTAGACACCAAAATAGACGAGAAAGTCGAAGAAATCAGCCAGAGACTGGCTCGCTACGCACGTCATAAGAAAATGCTCGGTTCAATGGCTTCAAACTTGAACGGCGAACACAACAACGACTCCAAGAGCTTGATGTCCTACTCGCGTCTCTCTCTGGCTTCCACCGTGACCTCTGCAAAAAAAGAAAAAAACAAGGAAAAGAAGAGCAAGTCGTTCATGACCCAGCCTCTCTGCAACTCGAGGCTTACCCAAGGAACCATCATCACCTTGGTCGTCGTCATGGCAGCTTGTTTGATTTCCATGTCTGCACTTTACGTCCTCGATTGGCACAACCGCAACTACGGCTACCATCACGTGTTCCCTAGCCCTACGAAAGAAGAGCCTGCAAATATGGTCCTACCAGCGGGTGAGTTCTAGATTTTTCAGATCTGAAGGACCTTCTAAAAATTCCAGAAAATCGAAACTTACCGGTGACGCAGCCAGGAGCTCCACCGTTAATGGCCAAGTGCAGATCCAATACCTGTCGAACTTACTGTTGCACTGACAAGCCAAAGCACGAAACTGAAATAGTCAAGGTTTGAAAAAAATTTATTGAAAAAAATATAAAGATAAATTTTTCTGCTTAAGAGAGAAGCCAATGGATCTGGAACCGTAGACGGACTCGAAAAACCATTTTTCGTTTCGAACGTCAGCAGCTTCACCACTGGTGTCAAAATTCAAATTCCGAGCTTCAACATCACCGTCGACAATCGCTACTGCATCCAGAAGAGTTGCAGCCGTCGTCGCGGAATCTACAATCTGTACATTCCGGTCTCTCCGTTCCTACCTGATGCACCCATTGAAATATTCATCTCGTTAGTGAAAGCAACAATTTCTGGTAGTTATCTGGTATTCAGGGTGCCCCGGAACAAAATCATCAACAACTGCGGCTATCTCTCCGAGTTCCCGCATAAAACATGCCCTCTGAGCTCCAGAGATCCCACAAGCTATCCTACTTCTGACCAGGTGAATTTTTGCCAACTGTGGATCAAAAATTACAAAACGAGAATTTTCTCCAATTACGACAATGAAAACAAATTTGAGTCTTTAGATAACAATTTCCTTTTCTCGAAACTCTCTCTATAAAAGTTCAGAATCTAACTTTGAATATTCGCAGATCACGGAAGACGTTTACGAGCTCTCGGTGGGCTCTTACCTGCAGTCTGCGTACCGTTTCCGCGTGGCGCTCACGACGGAAGCTTGCTTCGCCAACGAGGAACACCTGCACAGCAGCTTCCAGGAATACAACCTCATTTTCTACCGAACTTGCACTACCCAAGAATAATTCCTTCACTTCTTTCTCTTCACATACCAAAGTCCAATCTTGCAATTCATTGACGCTTTCACACTTTGTTCTCTCTTTGCACCGGTTTTTCCATTCTATCGAACTGTTCCAGTCTCCGGTTTCTCATTGTAATTAATTGTTCATTTTTCACAATTCTAACATTTTTTTCGATTACTCTAATCCAATCCTTCTCGGGGCTTCTTTTTCAGCACAAAACGTGTTTTTTCAGCTACTCTCCAACTCAGCGCCTATCCCTTAATACTCCTTCATAGCCACTCTAATAAAAACAAGCTTTACCTGATTTGGCCTTTTTTTCAATTATCTATTCACTAATCCGTGTAGAAACCATACTTTCAGTCCGGTATACAATGATGAAAAGTCCCGCTGATGTTTTGAACCCGATTTTATCCCTCGATACCAAAAAAAAGGGAAAACCATCTCAGTGCTGCCAAAACAGTATAAAGATAATTTTTGATTACCACTTCATTAAGAACTATCCAATTTTCATTCCATTTCAAACCGCTGCCAGAGCCTCTTTTTCATATTTATTGGCAGCATCGTTTAATTTATTTATTTATCACATTTCGACGTGATGATCTTTCTAAGTTTTTTATTTAATTTTTTTGGATACGTGTTAAAGAACGTTCTCAAACACCGATGTTTCTTTGTCCTGTCATTTTTTGAATGTGAAGGTGACTTTTTCATGTAACTTTTTCTATTTTTATTATGATTTTCTTATTTAAGTACATGTGCGTAATAATTTCATGTATCCTGTTTTTTCCAATAAATTAATTCATTACAATTTATTAACCATATTCACAGAATCAAAGAGAAGATCACATTTTGAGGAAGGAGAAAATCGAAGAGAAAGTGAAAGTTCAACCAGGTAAAATGGTGTACAATGCTGAGATTGAGTTAAGAATAGTTCGATCCGTCTTGCAAATTCGGATAAAGTCTTCTTTTGTTATACGGCCTTTGTTTCCAACGTCAAACTTCTGGAAACTTCTTTGAGTTAAGTTCAAAATGGATAGAATCTGAGTTACTACAAACAAGTCCCTAGAAACAAAACTTTAAAAGGAAAACATTGAAAACTTGAAATAGCACGATTTCCGTGTTAAAAAATGATTCAAACTTTACAGATTAGCCTTCTCAACCGGTGTGTGTTAGCTTTCTTGATTCAGAGGTTTCTCTACAAAAAAAAAATGAAACTTGAAACCTGAAAAACTTGAGACGCTCGTTCGTGTTTCTGTTCTCTGGTGTAACTTGGCTTCGCTTTCCGACCTGAAATCTGCGATAAGTTACTAAACAGGAAGAAGTTTCTACCCATCAAATCGTCCATTGAAGTAATAACATAATAAAGTCGGTGCCAGGTCACTTCACCTTTATCTTTTGGGTCGTACAGTTTGTACAGCCAGTCTAACTTTTCATCCATTGTACCTCGACATAAAATCGATAGAGCTTTTACAAACTCCTGAAACAACAAGAAATTAGATCAAATAAATTACTAAAAAAGTGCAATAATTTGAGCTGTTTCATTTTCGGTTCCTCATTCATTATTTTGTGTTTATCCTTGAAAACTAAATATTCTCTTATAAAATGAAGATTTGAGTCAAATCCAAATTTTTCGCGCAAACAAATTTTAATAAAAATCTGTAAATGAAATTATGGGTTCCTAACATTTTGAAAAATTGCCAGTCAAGATGTTGTACTCGTTCTCTGGAGTTTTCAAGGCCCATCATCCACTTTAAAAAGTCGCTTTATCTACTCTCCAAAGATGAGAGTCGGGCTCTTTGAGTTCCCAAGTTTTACCGCTTATCATCTTTTTTTACAGATATTATCTACAACTTCTCATGATAAATTCGAGTCGTTCAATATTTCTATTGAACAAATGATCCAAAAGTTACGATATGACTCAAGGTCTGGTTAGCGACAATTGAAGTAAATCATGCTCTCACGAAGACTTTTTTCGTTTTCGTAATAGTCGGGATACCTCTCAAAAATATAAGTACATCTTTAGGCACAAACCTGAAAATTGATTGTCCCGTTTCCATCGTTGTCGAACGTATCAAATAATAAATCAGAATAATGCTCAATATCACCGTGTGGGAACAACTCAGCAAATTTCTCTCTCAAAATAACTGAAAAATACTGGTTAAAATAAAATTGATGGAAAATTACCTTTGTTTATGACCGCATTCGGAGAAGTTTCTTTAAAAGCTCGGTAAATTGCTCGAACTTCATTTTTAGAAAAGTGTGTCTCGTCTACGACCTGAAAAGTGTTGAATAACTCAAGTTCATAACTAGTCAATCTCCTTATCGTAGTCTTTTGCTTTCAAAATTTCACAAGCTCAACTGGAATTTGAAAAAAAAAGAAGGGTTTTGAAAATAAAAATGTCTTGTTATAAGCTATTCATCTTAAAGTTAGACAGTTCTCAGACACAGACAAGTACAAAAAATAATGTATTCAACCTTCTGTAAGACGTATTTAGGACGTTGAAAATTGATGGAAGCGTTAGAGCCGCGTGTGTGAAACCGAAGGAATACTTTCTTACTGTGGATATTGGATTCTTCGGACATATCTCTTTTTTGTTTGGAAAGTAGGGGAATTAATGAATCATAATAGGTCGGAGGATGTTGGAAAATGGTTGGAAGATAGGAAATGTTGTGCCGCCACCGAGTCGTGTTTACAACGTGAAAGCAACGGAGCAATCCAAGAAGCAGCCCTCATCAACATTTTTTTGTTCCCTTTTGACTTTTTTTGTTATTTTTTTTATGAATGGTGGCTATGAAATTAGAGAAACTGACAGGTGAACTGGCAAACGGCAAAATGAAAAGTTCAGCCACGTTCAGGAATATCCTATGCGATTTTCGAGATGAAACTTCAAATTTCAATGCAAAAATAATAAAGGATTCGAAAAAAGGAATAATCTCATAGATTCTGACAATATTGAATCTATAATGTTTTTTTCATTGTTATTATTTAAAACTAGAAAATATAAGAGTCAAAAATTGAATAAAGGATGAAGAGAATAGTTGATAACAGCGAAATATATTAACCTGCTGTAAACTTGATGGCCGGAAGGTGTGTTGATGAATTGGAGAAAGTAAAGGCACATCTATCTTGTAATCAAATCCTGAAAACTTGATAATGATGAAAAATATTTTGATTAAAATGTAGCATCTGAATCTATCCTGAGTATTTTAAAAAAAAGCCTTAGAACGTATTAAAGCCATATATTAATTTGTTTCAGAAGTTCTATGCAAACTCTTTTGAATTTGAAAGCCTTCGATAATGTGAAACATTATTTTTGTAAAGAGAAAGATGTCCTAATTAAACATTTGAAAAAAAAAACCTATAAGTGGCTGGTCAAACTCGTTTACGGGAGGTAGAGCAATCGCAGCTCTTCTTCGGCCAGAGCTCATCGCCTACAGTCACACGACAGAATGTCTGAAAAAAGTGATGAAAAATCAAAAGTGCGATCGAGGTTCAAAACGGGATAAGTTAACTAGAGACGGAAAAAATGAGAAGATGAGCGTGGGAAACGGTTTTTGGTTGATTGTCCTCGCTGAGAAACGATGAAGCTTTGTGCATTTGTCTGAGGCACGCAAAAAATCCAGGCCGACGGGCACGTTGGACGTGTGTTAACAACAACGGCCTTCGCTTCCGCTTTTTTTCCGCTGCATAGTTATCTTTTCGTGGCTTGCGTGCCAATTGATTCTTTGATATTCTTAGAGAAGACGTCCGTCTTCAAAAACATTGGAAAATATTTTTAGTTCTTCACTGTTTGAAATCCGACGTGAAAACAAAAACTCTGAAACCGTACAAGTTTCTGTAACTTTTGATTAAACAATTTTATATAGGGTTTTTTTGATTGCATGTAGAAAAAAGAACAAAAATGAATTTTGTATAATGTGCCATCAAATTTTCATCAGTTCATCGAGAGCTCTCCCTTCGTATTTCCGAAAGGTCATAATAAAATGAGGATCATGCCGAATTTGTCTGAGTTATTCTTCTTCAAGGAACTAGCGTTTTGAACATTTAATTCATAATTTTTGCTCGCGTTCATATTTTCTTCAGTCTTTCTAGATAATTATTTTTAAGTTGTACGCTGAAAATAAAATTGTTTGAGATGCAAAGCTTCAAAGCGCTCGTAGTTTCGATATCTGACAAAGGGGTTTTTTGTTAGTACATCATTATCTTTTACTGCGGGCTGAAAAAAAAATTGAAATCATTACTTGTAGAAGTGAAAAATCTCACATAACAAAGTCTCAAAGAAACAAAGAATCTTGGCAAGTAAAAATGGAAAGAATTTATAAATGTCAAATTTCACAATGAAAAAAACAAGGGAAGCTCTAACAAAATACGGGAATTGTAATATAGCCAGGAAAACAATTATTTGTTCAATAAATATAACCATTATGTGAAAAAATGCCTCTGAAAACAAACTAATTACGAGAGTTTTATTGCGTTAACTTCAACAAAACTCTCTTCTGAAGAAATGGAAAAAAAAGAAATTAAATAAGCAAGTACTAGAAACGGACGTTTTTTGAAATTCGAGACGCAAAATGCTTCATGACGAATGAGTGTGAAGGTATCTCAATTTTTACTCAAGGCAGTATCGTGCAAATGAAATTAAGAAGTCCCATTTGAGCTCAAAAAGATTTGTTTTTTTTTTAAATTCTTGAGCTTTGTTTTACCTGCTTTAATGGAAATTCTTTCGTTATTTTTGGGAAGTTTACCATCTTCGAAACACGCGAAAGAGGCATAGTTTTTTTTTGCTTTCTGAAAATTTTTGACAAAACTGTAAACCTTTCAAGGAGCGCCAGCTCATGGCACTTTTTTTTGAATATTATCCAGCAGAAAAAACCTTGAAAATTTTGGGATTTTTGCGTAGTACAGCTTACAATTCATCAAAAAAACTCTGTTGCAAAAGATGATATTTCTTTCTAATGAGATATTATAAAGAAAGCTTCATTCTTTTCAGCATGATGCCAATGGGTACATTGAGCGTTCAATAAACTTTGAAAACTACTTTTTCAACACCTCCATCGTTCTGTCTCGATTTTTCGGTTTTTCAGTGTTCTTTGAAGGCTGATGACGTGCTCTCAGAAACTTGTTTTCGACTATTCTTTGTAACTGTAAAAATTCGAAGACGCACTTTTGAAAGTTGTTTCGAAAAGTTTCAGACCTTCAAAAACAATATGAATTCTGTGGAAACATTAAAACCTCAATAATTAATGGAAAAGGGAGCACCTGGAAATGCGCCAGAAATGTGTGATTTTAAGACAATGACTGGGTCTTAGAAGAGATACCCGTTTTTTGAAACCTCCATTAGGAATTTTGAAGTTAATTTGAGAGAATCAATACAAAGTTTTAAAATCGGAACACAAATAAACTCAATTTTTCACAACGTTAGAAAATTTATTGCCATTTTATCCTTACCTAAAGTTATAAACGAAAAGATTCTCTTGAGGCAGTCAGAAATGCTTTCATCTCTCAAAAAATAGTCACGTTTCACATGGTCATGTCAGAATTCTGAAAACTAGACGTTTACATTTTTTTTAAAGAAAGAAAAAACCACAAATCCAATGTCTAATGAAAGTCAGAAAAATGAATTCACTAAAGCGAAGTGCAACTGTTAGTTGATTTGTGTGTTTCAGCCTCTGGTGGCGATAAATTTTTCCGCTGGGCAGCAATTGCTTCATTCGATACAGCCCGTCGTTTTTATTTGAAAATTATTTCTCTTCCTCTAGGTCAAGATGGATCCCGTTACGAGAGCGATTCGCAGAATTTACGCTGATACAATTACTCTTCAGTTTACAAGGAGGCAGCTGATATGAACCATTTGCGTTTTCTCAAGCTGGGGCACTACTTCTACGTTTTGATCGCAAAGGACAAGATTGGTTTCAACAAAATTCCAGAATGCGTATTTTCATATTTCTCTTTTTAAATCTGAGCAATAATAAGGTCTTCGTACTATTGAAATGCAAATTTTAATTCCTTGTTTTCACATGAGAAGATTGAAGTTTGGTTTCCGATATTTTTTCAGAATTCAAAAAAATATATCGTTGCCTAAAAATGGAAATGAAAAGGATTTATTACCAACAAGAAACCAATGATAAACCAATAATTAGGCACAAATAAAGATATCGAGATCCAAAACAAAAAAATCTTGAAGAGCTCTTCTAAGAACGGGAAATGTTAAAACGATCAATATTTTGCTCTGTTTTGACACATATTTTTTGTTCTTCCAGTACGAGGTAAGAGAGCTGCTACTAAAAGATAGCAAATTATAGTTGTACAGCTATAATACATCGCTGAGAGATAAATTATCGAATTGGTGGTCGCACATTGGTTTTGTACTCGTGGGAGGTTTGGAAATTGCCTGCCGGGTCGTATTTGACGACGACGTAGATCAAAAAACTTCTTTTGCTCGCCGGCATACAGGCTGTCCGTTTAGAACTTCCTGGTCGGATCGCCACGCCGACTCCAATTCTCCTCGTCTTCTGCCAGATGAGTTGAGTGAAGTGGCCCGTTTTGAAGTAATTGAACGGAATCCAACTGTAACTTTTATATTTTACGATATTGAAAACCAACAAAATAGTATTTTAGCAGTCGGAGAGCTCGATTAAATTTCGTGAAAGTGGATTACAATTTCGTCATCATGAAAAATTTCAATCTATGCTTTACAGTCAATTAATGGAGCGTCAAAAATGATACACTATCCTCTCGTTTACAAGTTTTATTTTGCGCTCAGAAAGCATCATAAATTTACTTGAATACTTTCGTGAAAAATCTTTCAACCTCAAAAAGTCTGCGCGATGGTTTGAACTCGACAGAAAAAAACAGTGAAAAAAAAATTTTTTTTTTTGAAAAAATCATTCGGCGAACCGTTTTTTATTGAGACTTGATAATTTTCTGAAGACACCTTCAAAAATACCTGTTGTAATTGTAGCCATTTCCTTCCAGATAAAAACTTTGAGTGATTGCTTTCGCCATCGTTTCTGGACTAGCAAAAAATCTTGCGCCAAAGAAAAATAGATTCTCGCCGTACCTGAAAAGCAGGAGCGTCAAGGACTTGATCATGTTCAAAATCTTTTCGTTTTTCATATTATAAACTAACTTGAAGACATTCGGGAAAATTTTTGAAAAAAGTTGATATCGAAAAATATGGCTTAAAACGTCTTAAAAACACTATATAAGCCTCGAACTCTAACTAGGAAGAAACTACTTACGTGCGACTTCTTCCTACAGAACCACTGAAAAAAATCGTTTGATATTCAGTAACCAGAGTTGAAACAGTTTGATTATTTTTATACTTAGAAATGCAGTGCAACGTTTTGAGCCATTCCATTTGACGTATCAATTCGGGCAAAAATGTTCAGAACAGTTTTAATACAGAAAATGGAAGATATTATTAATAAAACTGACACTCTGGGCTTCTCATGAACCAAGCAATTTTTTTGGTTCCCCAAGTTTTCAGCCCAACGTTGAGCAGCACGTTCCAAGCCACTGTCATAAGTGAGAGCTGGAGCGTCGTGCTTGTCTCGGTACAAATTGTGAAAGTTTAAAATCTGAAAAGCACTTTATTATCAACGTCTCCTGAGTGTTTTGAAGGGTTATTCTTTTACGTTCTAGTGAGCTTCTTTTTTTATTCTTTGCCATTTCCTCATGAACACATGCATTTCCAAGATAAAAGGCCAAAATAAAACTATTGTTCAAGAGACTGCGAAGTTCTGATTGGAAAAGTTTTTTGGTCAGAACATCCCTTCGCTCGATTACACATTTAGTTCAACTTAGACGGTAATTAGAAAGTGATAAAATTGTGTTACGGTCTTCAATCATCGATAAACAGTCAAACGCCTATTTTCGGAGACCAAACTAATGATTTCGTAGCGTTTGAGAAAGTTCGAAACTTTTTATCAAAGGAGAAAGCGTGCTGAGAAAATCAGTGTTTTCCTCAACTTTGAGAGAAATCCTCAATACCAGCTTATTTCTGAAAACTCACATGGTTTCTCAAAGAAGCAACATCGAAACTCATAGGTTCACTTCGGTCTACTCGACTCCTGTCGACAATAAAGCGGCGTACTTGATCAACCTGAAAAATGGCTTTATTGGTTCAACATGTAGTCTTTCTGACAGGAAGACACAAAAAATGTGTAACGGCCACCATGATTGATTGTGGTTTGCAGGGGCTACTCGTCTAGTTTACATGTTTCACACTTTCCCTTCTTCTCCTCGGTTGTATCAACACAGAGTGCATTACGAAAAAGAGAACTCACTGATTTTAATGGCAAAACTTCACGAATGTCGTTGAACGAATGTTTGGTAGAATCCGGTTTAGAGGTGGGAGCCCAATTTTCGTCTTTGGAGCCGCTGTTGCTCATTTCTTTCAACGCTTTTTTGATTATGGATCCATGGAATTTGAAAAACGGTAGTTGTTCTAAAAACAGTTCTTGCAAAGATTTCGATTTCGCCGCCCTGGAACCAAAATCTCTTTCTGTAGTTTCAACAACAGAATATGTCAACCTGAAAAATCAGATGTCTGAGTTGAAAACATTGAAGAACCAACTTGAGATCGGTTCCAGCCGAAGTCAATGTCACTGCCGATTTCCGTTTGGTGTAGGTGATTTCTTGCCATGTTGGAACAGTGTAGACGCTGCGGCCGACCAAAACTTTCACAAAAACTCTCTTTCCGGGAGGCTGTAGGATGAAAATTGAAGTTGGTTCAATGATCACAGTCGATCTCTGTCACCTTCGAGGAAAAACCAATGTTGAGACATTTGTTCGAATCGTCCTGGATGAGGCATGAAGAAGGGTACAAAGCGCTGGGAATTGATTGGACCACGCTTTTCCCTCTTCAAAAATGTTTGAAAGTTATCTCAAAGGCTTTATTACCTTTTCTGTTGGGAACACTCGCATTCTTTGGATCGTATTGGCAAGGAGCGTTTATCGAATTTCACTGAGCATAAGCAAAATCTGAAAAGTAAACCTGAGGAGAAAGAAAGAGAAACCTCACTCGAAATTGTAGTAGAGTGACTCGAGGTTTTCAATCTCGGTATACTTCAAACCGCTGTACCGGAGCACTGAGACGGTGATACCAGAAGGCTGAACAAAAAAACTCTTCTTTCAGCTTATAATCCAGCAGGGCGAGAGTTTGAGGCTAGTCAAAATTCTGGAGAAAGTGGATTTACTCGGAACGTGAAGCTTATCTAAAACAAAATAAAAATAATTTTTTACCAAAAAAAGTTCCTTTGAATTTTCAGCCTGAAGATGAACAGTTTTCAGGTCATTTCCACCATCTAGGTCAATGGAAAGGATTTTGAACAGTTTTTAGAACATTTTGGAGAAAATTTTCAAAACTTTGTCTTCTTCATTCCTCGTTTAAATTTTAAAGAAAAAAAAAGCGTTGATTTAATACTATCATATAAAAGAATTCTGCTCTTGGCCGATTTTTCAATTAGACAAAAAAGGCAGCAAGGAAGCCACAATAAACTTCCGGGAAATCTCCAAGAAGCTCAAAATGCGATCTATAACTTTTTCTAGTACAAAACTTTGAGATTTTATCAATAATCTCAGTTCCGACCAAGTTTATTATGATGTTTCATGAAACTGAAAACTAACCGAAGCCGCAAATGACGATTCGAGAAAAGTGAAGAGGAAAAGTGCAGCTATCACCATACTAGATTGACAAGAGCGGACCAAATGAGAGAATTCGCAACTTTTTCTCCCGCTGATCGACCTTGGGACAAGTTTGTTAAAAAACCAGCCTGGCTCCCAGGCGGAATTTCAGTAGAACAGAAGGAAGTTTGCGAAATTCCGCCAATAGACGTCTTCTGTTTCGTCGGCAGAATTTAAATATGGTTCTGGGCGGCGTGGGTGTTGAAAGTTTGTAGGTGGGCACTTAATAGTGCAGTACGATTTTACCGTCGCCTCGGTTCTCCTTGCGATAGATCTTTTCTTTCCCAAAGAACGTATTTTATATTCCGTTGGGGTGGGACGAGATCGAGCAAAGACAGGGCAAGGGTTCTGTAAGCCTAGAAGGAGAATTTCATGCAAGACGGCTTTTAAGACCTTGTCTTCGGTCAAGTTTTTTCAAAGGTTCAACGCGGGGATCGAAAATTTGTCAGGGTTGTAATTCAAAAAAGCTATAGCCCTGTTTGAAAATTCTAACAATGGAAAACAAATACCTTTTCATGAAAATCGCAAAAACTTAGACAACAAAAAGGAACAATTAAAAATTTTGGAGGCGTGAATAGAAAGTTTCGGGCAGTGATTTTGGGAAGATAAGGTCTACGCTTAAAAGATTTTTCTCACCTTGCCGTTGCCTTGATCAAAATCAGCTTTTTTGGAACTTTCATAAAACAACCGACTTTATGAGAGTCGAAAAAATCGAGCTTCGATTTGAATACTGCACAATGCCTCATCAAGTTTGGTTGACAGGGCCTTTTGTTTCCAGGTTTTCAACTTGTTCTTCCACCTTACGACATTCAATTAAGCTTTGCTTGTTTTTTTAAGGAAAAAAATGGTATTCTATTTTTCAAGATTTTTATTCGCGTCGCGAGAAAAAAACTACAAAAATTGCTAAATATACAGTAGTGAAAGTCATATTACATCGGAACAATTTCGGCATGATCATATGAAAATGCAAGTAGGGGCTGAAAAGAGAGAAGAAGCAATAGAGTAGCATGATTTGTACCAACATGATGCAACGAGTGAGATACCTTGCTGTGGATCGCAGCAAAATAAGTACAGCTAGAGTTAAGTAAGACAAAGGACCATGCCGCGAATGAGTCTTTATGAACGGAAAGAAAGCAAGATGAGTTGACGATTGGTCGATAAAGTACATGTATTGACTTAATGCAGCTTTGAGAACATCGGGTAGTGTAACTAATTGTTAAAATGGAAACAATCCGAGAAGTGGCACATGATCAAATTGACTATCAATGAAAGATTAACATATTTTTTCGTTATTTATATTTTTTTCGAAATATTCAACGTATGACACGCCGAAGAAGTTTGACGAACCAGATCGGCAGATTCCCGAAAAGCCGATTGGCAAGCCCTTCACAACGTTAAAAAGTAACCGATATCGGGAATCGAGATAATTTAATAATAGAAACAAGACGGAATTTTAGCGATGAGGCGGGTGAAAAATCATGCATAGAGTTGACACAGTTTTCATCATTTCCAAAGTTATTAGATAATTTTTTTGAGGGAAGGATATTGATTACATTACCATTGCGGTATCAAACCGGTATTGCAGACTGGCGGCGTGAAGTAGGGATTGTAGAAGATGTTGGGCATGGCGGTCATTGGAGTCTGCATCAGAGCAGGAGCCAGAAGTGGCGTCAGATCAGGCATCACCTGAGCTGGCGGATTCTGAAAAGTTTATTCATATCAAATTTGAACTTGGTTCTTTAGCAAGAATGTGAGATTATCGAAAAGTTCCTTTTCAAACTGAAAAATGAGGAGCTTCCATCAGTTTAGTATTTAGACGCGCAAGTTGTGTTTGATCAGGTGCAGAAAAAATGTTTGAAACTGAAAAAAAAACAAACGTTGGGCTGAACGCGACCCCAGGAGCATCGAATTGTGTTGCCACCGAGTTCCTTTCCATTTGCTTCCATGATTGCCGTTGTCGCGCACTCCTTCTTCTCATACCGGACGAACGCATATCCTTGAGCTTTGAACAGACGAACTTCAGAAATTTCTCCGTGCTTCGTGAAAAATTCTCGCAAGTCGTTTTCTGAAAGAAGATGTTGGATTTTTATAGAAAGTTGACGATAGTAACAGTCCATTTTTACTAGGTTTTTTGACTTTTTAAAACTTGAAACCTCATTCACCGCTATTTCGATAAATATGACATCAATAATCCTGTTTGATTTTTTAAAAATTAATTTTTCACCTGAAGACCGGCATCCCATCAAGTTCAGTTTTCTATAGTGGATAAGAAATCAAAATTTTCATTTTTTTTTTTCAACCTCCAGAATGGTTTACAAAATCAGGAAAAATTTGCTGCCCTCTCCCCCCTATTCGTTTTTTTCACCTTCGAAAACGATTGCACCTTGAGACCAAGGTACTATCCAATACGTCTTCATTTGCAAAAAGCAAAAGGTCGCGCCATCTTGTTTTCATTGCATTTTTTTATTCTGTTAGCCTTCGCACTTTTTGTTTGAAAACCTTCGTTGACCTTTAAAGACTGTCTGTATGATTAGCGAACGGAAAAATAAATAAATTAAACAGAAAAGGTTATTCGAGTGGTAGATCTGAATGAAAAAAAAGTTCACCTGTTGTGACAGGGTGTACGTTTCCTACGTAGACGGAAGTGTTGTCTGGCTTCGTTGAGTTGAAGATCTAAAAAAACTTTTAAATTTTGAAATGGACTAATATGAAATGTTCTAAAGTCAAACTTTATGAATCTTGTTTTTTTGAAACATATCAGCATATTTTTTTATTGCAAAATGAAATGGTTTTCTCTGAATTCTGACTTTTTCAAATTATGGGCCTTTTACACTTTTCTCTAAAAAAACTCCAGCTGATGTATATAGTCTTTTTTCGATGAAATCATAAAATTTGAAACATTGTTTGGCCACTTTTCCGAAATTACCATCTTAGTCAGGTAGAAATTTCGGAAAACACTCTCTGGTAAGCAAAAAAAGCTCAGCTCATTTGATAAACTTGAAAAAACAAATCTAAAATTCCCTTTTTGAAAAGAAAATCACTAGTGTTATCCAGAAAAAGCAAAAAAAAACTTGTAAAAATCACCTGTTCAAAAGTGAGCTTGTCCCGTGCTTCTTCGGCAGGTCTTCGAGTTGCCCAGTTGGTTCTGATTGCTCTGCGGCCAACCCACTGACCATTCATGGCCGTGATTGCTTGCTCGGCATTCTGAAAAACATGATTGAAAAAAGTCCAAAAAAGGAAAAATAAGTTCCAAGACCAAATTACTTTGAAACGTTTCATATTCTCCAAATGAACAGAACCGTTATTCGTGTTTTTTTGCGCAATTGCAATTTCTTTTCAGTTTTGACTAGATTTCTAACCTCTTTCAAGGGAAATGAGACGAATCCGTATCCTTTGGACTTTTGCGTTTGAGCGTCTCGGATCACTTTTGCTTCGCTGAAACACTTTTCTTTTTGAAAAAGGCAAAATAAAATCTTTCCTACCTGACTTCTCCGTGAACAGCGAAAGACTCTTTGAGAAGCCGGTTGTCGACTTCGGGGCTCAGGTCGCCGACAAAGACGTGGTAGTGCTCTGAATTTTATATAAGAACTCTTCCTCGCAAAACACGCTCTTACGGCTTGTGTCTATTCTCGGTTCGTGCGGGATGTTTGCCAGAGTTGCTTTGATTTCCTGGAAAATCAGCATAAAATTAACATGGCTCGTTAAAAAGCTGTTTCCTGTTAATGATTCGGAAAACTGGTTCGGCATATTTTTATTTCGAAGTTTTTCCTTTAAAATATCCGAAAAGAAACCAAAAAATGCAATAAAATTTTTTCCCTTAATAGATCATGCATGAAACTACTCACCCAAAACTCGAAAGAAAGGTTAGTTGAAAGCTTTTTTTCTGACTTTTTTTCTAAAAGAGACGGAAGAAGCTTTTTTTCAAACTTTTCGGAACATATCGCACGTTGAATCATTTAAAAAGTGCATACATAAAAATGCATAGCTTGAGACTTTCATTTAAATTACTTGAACTTGCTTTTTCCGTAGCATATTACTTCCTGATTCGAAGAAGAGAAGATTTTAAAGTTTTTTTCCAACAAAAAACCGAATTTTTTGAGAATCCAACTAACCGCTGCTCTCTGAATTGCGGCCAAAGGAACTGCGGTAGGCCCATTTGATGGTACCACGAAAATCGGGATCCCCTCGTAAGTGTTGGCCAAAGTCGGCTGCAGCTGCATCTGGTACTGAAACATTTTTTTTGAGAATTTGACTCATTCTATTTCAAAAAAGGGGAATACAAAAAGCTCTATTAACTTGATCAAGGGGACAAAAAGGAGAGAATGGACCTGAACGATAAAAAACGATAAGAATAATAACGGACCGACTGATTGCGATTGACCTGCGCAGTAGCCCAGCCGATCAATTTTCGATTATACACGTTTGGTGGCGACGAAATAAAAAACCTACGGCCTCCAGGACTTTTTTATCCAGTCTATAGGTCGATTTCGGTCGACTGATTTTCTAACAGTTCTTTTCCTATCATCTTTTTTGTCTTGAGTTCAAACTTTTCGTAAAGTTTTTGAGAAAAAATTCATTTTTTTATCATTAAAAACCTTAGAAGAAAGTTCAAAAAATACTTTGGCAAAAAAATATTTTTTTATCGTGATAACTTTAAAGAAACACTAAACTTTTATGTTGACGATTTGGACTCTTCATTTCTTTTTTGGGTGTTCACTGCTTCCAAAATTTTTTTTATTTGCCAAATAGATTTTATTTTATTTCATGACAGATCGACTTGAAAATGTTGAAGGTTAAAATCAGATAATCAGAAGAATCTTCAGAATCAATTTATCTTCAAGTTTTTTAAAGTCATAACCTCATATCATTTTTTGGTGTTATACGATTTGAAACTCCAGAAAAAAAAGATAGTGGAGTCAGGAGGATATAAGAATTTTCTAAAACAGTAAAGTTAAGGAAATCTTCATTTTCTTCCATGAAACACTCTTCAAGAGGGCTCATAGTACTGAGTCCGTACTAACTGAGCACTTACGAAAAAGAAAAAGCTTCTCTGTTATTTCTTCTTCAAAAACTGATTGAAAAACATTTTCGGATAAGAAGAAATCGACTTTTGAACCTAGATTCAAGAGGAAAAACCCAGAGAACAATTCTGAAGAATTTTGGATATAGTCTGCACTCCGAAAGAAGATACGATCTGCAGATTAGATCATCTGATAGGAAATCGTGCATTTTCAGACAACTGAATGATACAGCAAGAACAGAAAAACGGCGCTGGACGCGCAAAGAGATGGGAATTAAACGTACAGACTATAGAGACCAGTAGCCTGCGAATAGAGCGAGGAAAGGCGCGGAGCCCCGCTTATTGCGCTCCCTTCTGCTCTTTACACCCGTATCAGTACCGCTGACCTCTGGTGTAATACAGCTTTTTTCAGTCCACTGCGGCTTGAAATCATTTTGGTCTATGCTCTTAAATAAGTTGGTAAGATTCTTGAAATATTCCAGCATTTCTTGCTTCCAGATCACAAATTTTATTTATTTCATTTCCAAGTTTTAGTCAAGTTACAAAGCTTACAAGTTGATTCAAAATGAGAGTATTTCATGTTTTTGAAGCGCCATAGTCTATCAAGTCATACAGACATTGGAATGAAAAGCAAAAATTGAGAAGGAAGACTGGAATTTGCTCAGAAATTGGCTAGAATTGAAATAAGTAGGTCTATCTGTAGAAAAGGAGTTATTTTTTACTAGTTTTCGCTGGTTTCTTAATGGTATGTTTGACCTGCTAATCAAAAAAATGTTTAATGAGTTTGAGAGTTTATTAAAATCTAATTAAATAAGTAGTATGAGCTGTGACTTTTCGTATTAAAGTGATGTGTCAAAAAAATGAATTCTCTCGGGCTTTTTTCATCTTGAAATCTCATTTTTTTCAAGTTTATCACATTTGGTGTGAGACAATACTCAAATAATTTTCTTTTGTAAATTAATTTGAGATTCCGTGATTTTTTTTGGTTTTACAATAAAAGTATTGCTCAAAACTGTCGTGATTTTTTTCCCGACTAATCCGTGAATCCACCATAAAATTGAAAGGCACGCCAATCGAGGAACACGACGGTTCGTTGCAAATGCATTGGCGGGAGAGGCTTGCGCGGCGATATTCATGGTCATTACGTATGACTGTCTTATTGGACTCTGAAACAGAGGGTGCTGCCAGTATTTGATGGGTACATCTGCACGCCAAACGTCCAATTTACGGCTGAGCGTGTTTTAGGGCGGGAAGATGCTCTTGTCTACCCGGAATGGCTCACAAATCCCATTATCGGCTACTTTTTGGCGAGAACAAAAAAATGAAGAGATTGAGATCTTCATAAATTATTAGGTTGGTTCATCGACGGCTCGAGAGAATTGGGAATGGCTTAAAAAAATTCATGTATCATTAAGTTCAGTTATAAAGCTTTCAAGTTTTATCAAAATTTGAATCTTGAAGAAAATAGGTATTTTGGAGTTTTCGGAACTTCATAGCTTGATTGAAAGGCAGGTGAAATTGATGAAAATTTTTCATGATCTTAAATCAAAATGCTCTTATTAAAAATCCACCAATCTCGCAAACCGGATATTAAAAACAATAAAAAACCAAATCCGCATAAGATCCGGCAGAATTCTTTGGAGAAAAAAGAGTGGAAAGCTAAATGAACAGACTAGGTTCTGTTTCAAAAAGCGTAGGTGCACTTTACTGAGGTTTAACGTTAAAATGAAGGATTCAAAGGTCATTGGGGGCTTTCGATGTAGCCATCAATCATTAGATGGGTTTTGGGTATTAGGAAGCAAAGCGGTCGGACGCGATTGAACGCTTTGGGACAACCTATCAAGCCGCGCGGCGCTGTTTGCCATTCAACAGGTGCATTCATACATTTGGACTGCTCACGCACACTATTGTGTCCTTTGCACAATGTGTTAAAGGACACTCGATAATGGTTCCAGTCGCAACATTTTTTGTTCAGAAACCTTTTTTTCGGAGTTGGATGTGTTAAAAAGCATTTTTCTTTGTCTCAAAATGTCCAGGATTTTTTTTTCTGCATTATTTTATTTTATTTACCATGCCTTTGACATTTTCTAGTTCAGCAGAACAAAAATAAATCAAAAAAAGAGTCTTGACCTTTTTTTGGTGGTATTTCTGACTTCAGTTGGCCTTTCAGCAAATTTGAAGATTTCTTGACTACAAAAAAGTTTTCAGATAAAATCCGCAAGAAATCGTTGTGAAAACTTGAAAAAAGGTCTTCTTGAATGAAAAAACAATTTGTAAATTTCAAATTCTGCTAAAAGATTCAAACAATTCTTCTAAAAAGATATTATTTATCCACAAATGAGTGAGAAACCTATGATCAAAAAAAAAACTGACGTCAATATGCGGCTGAGCGAGCTGATGCTGTGGGAAGAGATGAAGCAGCGGCTGTTGAGGGAAGAGCGTCACCGGCGTCGAGCACAGCGAGTTAGGCGTCGTCCCGTTGGACAGCGACGTACCGACGTGAAACGGCGCCACCGCACTAGCTGCCATCATTTTCTGAAACCGCCACAGAAATCATTTTCCGGCAGGAAAAACATTTCAAGATTGCTTGATTCTCGATTCCGACGAAGTTTCTTTAAAATTTCATTTTTTTTTTCAAAATTTTTCCATTTTTGAAAATTCGCTTCAAAGAAAAAAATTTTTTTAAAAAAATAATCTTTTGTTTGAAATTGAAGCATTTTAAAAATGAAATGCTTTTTGCAGATTTCCGTCAATATCAGTGGTAACAGAGAGAAAGTTCCTGGTCGGAAAGGTGTTGCGGTGATAAATCCAGTTCTCAAAAGACTGGATTATTTCGCTTCGCTCAACAAAGATCAGAGAGATTTTCAAATCATGACCTGATTGAAAAAAAGCAGTTAAAAAGATTTTGGAAAAAAATTTTTTTATGTTGATGATCATGTAATGACGGTTTTGTTTCACTGTTTTATAGGATTCTTGAAAATTTAGAGAACAAAGTTCTCTGCTTTTCAGGAAGAAGTAACAGACATAGAGAAACTAAAATTGATAGTTATTCCCTTTGAGAAAAAATTCCAATAGTTCAATAACTTTTGCGGAACGTTTTCTCTCATTTGAAAAAAAACGATTGATTCAAGAAGAGCTTCGAGATTGACGAGTGCCATGGATCAAGAGAATAGCCTTTCAAAGTTCAAAAAACTTTGGGAAGAACAATAAAATACACTCTGAGGGCAGTATTCGAATTCCAATAAGTCAAAATCCTCTTTTTCTCAGAAAAGAAAAAGATGCCACACTTCACTGAATGCATTGTTACGATATTGGAATTGAGCCAGTCAGCTTTTTCCGATAATTCATTCCATATCACCTGAACCTTTCAGCTACTCATGACCATCACAGAGACGACTTCACATATCTCGCTGAACACGCTGATATCCTAGTTCACTGATCCTTTTTTCAGTCGGCAATGAGCACAATAAGATCAAAAAAACCCTCGATCTCAAAACTCCGATTACATCTCAGGAAAGTCACCAAAAAGGGAGGTAATTTATATACCTCTTGTTCGGCTCTCTCGATATCTTTGATAAGGAAGTTAAGGAAGGCGTTCTCGGTTTTCATGGCGTGTTGCGGGCAGCCGGAGGTCGCTGGATGGAGAGTGCGAGAACGACACGAGAGAAAGACGTGCGCTGCGGATGAATCGGACGCGCCTTCAGCCAACGCCCCCCAGCACAATTTTTTTCTTACTATCTTTTTTTGTAAAAAATTATAACTTGATTCACTTGATAGAAGCTCGTCAGACCAAGAAAGACTCAAAAAAGAGGAGGGCTTCTTCAAAAGAACTGATAAGAGCTCGTTGCAAAGTTCAGATATTCCAACCGTCTTCGGACGGGTTGTGAAGATTTCAAATTCTAAAAAAGCTGTACCACTTTGAGGGCTTTTTTGAACACCACACTTCTTTCATAAATCAGTGAGAATACTACAAAAAGCCTCTTACACCGTTTCAAAGGCGAAATGTTATGAAAGTTCCTCCTGACGCATGATGAACACGTTGATCATGATGAAAACATCAAAGATGCAAATTTCGGCTTTAATTTCTTTCGTTCTTCTGTCTTTATCAAGGTTTCCAAAAATTTTCTTTCAGTAGTTGTGAAAGAAATAAACGAAAGCGTGTGGAGTTTTCTCACGAGACAACCACATAGTACAGTGCCGACACCTTTTGACGTTTTCTCACGATTCAAACACACTTTCGACGAAGACTAACCAGCATGAGAACTTGTAGATTGCAAAAGAATGCTGTGATGGGAAAAAATTTTGAAGAAAAATGTCCGAACTCTAGTGAATACAAAAGAGAAGTGAACTGCAAACGAAGGAAGAGGAAGCGTGCAAGCGCTAAGACATAAAAATTTTCCGTTCGCGGAATGCTAAATTGAATCGAAATTGAAAAGCACTAAGAGCATTACTCGGCTAATGAACGGGGAATTTTAAGAACCAGCTGAATATTCAGATGAGAAGAGAGTTCCGAACTATTGAAAAAATTCCACTTTTTTTCAAAAATTTACACTCTATTCTTTGCTGCAAAAGTAAAAACTTTTTTTTCAAAGTTGTTAGCAAAAAAAAAAGGAATCAAGATTTTAAGAGCTTTTTGATTTTGACAGCAAAAGGACTGTTGTATAAAAGGTCACATGGCAAATGACAGAATGAAACACAAAGAACATATTGCGAGAGCCGATTGACTCCTCGCCCGACACTCGATCATAACCGCGTCCGACTGAGGAGAATCACTAAATGAGGCCGATCTGCGCCCTTCCAAAGACCGTGTGCTGGAATCGAAGTGCAAATGGCTCGATCCAGGTGCTGCCGGACTTACCACAGATCCCCGACTAATTGCAGCAGATGTTTCGCCTTGATTGCACATTGTCACAAAAAGGTGTCATTCCGTCTGTTAGGGTTTTCTGATATTTCCACATTTTGAAGTTCACCGGTAGACTTGCAACCATCAATTGGTTTTCACATTTATTTTTCAAATTCAAGTTGATCAGAAGTAATCGAGAAATAAGTCGACAACAAACCTTCTAGATGCAATTTTTGAACTTGTATTTTGAATCAGCCGAAGTGGCTTGTGAAAAAACTATAAAAATAATTTCAAGAAAGAAGCATATGCTCTATTTTTTGAAACTGAACTTCTTGGATGCTTTTTTTGATTTTTTCAGGAATTGAACTATTCGAAACATACTTTTTTTGAAACTTCATAATGATTAATCACAGTAACCGCGAAGGAGTATTTTTGAAATTCAGGACCCTCGTACTTTTTTACTCTTCTCTGTAGGTGAAAATATGGCTCACTTGGCGAAAAAAAAAATTTAACTTTAATTTTGACCTTGCAAATGTTTTCCATACTTCACCTAAATTCTTTTTTACAATTTCAGACCCTACTGCGAATGCAGTGCCTGAAACGTCTTTTTTTTGCGATCGTAAAAAACTGCAAGCACCAAGCCAGGAGCGCTTTTCATATTAGCCTCTCGGAAGCCGCATAACTGAGCTATAAAAACATAAATATGCTTTTACGACATGAAGTAAGTTTTTTTCGTCTTGGTACTCTCAGAAAAAATAATTCCTCGTTTGAAGTGTTTTTCAACAAAGACGCTGTTTTTTTACGACGAAAGTTTGCAATTTTACAGTAACTAAACTTTTCGAAACTGAGAAAAGGCCAAAAAATTGAAAAATTCAATTAGCCTAGCAGAAGAAAAAAAAACGGACGCCATGAGATCCTTTGAAAGAAACTATAACATATGGCTCTTCCAACCTTGGCCTGGACGATGGCAAACTCCTGGTCTTCAAGAGTTTGCAAAAAATCTTCGGCGGGGTGTGATCGCTTCAGCGTGGCGGCTATGGCGACTCGTCGGGCCGCAATTGTGACTGAAAAAAATAGAAATGATTGTGTTAAAAGGTCAGTCATAAGTCGATTCGATACGGTAAGGAAAAGCAAAAAAGACGGATACAATATAAGAAGTAGTTGATTCACAAACGTCTGTAAAAGACATGAAATGACGGAAAACAAAAAGTGAAATAGTTTCAAAAGAACAAACGGTTTGAGAAGCGCCGCAAGATAAATCTGTGCTTGGGAGTTCAAATAAAAGAAAGAGTTTTTGAACAATTCAGGAAAAAGTTTTCGTCGAACAGCGAAAATGCTTTTGACTCGAATAGCTACAAAATGGCTGTCGTTTTCGTCGATAAAACGCTCAACGCTTTTAAAATTTCGAATGGTTTGACACGTTTGTGAGTGTTTAGATTATATTTTTCAGCATATGAGACCCGCTTGTTCGAAATTTGAAAGCTTCTGCTGTATTCGATTTGTCATCACCAGAACTGTACGATTTTTCTGCTTTGTTTTTTGTTTCATTGAGTGGACGGGGAGAGAATTTTGAGCGACACATAAAATAAAATGTCAAAGACATTATGAAGTTTAAGAAAAAAAAAATCGACTAGATCTTTTCTCGGCATTTTTTTATTATAAAAAAATAAAGGTTTTAAAAAGCAAACAAACTTATCGAAAACAGAATACATTATGAATTAAAGCTAAAATAAGGGAGAACATTGTAACAGTAAGATGATGCGATTTTCAACTATCGGAACTTTCTGGAACGGACGCTATAAAGGTCGCTAGTTTCGGCATCCGGGCTTTCTGAAAACTAAGAAGTTAAGGTTTAAGACTTCTAGGATTTTCAGTAATTGGGTCGAGAAACGTTCTGATCGAGAATTTTAAGAAAGAGAAAAAGTAAAATGATTGCGTGTAGGGTTATCGCTAGAATCTTAGAGCTTGAAGAAAGGTAGCTCAGCGCGGCAAAAGCCACTTGTGCACTCATCCGTCGCTTAGTTGATGCGGTAGAAGACGTCCGCACAATTCCCTTCATTTCTCCAGGGACCACCATGTCGATAATTAAAAAGACAAGAAGACTATTAGCTATCCTTATTTTCCCGCAAGTTGAAGTCATGGGTAAGTTTGGAGAAACTCTGAAGTGTAGTTTTCCTTTTTTCAGAACTAAACATGGTTGGTAGAGCAATAGAAGAAAATCCAATTCCTGAATGGTCTCAGGAAAAAAAATATATAAAGAAGTTGATGAGACATGGCTTTAGAAGGTGTGAAGAGAACGAACTCAGCAAATGTGGATAGGAAGTGATGTGAAAGGTAGATGAACTTTTGATGGCATCGCAAGTGTTTTCAAAACTGCAAGCCAAGAACCCCTGAAATGAGAGCTGAAAAAGAGACCTGTGAAAATGACACCTTCTGGATTGGATCGTGTGCCGCGCGAAAACGATCAACATTTCTTGTTGGATATCAAACAAAGTCGGTCTCGTGGGAACGCGGCTACTGCATTGCTTCGAGTGCGGCAACACGATTTTCTTTTTTTGTTGGTTTTTTGAGCTGTCACCAATCTTACGGTCTTTTTCCGTTCGATTCATTCGCCTTATCTGAGATTTCATGCTTTTTTTGTTTTTTTTTTTCCTCAATTCGCATTTGAGCTTTTTTACAAAAATGACACAAAGGTTTTTGAAAAGTTGTTGAAAATCAGAAAAAGCGTTCACCTGGAAAAATTGAAGCAGTTTCAAAGCAAAAACGGAGGAGAACATTATTAACTTCACTGTAAGCGTTTGATCTAATTTTTGTGCAATTCTTAAATCTGGGATAAATAAAAAAAACGGCTCAGAGCTGTATAAGAAAATGCATAGTTTTCTGAGCTGACCAGACTTTTTGAACAGTTTTTGCTCAAAGGCTGGAGCTCCTTGAAAAAGCGCAAGATTTTTAAAATCCATATTGACCCCAAAAGTTGACAGGAAATGGTCTTTTCGCCAATGCCATCTACAAATGTCTAAAAACTTCAAAAAAGTTTGTGTCAGTTTTTGAACACATATTTTGATGGTACGTGGAATTCTGCATCTAGTGAACCTGGTTTAATTGAAAAAGCCTATTATCATCTAAAATTCAAGCTCTGGTCAAGAAATACGAATGAAATTGAGTGAAATTTTTTATAGATACTAATGTGAATCAATAATTTCAAAATAAGAAGATGGTTTTAATTGTAGGTCATCAAGAAAACAATTTTTACAGGGTAAATTGCGGAAAGTTCTTGATGTTTTGATTTGAAAACAAGGAGTTGAGGTGATATCCTCAACAGAAAAAAGAAACTTTGAAAAACTGCATCTGAGCATTTGAATCTTCTGAAAAAGCGAAAGAAACAAAAGCGTCGAGAGCAGGACCGACAAATTGGATGGAAGTGTCGTGAGCAGAGTCGCCAACGTCGCAAAAATGGAATAACTCGCCGCTTTATGGGTTCAAAGGTCCAGTTCTGTCTAGCTAGATTATTTTGAATGGAAATCATGAAAAAGACAACGAGTAATCCAGATGAGGGCTTTTTTAATATTCCACGATTGCTCATATAATAATGGGCATTCTGGCAAAATAACGACTAAATTCATCTGGAAGAATGGTAAATTATTTTGCATCGAGTCTTTATGAAAGAGGAAACTTTATTAGATCACAACGGAAAAAAGTAGATGGAGAAATAATTTTTCATTATTTCGAAAAAAAGATGTGTTTTTAACTGGGCTTCCGAGTATTGAAGGGTTACTGAATCGGCGTAAATCCCAACAAAATAAGGTAAACCATATATATCGGAAGCATGGCTTTGAAAATATCCCAGAAATTTAAAAGCGCAACCTTTTTCCCGCTAGAAAGCTGCTAAACTTACGATTTTTCAAGCAGTCGACGACAAGACTTTTTTTGAAGTTTTTTTGAAGTCAAACTAAGACGTTCCATTTTTTTCCAAAAATTTAATAATATTTTTATTTGAGGAAAAAGGATTTCACTGCCTGCTAAGAGCCTTATCGACAGAATCCACTAAACAGAGTAAAAACCTTTTGAACAGAATAAATATGAAACCAAATTTGCCAGATTTTGAAGAACATGCAATTTACCAAGAGAAATAAATCTATCACTATTATATCTTTCTCACTTCGAAATAAAAATGATTGCCGCTTGCTTCGACAGCCTCAATCTTCCGCGACAATTGCAAAGCGCAAAATGTTCCTGACGTTTGTGGAATGACTGATGGCTTGAACATTATGTGGAAGTAATGCGTTGGGACATGCTGGCCACCACGTACGGAATAAGTAACAAGACAACGCCCGAAAATTCAACACAGCGTTTTCTTTTTTTCGCTCTGGAAGAAACATCACTCTGAAATTCATACGTTCTGTAAGACGAGCAAGAGATCAACAATTCTGCTGCAAAACATCTCAATGAACTTGGGTGCAGTTAACTTTGAGGCTTCTTTCGCGAAAAAAAAAACGTGAAAAATGAAAACTGAATACACAGATAAAGGGAATCTTTTCGTTTTTCAAAAACCAACAGAAAAAACTTTTTCTAATCAAGTCATTTTTTTGTAATCTATTCCTCTAAATCTTGCTCAAAAGCTGTTGCTAGTCTACTTGAAAGCGCAAAAAAGACACCGCCTAGAATTAAAGCAAGAACAACTCTTTGTCGGAAACTTTTCTCTGGACCTCAATAAGAAAATTTCGCAAATTTCTGAACCTAAAAGGGACCAGCCATATTTTGCAAGAAAAAAACCGATGTGAGAACTTTTACTACATTGTTATTCGATGTTGCAGAAATTTATAAAGGATTTTACAGAAGCATACAAAAACTTTCTCTGAAAAACTATACAACAACCAATTTTCATTCCTAACTTCAAGGAAATTCATACAAAAATAAAGCTTCGATTTTATTTATACGCCATTCTCCGCTTGCTTGAATCAAATTTGACTACAGAGGTGTCTAGACCTTCCATTTACAATATTCCATTCATCGAAAATTTCAAAAAAATTCCATTTAGACAATAGGGATAAAACTGTAAAACCGCTTTTTTTGATCTCACTTTTTCTAACCTTTCCGTGAAATTTCATATGAACTAATGGATCAGATCACAAGGAATTTTGGCGTCAGCTGAGAAATTCATTCAAATTTTTAAAATGTGTCTTTCCAGGCCTCTTGTTTTTAGATCAGAATATTTTCACTTTCTCGGCGTTTTGCGCCCTTTACTCCGAGAAAAGAATAACTTTTGCATTTTCAAAGCGCTCTTACTTTACAAAAAAAACTTCTTCAATTTCAGGAAACTCAATAAAAGATTTTGCATATTCAACCAGATTCTCAACCGGTCACCTGAACAATCTTTTCCTGTTAGTATAAAAATGATGTCGCAAAATACTTTGAAGCCGAAAAAGCAGCGAAAAAGGCAGTTTTTGCTGGGAATCCAGCCCATACGTCAAAAGACAAGGTAGGAAGCAGAAAATCCATGCTTGCGCTTCTCAATTCGTCACCAAAAATTGGGGTTTGTTCCATTTTGGCGACGCGGACATATCACACAGAGACGAAATGCATCGGGCCATGCATACGGGAGTGAACGCAGGTGCAAAAGTGACGGCGACCAAGAAGAAGCCGAAGAAAGAATAAGCGGTGGCCGATGGGTCCCAACACGAAGAAGCATCTTCCACGCTAATGCACACAAACAATCCGCCACGGACGACTTCGTCCCGCCCGCCAAATTACTTTTCCGCGACAAAAAAAGAGCCTCGCCTTTTGTTTCTGAGCGTGTTGAATAATATGCAGAGGAAGCGGCGCGTGATTACATTCATGCCCGGCTCAAAACCAAACTCACTTTTGCCGTCGGGACAAGGTTATTTATTTAATCTACGTATATCACGCCAAAGGCAGGTGCTCGAAAACCTCATTTGTTCCTAATGTGCCAGTAAACTGTTCTCTATAATTCGAACCACGCTCGGAACAAAAAATAAGTGTTAGATTGACTAACCAACCGCGCAGGTGATAAAAAAGTCTCATTAAGTGCATAAAAGTACAGTAAGATGGCAGCTTTTCCAAATATCTTTCATAATTATGGGCTTGTTCTACTCTTGTTCATCACGCAAGAAAGCCGTCATTAAGTTCGTAAAACTACCGTATAACAAAAATAAAGCGCTGAAGGAAAAATTTAAGATCTCCACTTATGTTATTTTTCAAAAGATGATGTTCTGGGAAGACGTTTGAAACTATTATAAATCAGGGGCTCAAAATTGGAGGCTATTCCAAGGGTTTTGTTTTCTCATCGTCTGGCTTAATTTATTTCTTTGATTTTTTGGGCACAACGTAAAATTTGGCGAAAGCTTCAAAACGTGGTTTTAAAGGTATGCCAATTTCAAATTTCTCATAGTAACAAATTCGAATTTTCGAAAAGTTCACAAGATTACTGGCCCCCTTTTCCATGATTTTCGAGAGGCGATGATTTTAATATTTGAAGGACTGAATAGGCATCTGCATAACAGTGTCTTATTTTTTATTAGGGAATGCAAATATTAGAAAAACTTAAAATGCTTCGACTGAACAGTTAAGTTCTTTGAAGTAGAATTATGACCCTTTCTGAGAGAAGCTTTCACTGTTTGAGAATTTATTCGAAAATTCCACAACGACGGCAATTAAAATAGACCGCTTTTGTCCAACTTTAAAATAAAACTTTCATTTTGAACAAAAAGATTCAGAGCAAAAAACACAGTGCAGAAAAATCATGTACCCATAATAATGAAATTTGAAGAATAATTAGTCAAGCTTTCCAATGTCTCAAATTAATCACAGTTCTTCGGAACGTTCTATCAAAAAAATCAAAAATATAAAGAAGAAGAAGAAGCAACACAAAAAGGACGGACAAGCGTCCAAGTGAAGAGAAGAAAAACAAAACGACACACAAGGAAAGAACTGCGGGCGGCCGAATAATTGCTTGTCACAAACCTGGACAATTCACCTTTCGCGATACGGAAAAAAATCAAGGTGATCTGATTTTTTTGCTGAAGCTAATGCTACGTTTCTTTTTTTGGCTTCGCTGTA